ACCGCTCAGGCAGGATGAATTCCTGCGCAACTCTTGCGTCCGCAATCAGAATAGGAATAAATGTTAAAATGGCGCGCTCAGGATGAATTCTTGCAATACTTTCGAGCTCGAAATCAATCACTATAACAATTCCTGATATCAAGAAATCGAATTCTTGATATCAAGAAATGATTTTCTGTTGTAGAGCAACAGTAATTCTTGATATAAAGAAAAATGAATAAATGTTAGAACGGCTTGCCATACGCTCGTCGAGGATACCGAACTAAAAATATAAGGCCAATTCATCTATGACTATTACAAATGGCCGCTCGGTATATTTTCCCTGATAGTCGGGCTTTTTTCTCAAGATGGCCGCCAACATTTTTTTTTAAATAATTAGAAATAGATCCATCTTAGCAGGGTTTTTCATGTTAAAAATTCAACAACAAAAAAGAAAAGGAAAAAAAAATAATATTAATAGGAGGCGGCCTCAAAAAAGTAAGCAGGCGGGGACGCTCAACATGTACATATTTTTTAATGGCTCTACGTCCATGGGTTTACCAATTAAATTATGCCAGGCGGCTATATATCATACTCACCGTTTGCCCGAGATCCTGCTAAATGCGAAATGAATCGTAGAATGAGGCGTCAATTATAGCCGAGCTAAAAGGATTCCCACATAATCTTACATGGACGGTTCAAATAAAAGCAACTGGCACCAAGTGACATGATGAGAGGTCTTTTCTACAACGTGTTTTAAAGGCGTTTACAATATCTCTTTCGCAAGATAAGGGCAGAGTTTGTCTCTGGGTCGTGAATCCGGTTTGAAAGATGCCAAAGCATCCAGTGTGTCGAAGAAATTGATCTAGAAATCAATCTAATGCAGATTCCCTTTGCAAAAATGTGCTTCGGTCTATCAAATTTCCATGTAGAAGTGACGGATAACCCGTATGAAATGAAAGACATAGGCTGCGTGAGTCAGCATTTCACCATCTGGTGACGTGACATTGAGCAGGTACCTAGCTGATGCAAGTCAGTTGGATCAAGTGGTCCAAAAACGACACAAGAGTAAAATATATACAAATAACTAGAGCTAACCAACCGAACAAAAGAATACATATATGTATCTCTCGCTCTAGGAAAAAAATATGACGCGTGAGTGGTACCGCACGCTTTCCTGACAAAGGGGTTCCGATACAGACTATAGTATCACAATAGCTGGAATTCCCCATGCAATGTTTGTTGTAACTACCGGGGAAGTTCCACCGAATGATGCGATTTGATAAACATATTGAAAGGTCGATGATCAACAATAATTATCAAATAAATAATATAATAATAATAATAATAATGTAACTTATATCGCGCCAAATCCACTCTGATTCATACTTGATCTAACGTTTGAATATAAATGTTGTTACTTTAGTTATTATGATTATATTGTCTTGTATCTTTCTTCTTAATACACTATACACTTTAGGCCATATTGTATTGTCTTGGAAATGAAATGATTATTAATATATATGCACAGGACATCAAATAAAATTCATACGAAACCCCCTTAATAAGAATGAACTTTAGGGCCGTGACCTATACTTAAAGTTTCCTATTTTCATGCCAATTTCTAGTCCGAAAGTACCAAGGTTTGACTGTGCCCTGCGCCCCTTATCAATGGATAGTGATGGTTACATGCTTCAGTTTATCGTTTTTCTCATAAGCGTTATTACAGTTATATATAGTATATTCAAAAATTTGATTGTGATTCACCAATAAACAGGCCTACCCGGGCTTCATAGCCCAACTGCTTCTCCAGCTTGAAAATGAATGTTTTGTCAAAGAGCAACTTGTAGAAAAGGCTGAAGAATCGTGTGACATTTAGATCTTGATCAATGTTGTGTTCAGTGTTTGATTAAATTATACACTGAAAATTGACATATATTGTGCTCTTAGCAAAAGTACCCAGATGACATTGCAGTACATTTTCAATATTTCATGGTTTGGGGTGCGTGAACATGCATTGGTGAATATGTGTGTTAAAATACTTCGGCAAGAACAAAATATTTGTTTCCACTGCATGTTTAATGGAGGATGCAGTTTGTTATTTTGGTTTATCTTGGTGGAATACAGGGTCAGGAGCGTCACAACGTGACGGACATATGCCCTATATAAAAAGCCACCATTATTATTATTATTATTATATAGTATGTTTTGGTTATAAAAAGTATTAACATTCTGCGTGAACAGTCGGTAGGCTACATGTACATTCTACAATTCGTTGAGTATGCTGCTACATCTTATGAAAGAAGAATATTTTCGAGTGGCATCAACTTCTCTCTGTATTCTGATTTGTGCAATCTAGAAAACATATGTACACCTGGAGAAATACACAGGTACACATGCTTTGTAGGCTTACATATACATGTATTTTGCTATAATAGACAAAGTAAGTGCAACGCTTACAAATTTTGACGCTTAACAAAGTCAAATTAAATCATTACTTGACAAAGGCCTGAGGGCAGAAATTTGTAAAACGATCAATATTTCTTGTGCTTTTATGATATTATGATGTAGGATATGTGTTTTTGCAGAGACTTGTGGATGCATGTACATATGATTCTGTACTCGGTAATTAAGCGAATGTGTACTAGGTAGAGTGCGTTATCATATGCATGGTCACTCATATACTATATTGATAATATCAATCATCGTGGGTTTCACTGATTAAACCAATGAAGCAACGAATTTGATATGTTTCTAGATGTACATGTATATGCTTGGAAATTTCGCTGATTTAGGCGTATGTGGGCAGAGGGTAGAGTTGAACTTTGAAAACAACAATGTAATCATGTCTTCTTCTTTGAAAACCAAGAAAGTAAATCTGATCAATTAATGAAAGTCAACGATTAGAAGCTGTGCAGTTATTCAGATTTAGGTTTCACTTCTCACTGTCACAATGCCCTTAAATCATGTTGCTCATTAAACCAGATAATGTCCCATTCATGTTGTAAGTTCCCTAATGTTAAAATGCGTATATATACAGTGTACATAGCATGCTCAGGTGTAAGTCGATACACTGCCCTACATCAATCATTGCCAAAAATGTCTGTGTGGAGATCCGAAATTAAAGTTATGATTGTATTTGGCTTTTGTTATATACACATTCCCTTAAATCACATGAATGCATGCATTGTTCAATATTCCCGTATATGTACTGCATGTACATGCATTTGAAGCAAGATACAAACCGAATCACAAACAACCATGTTGCCTTGTAAACTATTCCGCATGCACTTTCAGCATCGTTTACAATTTACCCATGTATAAAGGTGGCATATGCGTCAAGTTTAGTATAATAGTATATAGAAAGAAACGTGCAAATGTTTGTGGTATGCACATTCCATGATGTAGACAATATGTAGTTAATATTTTATTGGTGCAGATATTTATTGAGGTATAACTAATAAAGCTTTTATCTTGTGAAAAGTGTAAAATACTTTGTATTGGTCAATGATGCTGATTTGATTTTTGAAATGTTGTTTCCAAAGTGAGAATAAGAGAGAAAGAAGTGAAGAAATATATAGAGAGAACAGGAGAGAATTAGAGAGCAAAGGAAAGAAAGTGAAAGAGAGCTAGATAGAGCAAAGGAAAGTGTGATATCGAATGAGAGAAATAAAGCAAACAAGAGGATGGTAGCAAATGAGAAAAACAAAGTAAAGGAGAGAGAGAGCTTTGGAGAGAAAGAAAGTGAAGGAGAGAATAACTGAGCAAAGGAAAGAAAGTGAAGGAGAGATAATGATAATAATTATACACATGTAGGCATTTCTATAGTGCATAATAGAAAGCAATGAGGTCCTTACAATGAGAAAAATTACATTACTTTTCCTTTAGTATTATTGTAATGCTAATTTGAAAAGATAAGTTTTGAGTTTGGATATATATGTTTCAGCATTGGATATAAAACGTAGAGAGTTTGGGAGAAAATTCCATAAAAATGGTGCTATGCGAGTGAATGCCCTCTCGCCATATGCCTTTGTTATGCCTCGCTTTGATAGCTACAAGGAGGTTTTGAGATGCAGAACAAAAGGAATTCGGTGGAACATATTGTAAGACAAGATCAGAGAGATATTCTGGAGACAGAACATGGAAGAATTGGAAGGTTAGCAAAATAATTTTAAACTGGATACGAAATTTAACTGGGAGCCATATCTTTGAGGATGGGTGTTATGTGATGACGTTTCTTTTGCAGCCAGACCAGCCATGTGACAGAGTTTTGTTTATATCTTTATAAGAAATACCAATGAGGAAACTATTGAGGAGACTTTTACAGTTGTCCAAATGTGAGGATACGAAAAAGTGCATGAGAATTTCAGTTGAAGCTTTATTAAAAAATCTGCCGACTTTGCCTATTCTTCTAAGAGGAGATGATGCTTTGGGACACAGTATTAATGTGGCTGCGCAGAGACAGATGGTTGTCCAGATTATCTCAGAGGTTGCGAACAGTCTTGGAACGATTAGCAGGTGTATTATTTAAAGATATTGGTAACAACTCATTTGCTTGTCTTAATTTTGAAGACAGATGAAGAATTTCCATTTTACTATCGTTTAAGAAGAGAAAATTAAGCTTCAACCAAGAACGGATTTCTTGGGGACATATATCTAGTTTCTGTGTGGTGTATTTTATTTCACTAGGTTTAACAGTGATGTATAGTTGGGAGTCATCTGCATACATCATTGGAGAGAAGCCGTGGGAGTGGATAATGTCCTGAATGGGAGTTATGTAACAGATGAATAGCAGAGGGTAAATAACAGACCCTTGAGGTACACCCCATCTAAGCAAGGCAGGAGCAGCAGTAATGCTGTCAATAACTTGCTGCTTCCTTCCTTCCATCTACATGTACAAGTATGACTACCGGTACCTTTGTTCAGAATTGATAAAAACTACCAATAAATCATGACTATCAGTCCTGATGACTATTATATAAAAACATAAACAGAATAAAAAAATCAACACAAGACCACTCTTAAAATGATATCCCTTCAACATATTTATTCTTAATTACACAACAACAATTTTGTCAACTTAATCATAACATCTGACTTAATCTTACTACAAAAAGCTGCTGCATTGATAAACACTAGGTTCATCTCCGATTCTCAATGTATTAAAATAAGTCTATGAAACAAGCATATATTGAGAAAGCTTGCTTCATGCCACATATGACCTTTACATTAATAATTACCTACACATATTACATATAAAGTGTTATTAACTTTCTTTAAAAGGTTACCATTTAATGTGATATTTTCTAATGGTCTTTGCATTTTATGTAATTACAGCATACATTTACAAGCTACTTTATGTTGAATAAAAGCATTAATCTTTTTCATCTACAGAACTGCATGTTAACTTGAAGTATATTACAAACTTTAATAAGAAAAACTTAAAGACTTGTTGAGATATAACTTTTTACACTGCCACATTTAAAAAAAGCCACTGCAATTTTGTTAACGTGTAAATGAATGACAACTGTGTGCAACAAAGGAAATGTGCATAGCCACTCAGCTCTGGGTTATAACATAGTAATTCATTGATTTGGCCATGAATGACCTTGTGTTCATATATCAAAAGAAAATTGAGGAAAGAGAAAGAAAAGAGATATACAGAGAGTGAAAGAATGGTATCAAAGAAAAGAAAAACATGGCTTAAAGCCCCACTGTTCTACTTGTAGCTACTTGCTCCCTCTGTATAGAAAACTTCCCCAATCGGTGCCTGTTTGTCCCCCATGATCCTCTTTTTCTTATGTAAGTTGAGAGCTGAGTTAATGAGATAGCCACCTGTCAGTGACCTCGCTGTGTGGTCTAATCCCTTCTGGCCCAGTAGAAATGAGGATCATTCAAAGAGAGGGATAATTAGGGAGCAGACTAAGGTCAAAATCAATGTGCAACACTAAACCTATATTAAACATGTAGATCTAGGATAAGTGATACAGAATTAAACATCTTAAAAATCTTTGTCTTAGATTTGACAATTACTACATGAGCACATCCATATACAGCGAAACATGCTTTGGCAACCACCTGTATCAATAATCTGTTAAATAATATAACCTGTCTATAAAGACTGCATCTTCTCTTTCCCTTGAATAATGGTTCTCATTGAAACGTATTCATTAAAGTAACCTGTGCATACAGGTAAAGGTCATCTGCCTGTAAATACTGCTCTTTTTGTCTCCCTTAGGAGGTCTTTATATACAGGTTTTGCAGTAACTGTACAACATACAAGATGCTAGCATAATATAAATTTTACTTGATAAAGATAAATCGTCTGCTGAGATCCAGAAGTGCATTAAACCATATCACTTAAGTTAAACCCCTTCTGTATTTCTACAGGAAAAAGTCAGTGTATTTAAACAGATGCAAGAAGCCATATCATGTTATTTAACTGCTACAATAAACTGAATACTGGTTAACATTACATAGCATCAATTTGTCTTTCCACTATTTAAACCTAAATTTACACTGTATACAACAATCATAACTAACATTTACCTTAATATTAATATTTGTGACTGCTTAACTTCAATATAGAATAGCCTGGCTATTTTGTATGCAAAACTATAAATAGTAATGGTATGTATAAACAAAATATTCCACATTTGATGTGACAACGAGCAAGTACATGTATAGAACATATTAAATCTACAAGTTAAGAAATATGAAACTACATATATTACATGAAATTAATAGGTTTATATGCAGACAAAAATGAATCAATATTATCTACAGAATAATTATGCAAAAAAGTACAAAATCAAAGAGTCTTGGCTTATCTACAAAACATTCAAGTAACTAAAGTCTACATGTATAACGATAAATATTATGTACCGCAATAACAAAATGATAACAAAAAGGGATAATCGCACTTCAATCAGCTGCAACAATGTTTAACATGGCAATTACTAAGGCCTCTTTGTCTCTTTTTCTTGATATATGTTATGACCTATTATGAAAATAAGAAATATAAATTAACTTACAAAAGGGAAAAGTACATCATTATAAATAAGGAGAGTACTTGCAGGTATTTACTCTTTTTCCAAGGCCCTCATTCGAGTTCAGAAATAAACAAATCATTTAGGTGTCATTTGTGTATAAGATTATTTCCTTTGCAATTTTGTATGTCAAACTATTTGAAATATCTGCCCGAATAATGCAGATGTACTTCTACTATGAAACTTCATGTATTTGATCAACATACATTCCAGTTTCAGGGTTTATCATGGTTCCGATTAAGTCTGATTTATCATGTGTGACACAAGTCTTTACATTATGCTTCTATATTGACAAGAAATCTCTTTCAAAATTAAGTGAAATAAATCGCAGACAAGTAACTACTGCAGTAATATTGAGCAACATACACTACTAAGCCGCTTCATATATCCAAGGTTTAAGCACTACAAAAACATAATTGGTACATTTTTTCCTTTTCATGTTAAACATATGAATACCAAACAAAACCAACCAAAGTCACACAGAATTAAATGCTTAACAATACAAACATTTATTACTATGTAGATTACACACTGTAAAGTCAATAAATTATCTTGCAACCCAACATATTCAGCCTTCTAAACAAAGAAATTACAAGAATTTGCTCTGATCTTTTCTCTAGCTGGAATGAAAATGTTTGGAAACCTGCAAAGAGACCACTATCCCATTTGCTTTTGATAAGTTGAGATCTGATTAATAAACATTTCTTCAAATTACAGTCTGGTATTGTTGATAACCGAGAGGTTCGGCTACGCCAGCACTAATTTTGAGCAACCGATTACAAGAATCAAACTATCACTTCTTTGCTCAAATCCACCCTCTATCTGGGCATAAGTATAATGCAAAATATATTTTGCACATTCTTGGATTTATTGATATAGGAAAATAAAAGAATGCAACATCCCTCTACTTTTGTTTCAGTACATTTTTTTCATTACCAGAACTCAACTCGACCTTTGATTGTTTTGTTTTTTAGAGCATAGTGCACTCTTCATGTTTACATGGAATGTTGATGTCATTATTTCAGTAGAAAGCTATTTTTGTTTAAGTATGCATGCAAACCCACAAAAGTAGACCCCTATATATTAGAGATTCACCTGTCGTATGCACTCATTATTTATGGCACTGATTGCTTCAATGCAATACTTCCTACTTGGTGTGTAAATGATACAAAAATAATTTATTTAGTACACAAAATACAAAAATGAAAGATATCTTGATACCTCAAATATCTTCTATAAACTTTCCCGTCCACTTCCAAAGCTAACGGAAAAAAAGTTACACGCACTCAAAACTCTTTGCTATACCAACCTAAACACACACATACTTAATATACATACACTTTTAATCATAAAGATTCTGTAGGGAAAAAAAATAAGCATGGAAGTAAAAATGAACCAACAGTGTATAATTTACAGTAGGCTTGCGGTTGCACTGCGTGACCATGCAAGCATCTAGTGTATCATTTGTTGCACAATAAATTTTGTATCGCCAACACTGTCCACAATACATGTATATTGATACAAATATATGAACATGCATCCATCCTTTCCACAAACATATTTTGCCTCCGTCACACTTTGTACTATGGCAAAGTGACCTTGGAAATGTATTGTCTTTAAAGTACCAGGAGAGCGTTAACTCAGTCTTGTCCTACAATGTACATGTACATATTTACAGATAAAGGTTCTATGTGTACATGTAAACTTACCTCATCAAATTCTTCAATTACACTTTTTAATTCAACTTAAATCTAACTGATTGTAATGACAAGAATGGAAGTACATGTACATGATATCAGAATGAAAAATAAATAATGTTCATAACAAAAGCTTTTAAAACAAACATAAATATAAACTTACAAATAGATGTTACAAAATCAAGATTTTAATGCTTTGGAGTTGCTTCTCTTTAAAGTAAACATTATAAGAATAAAATAGAGCACATTGTGATACTACATTTCTAATCCATGATTATTTCTATTACATCCCAAATATTTGTCAGAACCTTAAGACAAGAAGACTGACTAGTTATATTTCAGTTTATCCCAATCAATTAGTAACCATAAGGTGGGAACTGTCGGGCCTCCATGACACAGCCCAGGTCCCGATACTTCTTGAGTAGTTCCCTCCATCTTGGATGAGTTTCCAGGAGGTGTTGATTGCCTACAGGAAGAAGATTGGAAATACTGAAGATGAGTTAAGGAGGTTTAAGTTTTGATGAATACTAATTAATTATTAAATTAATATATACATCTACAAGTAGAGGGCATATACATGTAATGGTACATGTATACATATCAATGATTCATTACAAACATAACTGATATGAAAGTTTGATTAATATACCAGAAATGTTATAACTATGGTTTAGGTTTTCATCACGTATGAAGGAAAATAACGGAAAAGGAGGACCGTGTATAATTATAAGTCACCTGACCAATATAAATATAATAAACTGCTAGATATTTGATATCCGATTTTTTTCATCCATTCACACAATTGCATTATAATTTTGTTTGTAACTAGCTTCAAGACATATAGTCCTAACATTCCAAATTTGTTTATTCTATATACCGGTACCCAAACAGTGTTTTTCATATGTTCAAATGTGCCAGAGTTGATTAGCATTCATGCTATAATTTTTGTTACTTTTATTCATTTATGTTATCATATAAAACCTTTTTTTTTACCTTCTGTAATGTGTTTATTATTGGATGATTAATTTCAAGTTCAAAGTTAAAGCTCAGTCCACGCTGGAGTCTATGGGAAACGTGTGTTATATTATAACAGAACTTTCTTCAGAGGGTTAAGGGAATGTAAATGCACGAGGCAGATACAACTTGTTTACATACCGATGATGATTAGCCCTCGCTTGGCTCGAGTCAGGGCAACATTCATCTGGTTCTCGTCAGTGATGAATCCCAGATGCTTGCGTTGCCATCCCCTGCTTGGTTTATCATCAATCTCGATCTGAGGCATGGAACGCACAGTTGACATGACCACGTAGTTCCATTCACTTCCTGCGAATATCATTGGAAGGAAAAATAATCTTTTGACCCAGTGACAGTTTCCATAGGTGTCACTAGTACACTAGGGGCAAAAACCTATGTGTGACTTTACATTATTTTAGTTTATTCAAAATTGCATGTGAAATTACACAAATATTACATTGTGAAGATTCAGAACTATTCAAAAGGCCAACAAATGTTTTTTTGAGGAAAGATGAAATAAATGAGTCAGAAAAATCAATATTCAAATACCAAAAACTCTTACAAAATTATTAATCCTCTGCTAGCCACTATTGTGCCTGTAACAATGATACATATTAGTGGAGATTTATTGCAGTATAAATAACAGAGAAAGAAGCAGAAGACAAAGAAAATACACATACAAAACAAAGAAGAAATTTATTGTCAGAAATGCATGTCTGTTACTCTGCAGAGAGTATAAAAATGACACATCTAAGACAAATTTTGAAGCCTATCTACACTATTTTGGCCAGGAGGAATTAGACCTCCCTGCATGGTCACTGACAGTTGGATATCTCATCAAATCAGCTTTCAATTAACATAAGAAAAAGGGTACCCTTGGGGGACCAACAGTAAAAAAAAATAATTAGGCATTGTTTGCTATATAGAGGGCGCAAGTAGCTATAAGTAGTGCAGTGGGGCTTTAAAAGTTTCAATACACATGTATATCACACTCACCCTGACTAGTGACGACCGTGCTGACCTTGACCCCTTTGTGACCTAAGTCCTTTAACCTCTCCTCGATCTGTGAGCACTGTAGCTTGTACTGGGACAGAACCACAATGTCACTGGCTTGAGCTCCTTTCCGTAGCAGCTGCTTGACTATTCTTGTCTGAAAATCACAAGTAGAGGTGATTTGCTTTGATTGGACTTGATTTTATTTATTGACCAACAAAAAAATTATTACAGTAGACAACCTCAGAGATAGTACATGACTAAACAAATGACCCCAAATACCGTACCCACAGGTATTTTAAACATGGAGAAGTCCCACTTTGTGCATTTTAGAATAACGCATGCCAAAATGATGGAAGTGCTTTATAAATACCTTTGTGCACCCTTTTGAATAAAGAATACTCCCACATGTGTATCATAGAATGTAAAGTCGGCGCCTAAAATTGATTATGTAGCTTTCATGAAACACGTATCCAGTATTCATCTCGATGAGATTTACAATTTTGTACAAGAGGACAATTTGTTTGCCCATCCATGAACTGGCTTATAAATACAAATCCACATCATACAAGATGTAACATGGGCTAATAAAAAGGGACCTGGGGAGTGTTTCATGAAGACGAAGATCAACTTAAGTTGGACTCAACTGTGGCAGGCCATTCATGCCACTGTTGTTTGCTCTTACCATTTTTACTGGCATTGGTCTCTCAAGGGACGTACACATTATGGTCACAAATCTACAGAATTTACATTTTGATAATTCATTTTTCAGGTTATATGCATGTCGTACTACATTACATATAAAGTTTGGTGATTCATACAGAGGGGGTTGGGGGGGGGGGGGGGACTTACCATGTATATGGAATATTGTTTATCAATGTATACAGTTCACAATATTCCATCCATCCATCTACCCACCCACCCAACCACTCACCCATCCATCCACTCACCCACCCATCCATCCGTCTATCGACCCACCCAAACACACACCCACCAAACCATCCATCTATCCACCCACTCACCAACCCACCATCCATCCACCAAACCACACACCCACCCACCCATCCATTTTTTAAAAATTTTTTTTTAACAACTTTGTTTTATTTCTCCAGAAGTGTAATACAAACCATGACATACAATTGAATAAAATAAACGTGTTCAATATTGATGCTTTTACATAAACATAATTAAACACAAACTTATTTGCAGTATAATATAACTTAGCAACAAAGTAAACGTATAAGTACCTAAACATAATATGTCAATTGTAAAATGTTATTTACTTATATATTACAAAAAAAAAACAAATCTGGAGATAATTTTACTGAAACAATCCTGCCCCCTCCCTGCCCCCTACATCACACAGACATACTCACCCTCTATCACACAAACATACTCACCCACTCACACACATACTCACCCACCCACCCACCCACCCCCCCCCCCACACACACACACACACAGTACTCACTCAGTGGATGTCTGCCAACATTCTCAACTTAAGAAAAATATACTATATACATATATCCATACACCCACCATCCACCGACCACCCACCCATCTATCATCCCACCCACCAGCCATCCACACACCCACCCATCTAGCCACTCACCCACCCATCCCACCCATCCATCCACCCACTCACCATCCATCTATCCATCCACCCACCCATCCATCCTTCCACTATCCACCCATCCAGCCACCCACCCATCTATCCTACCACTCACCCACCCATCCATCCAAACAATACATCCACTCACCATCCACCCACCCATCTATCCACCCACACATTCATCCATCCATCCACCCACCCAAACACCCATCCATCCATCAATACATCCACCTACCATCCAGCCACCAAGCCATCCATCCAGCCACCCAGCCATCCACCCACCCTTACACCCAGTCCCACCCATCCATCTATCCATCCACACACCCATCCACTCACCCACCCATCTACCCATCCACCCACCCATCCATCTACCATCCATCCATCCACTCACCCAACCATCCAGCCCTCCACCCACCCAAAATACCCACTTAAACACCCACCCACCATCCACCCACCCACCAATCCATCCATCCACCCACCAAACCATCAATCTATCCACCAACTCACCAACCCATCCATCCACTAACCCACTTAACCACCCATATATCCACCCACCCACCCGAACACCCAACCATCCACCCACTTACCCCCTTACCCACCCACCCATCTATTTACCAACTCACCCACCCATACATCCACCCACTTACCCACCCACCCACCAACCCATCCACCCATCCACCCACTTACCCACCCATACATCCACCCACTTACCCACCCACCCACCAACCCATCCATCAACTATCCATCCACCCACAATCCACCAACCCCATCGATCCATCCATCCATCAACCCACCTAACCATACACCCACCATCCATCAACCCACCCACCCACCCACCCATCATCCATCCATCCATCAACCATCCATCCACCCGCTTACTCACCTACCCACCCACCCATCCATCCCATCTATCTACCCACCATCCACGACACACCCATCGATCCATCCATCCACCCACCCATCCATACACCCACCATCCACCACCCACCCACCCACCCATCTATTCACCCATCAGCCATCCACCCACACACCCACCCACCCATCTATCTAATCACTCACCCACCCATCCATCCACCCACCCATCCATCTATTCATCCACCCACTTACCCACCTACCAACCCACCCATCCATCCACCCACCATCCATCTACCCACCCAGCAATCCAGCCACCCAGCCATCCACCCACCAAACACCCACCCATCCATCCAAATACTTGCCCAGCTACCAACCCACCTATCCATCAACCCACTTACCCACCTCCCCACCCATCCATCCATCCAATACATCCATCCACCCACCCACCATCCACCACACACCCATCGATCGATCCATCCACCCACCCATCCATCTATCCATCCATCTATCCATCCACCCACCCACCATCCACCCACCCATCCACCCACTTACCCACCCATACATCCACCCACTTACCCACCCACCCACCAACCCATCCATCAACTATCCATCCACCCACAATCCACCAACCCCATCGATCCATCCATCCATCAACCCACCTAACCATACACCCACCATCCATCAACCCACCCACCCACCCACCCATCATCCATCCATCCATCAACCATCCATCCACCCGCTTACTCACCTACCCACCCACCCATCCATCCCATCTATCTACCCACCATCCACGACACACCCATCGATCCATCCATCCACCCACCCATCCATACACCCACCATCCACCACCCACCCACCCACCCATCTATTCACCCATCAGCCATCCACCCACACACCCACCCACCCATCTATCTAATCACTCACCCACCCATCCATCCACCCACCCATCCATCTATTCATCCACCCACTTACCCACCTACCAACCCACCCATCCATCCACCCACCATCCATCTACCCACCCAGCAATCCAGCCACCCAGCCATCCACCCACCAAACACCCACCCATCCATCCAAATACTTGCCCAGCTACCAACCCACCTATCCATCAACCCACTTACCCACCTCCCCACCCATCCATCCATCCAATACATCCATCCACCCACCCACCATCCACCACACACCCATCGATCGATCCATCCACCCACCCATCCATCTATCCATCCATCTATCCATCCACCCACCCACCATCCACCCACCCATCCATCCACTCACCCACCATCCATCCACCCACCCAGCCATCCAGCCAACCACCCACCGAACACCCATCCACCCATCCATCCACCCACTTACCCACCTACCAACCCACCCATCTATTCCACCCATCCATCCTTTCCACCCATCCATCTATCCAGCCATCCAACTCACCCACCCATCCATCATCCACTTATCCACTCACCCACCCATCCATCACCCACTTACCCACCCATCCATACATCCACGGACCATCCATACACCCACCTTCCACCACTCACCCACCAACCATCAACCCACACTCCCACCCACCCATCTATCAAATCACCCACCCATCTATACATCCACCCACCCAACCATCTATCCACCCACTCACCCATCCATCCACCCACCCACTTACCCAGCTATCCACCTACCCTCTTACCCACCCACCCTTACACCCAGTCCCACCCATCCATTCATCCAACCACCCAACCTCTCAACCAACCATGCTCCTACGTACACATTATGGTCACAAATCTACAGGATTTACATTTTTTGATAATCCATTTTTGAAGGAAAAAATAATATCTGAAGATCATAATGGTGAGAGCATCCAATTTAATCTCAAAATTCTTGTGATTTAAGAGAAAAATATTGAAGACAAAATGTAAGAAGGACACTTACAGCGTGCATGATTTCAGCCATGTTGGCCTTGGACATCTCGTTTCCTTCGTCGGACTTGACCGTTAGCGTTTCTTCCTTGCCGTAAACATGACAGAAGACCATCGGGGTTAGACCCTTGTTTGGCCAGATTGCTCTTAGGGGGTCAGGGCTGCGGCGCTTGACCGACAAGTCAGTTTGCAGTTTGTCTTCGTAGAAGGTCTCCGACGGGAAGGAACAGATCGACTCGTGCTGGAAGTTGAAAGAAATGATTTTAATGTTTTAAGCCCCTCTTTTCAGTGGGCTAGGAAGCAAGTTTAAATGAGTTCAAAGTGATATACTCAGCATCATTTATTGTGGTCATAACCCATTGACTAAATTATCTAATTCCCATAAGCCTTATTTAGGAACAAACCGGATCCAGTAGCCAATGGGTTAATCTAATCACTCACTTTAATGAATGAGTATAAGGGGAAACATGTCATAGTACGCCAGTACATGCCCATGCACAAACGGTGCTCCTACGTACGCTCTGGCAACAATTGCTCCAGGCATCACTTTATCTATTAAGACAGGGTTACAGTTGTGGTGGCAATTTGAATTTACCTGTAGGTTTATGGGTTTAGAGTTGAGGTTAGGGTAAGGTACCGGTACAGTGTTTGGTTCAGGTTTGAAGCTAAGAATTTCATTAGAACAGGATTTTGACTGCGAAGCAATTAACGACGAAGCATATGGGATGAACATCCAGAAGCGAGGTCATCTAATAGTCTACTCACAAGTCACTTCAACCATTATTCAGAGTGTTATTTTGCCACTTAAACTTGCAAGATCTCTTTACATGCCAGAGTTGAATGGCAAACATACAGAGCAAAACATTCTTTGATGGTTTTTAAAAAACCGAGACCTACCATACGATACTGGATGGTGAGCATGCGAGCTTTTTTTTTGTATTTCTCAAGGAGTGACTCCTCCATGCCTAGATCCCGTGCATTCGGTTCTGTGATGATTGGCCTGTAACATAAGATGGAAAAAGTTCTTGTACTTTTAATACTCATCAGATTTTCATAGATCCTTGCTTTCGAGGTGATTTTTTTTTGTTAAAGCTACTGTAAGGTTCAAGGAATGATTTCAGTTTGTCCTTGTTTTAAGGACAGAAAAAGGCTCGTTCAGATATGACGCTGCAAAATTTCTGTTTTTTGTTTTAATGCCATGAAGTGTAATACACTTCACATTCCTGTATCTCATAAAACAGAGCTCAGTGAATACATGAATGTCATTTATTGTGAGCAGTTGCCATTCATTTACACATTAAAAAACCCAGCGGCTGTTTTGAGGCTGTTTACGGCGCCATACATCTGAACAGGTCTTAAGGAGTGATTCAAAGCGAGTGCAACTTGATATCAATCGCACCACTGAACTAAAGAGACAGAAGTTTGTACGGCAGCGGTTGATTGGAGGACTTGTGATCGATCCAAATCAATCGCAATTCTTTATTTGACAGGACACAGATCGAATATCATGTGAATAATTGGTTTTAAAAAGATCAATATAAACACGCGGAAAAAAAAGCACAAACACGTTTGAAGTATGTTCAGGTACATAAGCTGTAGGTGAAAATGATTCATACTAAGTAACATGTACGAAATCTACTGGATACATGTATACAATCATCATTCATTTATCCACCAATTGCCAAATGCCCAATATACAGTTACAAATATTTTTTTCAAAGGGGGAAACAAATTCAAGTTATCCATGGTTTCAATTACTTTGGTAGTGGTTATTCCATATGCTCTCTATGTTAAGAATATCTCTGGAACATTCCCTGACTATAAAATCGTATGTTTGGAACAAGAAGGGCCTTCTTTCAAAGTTAACGCCCTTCTGGCCCCAAACAGACAACATGATCAGTACCTGAGTTGTTTGTGATCTCCAATGAGGACTACCTGATGAGGGAGAGTGCTGGTGAGGGGAATGAGTGTCTCAGGCTCGTTACACATGCCAGCCTCATCCACAATACACTGGATGATGTTGGCGTGCTTTGTGATGCGAGCCGTTCCAGCTATGCTACACGTGCACAGAACGATGGAATGCTTCCCAAGTTCCACACCCTAGGAAATGTAACCATGTATATGTTAACATTAAAATTTCTTGTCAACTGAACCTGTGCAACATGAATGAATTAATATATTTTTCATTAATAGAATAGGGTCTACATTCAGCTCAACTGACCTTATACTATGCCGACGAAAAGGGTTTGTAAGGACTCTCATATTATTCTAGCTAGCATTACTACAGCCCATTGTCATTAAACGGCTGGCTTTACTTACTTTCTCGCTAAATAGTTCCATCAGATTCTCTAAGGACTCACCTCTGCCTCAAGTAGGAGCTCTTTGTATGCTCTAACTTCTGTCACGCTTGCAGATGAGATACGCCCAAAGTTGAGCTCCATTGCTCGGATCTCTTCTGCGTACGGGGCTCCAGGTTTGCGGATCAACTTATGAAGGGAGACATCGTCCAGCCGATCGTCGATGCGAGCCTGGTTGGCGCGCTGCCACTTAGAATGAGAGCTAGGCATGCCTGGAATGGGGTAGACCTTTTCGACCATTGAATCACTGTAGACTCGTACGATAGAGATATCCAACTTCTTCAAGTAACCTGTAAAACACGATATCAAAGTGCATATAGCAGAACTCTTTCAATCAATTGGTCTCTTAATGGGGCTGAAAAACCCTACAGTTTGTACAAGTCGATTTACCTTTTACATACTCTTAGGGAATAAGGACAAATTTGCACTCGGCAAAGTAAAAGGACCCATACTGAATCTCTACCCAACAACAAACATAAAACCACATTTCCTAGATCGTAATTACAACTGTTAAATTATGAGTTTTAATTCATAATCTATATATAAGTAAAGCAAGAAAATCCTCCTCCTCCCCCTCCCTTTTCTAGAAATACAGGCAAACTTTTTCTTACTTCAATTAAGTGGTAAATCATTAAAGCTCTTCAGTGGCATTTGCCACCAATAGCATAGCATGAGTGAAGATAATGAAGGACTTACTAGAAATAACATCAACGGCCTTGTTGGAAGGTCCACAGTAGAGCACCTGAGCTCTACCTTTACCCATTGCTGGTACATTCACGTTGACTTGGGTGAAGAAGTAAGCCAAATACGCACCCGTCACTGTCTTACCGGTTCCTAAAATAGAAAGTTAGCAACAATAACTCAGTACTCCAACCCTATGTATTGTTATCATTAATGTCAGGGGACTCAAAACAAAGCAATTCATATTCAGTTACTGAATTTATCATTTGTATCAGATTCATCATGCACTTATGAAACAAGCAGATAAAGAACTTAGCTAGAAGGATACTAGAGGCACAAATGCAGAGCTGCCAACCTCCAGAACAGAAAATCAGTAATCACAAGGCTCAAAATCAGTAATTTGGGGTATAAATCAGTAATTTCTTATGCGGCGCTATGAATCTAAAAAAACGACACGCCAACACTGCGCGGACGCATGATTATCTGAAATTTTTGGTGATTTTACTCACACAAAGATGTTAAGTATTGAATTTCAGGTCATCACAACACAGTTTATCATGAAAAATGGCTCCTATTCACAGCACTCGCTACGATAAATCATATTTAATTCATTAAAAAAAAAAAAAAAAAAAAAAAAAAAAAAAAAAAAAAAATAAAAAATCTTTTTTTTTTTTTTTTTTTTAAATCCGTAATTTGAGACAACATTCCGTAATGGTCGTTAATTTCCGTACCAATTACGGAAAATCCGTACTAGTTGGCAGCTCTGCAAATGTGTACCAGACGCATCTTTCCCTCATTCAGTACATGTTGCTTCATTTAATATTTGCAGTCACATTAACCCTTACTGTACTGGGGGGGGGGGGGGGCCTGGGAGGCCCCCCCCCTCAACATTTTCGGAGATTGCGCCGCAACCGCTTGGAATTTTGAATTGTCGTTTCATGACTTTTTTTCCTCAAGTCTTACGCACATTTTGATACCATTTTCGTCAAAATCGGATATACCTGTAAGGCGTTACATAACAATTAGTATGCGCATGTCATCCAAAAAACACACACAAAAAAAAAAATCGCATCAAAATTTGCATAAATTATCATTATTAATAACATTAAAATAACTTCTTTGTGTTAGAAAAGTAGTTTCATATGAATAATGAGTTTCAACATTCAAAAAGTGGAGTTTGACACGTTTTCTGTAAAATGCATAAAATTAGCGCATTTTGCATAATTAATTAGGCGAACGACAAAAATTTGCATATTCGGAAAAAACTAATTATACCATCTTGTTCCTTACGTAAATATCTACAAACATGCAAATTTTCGTGTTCATCGGACAATCGACGGCCGAGATCATAGGGGGGGGCCTCCCAGGCCCCCCCCCCCCCCCCCCCAGTCAGAGGGTGCTCAAAATAGCCCAGTACAGTAAGGGTTAAAGGTCCTCTAAAGTGTTGGGAGGCCCAAATATTTAATGTCAAAGAGGATGTCATTTAAGAAAAATGTCTGTAAGGATTTTCAAAGCAAATGTGTTTGAAGTCGAATATTGATGAAAGAATACAAAATTTAGGTTTTCTGCGTACAACAGAAAATCCAAATTATGTACGGTATTCTTTTATCAATATTTGTCTACAAACACATTTTTTTGGGGAAATCTTAAATGACATCTCTCACATTATAATACAATTAAGTGAAATTTTGCCATCAAATCTTTGGTGAATTTCGGGCCCCCAACACTCTAGAAAGGCTTTAGCATATATGTGCAGTTAACAACTAAATTATTCATACCCAATGTAAATTGGATGTTTTTGTTCTTTTTGTTAAGGAACTCAAGTATGAAAGGTGGACAGGTTGAATTAAGGCCTAAGTTGAATAGTTTCAGTTGTAAGCTTCAATAGAGGAAACATAAATTTTTCACATATTTAAAGAATTTACACAACTTGGTAAGGGTATGAATAATTAAATTGGTAATTTTACATGTACAAGCGCATTATTCTTTGCAGTAAACTTAATAATAACAATAACACATAACAAGTTACAGGTTCTCAGCCAATCATTTTGATTTGGATTCAGTTTGATAGTTCCCTCCCAGGCAGAGTTGACACCAAATACTTTGATAACAACTAACCTGGTGGACCTTGGATGAGAGAGAAGGTGTTCGTGAGGGCCATCTTGACTGCTTCTGACTGGGGTTTATTGAGGGGGTGTAGTTCCGTCTCCTGTACATGGAGGTCTTTCACCTTCCCACCTTCCTTCAGCGCGATCTTTGTGATCTCATCTTTGGAAACAGAAGAAACAAAAATCAGGCTACAATCATCCGTTGAATATTAAGCCAGAACTAGATGGAATTCGACTGCGCGCAGTCGAAAATGATGCCTCCGTCATAGAGCAATTTTACAAACCGAAACGGAAGAAATTTTTCAAATTCAAGTTCAATTGTAATCCATTAACATGTTCTCAGAATATCGTGATTACAAGCAATTTCTCATAAACATATATGACCCTTTGATCTTTGACCTCATGACCCTAAAATCTACTCAGTTCATTGGCTCTGCAAGATTTCCTGAGTTAAATAGTAATCCATCTGTCAGTTCTAATGAGAATGCGTCCACAAGCTATTTTTGCATACATAATGAGCCCATGACCTTTGATCTTATGAACCATTCATTGGCTCTGCAAGATACATAAATGATCTAAGTTTGGCAGGAATCCATCAATCTGTTCTAATGATTATACGATCACAAGCTATTTTTGCATACATAATGAGCCGCATGACCTTGACCTTTACCTCATGACCCCAAAATCTAATCAGTTCATCAGCTCTGCAAGTAACATACATGACCAAAGTTTGGCAGGAATCCATCAATCGGTTGTTCAGATAACGCGATCACGAGCTGTTTTTGCATACATAATGTGCGCTGTGACCTTTGACCTCGTGACCCCAAAATCTAATCAGTTCATTGGCTTTGCAAGATACATACATGACCAAAGTTTGGCAGGAATCCATCAATCGGTTCTTCAGATAACGCGATCACAAGCTGTTTTTGCATACATAATGAGCCCTGTGACCTTTGACCTTTGACCTCGTGACCCCAAAATCTAATCAGTTCATCAGCTCTGCAAGATACATACATGACCAAAGTTTGGCAGGAATCCATCAATCGGTTGTTCAGATAACGCGATCACAAGCTGTTTTTGCATACATAATGAGCCCTGTGACCTTTGACCTTTGACCTACGTGCTCCAAAATGTAATCAGATTGTTTTCCTATAGTGATACACACTATCACTAAGTTTGAAGTTTAAATCTCCAGTGGTTCTTGAGATATCATGATAACAATCTCAATGTATGGAATTTCATAAGTTGACCTCTGTGACCCTTGACCTTTGACATACGTGCTCCAAAATCTAATCAGATCGTCTTCCTATGGTGATACATACTATCCTTAAGTTTTAAGTTTAAATCTCAAATGGTTCTTGAGATATCGCGCTAACAAACTCAATACAAGGAATTTCATAAGTTGACCTCTGTGACCTGTGACCTTTGACCTACGTACTCCAAAATCTAATCAGATCGTCTTCCTATGGTGATAAATACTATTCCCGAGTCTTAAGTTTAAATCTTAAATGGTTCTTGAGATATTGTGATAACGGTCAAACGGGACGGACGGACGGACGTACGGACGGACGGACGTACGGACGGACGTACGGACGTACGGACGGACAACCCGAAAACATGATGCCTCCGGCACCACCTTCGGTGGCGGAGGCATAAAAAACTTTTGCTGAAGCCTAAGGAAAAATACCAAAAATGAAACTGTATCTAACAGGGTATGAATATTAGCTCAATACAAAGTACTGGGTACAATTATTATTTCAAGAGAGTTTGGAATTCAGCAGCGACAACCCAGGAAAATTAAAGAAAATATTTCTGTTATACAGAAGGTCCCTCATATGTCCTCTTGTCAATTAAAGACCCTATCTGATGAAAATACAACTTTATATCAATGGAAGGCTGAATGAACGTAGAATGAACTTAGAATACAAAATATTTCCCTTTTATTATTGCACAAAAGGAAATTAAAACCTCATAAAAAATATAAAAAATTGGTGCTAGCTTTTTCAAGGAATACAACAATTGATTCAAGGGCTCAATTCTAAGAAGAAAGACTTACTTGAGTTGAAGACTCCATCATCAGCTTTGCATGGTTTGTGGAGGCAGATATTACGGATCAGAGGGGTTGTGTCTTGTAGCTTCCTCACAGCATTTTCTGCACGCCTACAGGTGTCAAAACAAAACATAATGTTCATCTTTTGATACAAAGTACAAGAAGAACAGAATTTTTAAAAAACAGTGAATACTGAATTTTAGACGACTGGGGTTAGAGTTTAAGGAAAATGCATATTATACCACAATCAAGTCATACAATTGGTTTAAGATGGCAACTCTTATATAAAGTGCTAATTCTTAAGTGAGAATTTTCATACACATGACTCTTTAAAGATATCAGTTAACAATCCAGATTAAGTAGAATGTTACTTGTGTTAAGCTCCAAAGGTTAATATAAGTTCTATGGGGACCAATATCTTGAAGTCACAACATTAGCACCTTGGAGGACTTTATCAAAGTCTTCCATCCAGAAATACCTCTGAGAGACTTACACCTGTATAAACCTATAAGACCTTAAACTTATATACATGTATTTCATATCAGCCAAGTTCAACATTTCTGCCCTTAATGGCTATGGAAATATGTGGACTACACCATGTACGTTTAACAGGTATGTGTATCAATAAATTGTCCCTTTTCCCATTTCAATGGTATTCATATTGCCTTCAAATCCAGGAGACAATCAGTTTGTTCAACAATTTAATAATTTCAAGAAAAAATATGTTTGGGAACGGAAGCACTTCCTCTTTGCTCAATAGTTGTTTTTAATCTATGAAAGTAAAGAATTGTCCTTACAAGTCTGGAATTGGCTTGGGGATGATTTCAATGGTGCAGGACATCTGCTTTCCTTCATGTTGGTAGAGCAGTGCATCCTCTGGGAACGGTAGGGAGGTGGTGTGGAGCTGGAAAGTGATGGTCCTCAGCTGGGCCCTCTTGTCAGTCTGGACGTCTGTGGTGTACCCATGGGCTACAAAGGTCTGTTCAGTCCATGCCAGGCGATTGTAAGGTCCTATCGTCTCTTGGTGCTTTGAACTACTGTCCAAGTCACGTATCTTAAGCAGCTTTCGGCTATGGACTCTGAGATTCCTGTAGCGGACGCAGATGAAGTCTAGCTCGTAGTCCTCATCGTCTTCCTTACTCTTGTCCTTGTTCTCTGGTCGCTTGTTGATGCGAATGAAGCGTTGCTCAAGAAAGGGAAGGGGAAGATTGAAATAACCCTGGTACTTGTTGCCTTCCAATTTCTGCCAGTTGATCACTACATTGTGGATGGTGATGGTGTCATCAGAGTTGACAGCACTATGAGCACTGATCATTGACAGGATGGGGAGCCAGGATTTCTTGTAAGCAGCAATGGACTTCTCCTTCCCCGGAATCTTGGTGGCGACGTCTGAAAAGCAAAGCACAGGCTGATCACGGTGCTCTGCACACACATCCAGATGTGGTGTCATGTTGAAGAGCTGGATATAGGGAGTCAGGACCCCTTTAAAGAGACGAGCATGCAACTGGACTTGGTTGACATCACCTTTCTTGAAAGAGCGGCAGAATTCAATGAATGACTGCTGCTTTCCCGTCATGTCCACATACTCACACGTCACCTCAATTGAGGACTTCTCGTTAAACCGCCTCATTGGATCCATGTGCTGACAAAGCTCCTGCCCTCCAGAATTGATGGCTGACTCAATGGCTCTCTTGATGGACTCGTAATTTCCAGTTTTCACACTGTTGCGGATGTCTTCCCAGTTGTCCTCTGGGATATTCACAATGTGGCGCCCGTTGTCCAGTTCTATGGCATTCCTTCTGTGTCCATGCCTCTGTTTTCCTTCTAGGTTTATGTCATAGATTCTCGTCTTCCATGCTAGGTCAACAGATTCAGACGCAGCAGTAGTCTCTGGTCTCCTTGAGGGCTTAAGGATATTGAAGCCCAGCTTGCACTGTGTTGGGAGAATGTATGGCCTATGTGGAAAGAGAAACTTCAAACCAGAGTCTGAGATACTTTCCACAAATGTAAGCAGTTGCAGAGGAGCTTCCTTCAACTTCAGAGCCAGCTGGAGAGACTTGCTTTCCTTTGAGAAGCGCTGGGAATGCACAGCTCGGCTAGAACAATTGTGGGTTATGTTGGCCAGCTCTCTTGCTTCATAGGGACATGGTAGACCTTCCAAGCTAGCAATCAGCATCCGGTGAACAACAAGATCGATGAACCTGCGGATGGGAGATGTGAAATGGACATATGCTTTGAGCTTCAATGAGAAGTGTGCCTTTTGTTCAGGTCCTGGCTGGTCTCCTGAGTTCACATACTCTGAACGCTCCATAATCCGATGAAACTGAGACAAGGCTACGGCTTGAAGAGGATGGTTTGGATCCATGCATACCATGTTGATGACTTTATCCACTGCCTTCTGGGTGTTTTCACTGGAGGCCTGAACAATTTCCTCCCAGACTGGTTTGGTCAAAGGAAGCACTGGGCCGTCTTCATCATCCTGGTCGACATCTTCTTCCTGATCCTGATTCACTGTAGCAGTCAGCAAGATACTGTTGCGGACACCATCCTTGTGTGTCTTCCTCCATTCCTCCACTTTGTCTAGGGGTGGTGCTAGTTGCCTCCTGAGGGGAGTACTATCTGCATACTTCAACAGAAGATGGTCTCCAACAGTTTCGTTGGCAAGAACCATCATCTCTTCAATCAAGCTGTGAGCAAGTGGATCTTGCACCTCTCCATCATCATCCTCTGCATTGTAGACAAATTTCTTATCTCCTAGACGACGAGCTCGTTTCTTGCTTGCCAGATTGTGCAGGCAGCGGATGGATTCAGCAACATCCTCTAATCCATCGGGACATTCTCCATGGATGATCTCTTCTGCCTGATGGTAGGAGAGCTTATGGCAGGAACGAATGATTGTACGGTGCATGTTTGGTGCTTCAGCGAGTATTCCGTTAGAGTTGACCACCACCAACAAGGACAAAGCCAACCTGTCCTGATTAGGAAGGAGACTGCAGAGGTCAGTGCTTAGCTTCCTGGGGAGCATGTGGATGGGTTTCTCATGGAAGGACGGATAGAAAGATGTTGAACGAATCCTTGCTTCTTCATCGAGGTCACTCCCTTTGGGAACAAAGTAGGAGACATCAGCTATGTGGATTCCCACCCTAAAGCGATCTCCGTCGATTGGCTCCACGCTGACTGCGTCATCCAGATCTTCTGAACCAGGAGGGTCGATAGTGAAGATCTTCATGTTTCTGAGATCTACTCTTTTCTCCAGGTCAGCCTTAGGAATGGCCCACCCTGCAGGAAAGTTCTCTCTGAGGTAAGCATTAACAGAGTCCTTGAACTTATCTTTCACATTGTGAATTAGCTTGAGGATGTGCAGTCCTTGCCTAGGTTCGATGCCTGGCTCTAGTTCTTCAATGACTACTCCCAGTGGGTAGGGAGTCTTGGGGTACCACTTCCAGAAACGAACAACAAAAAGCTTATGAGGACGTTCCTTGTTCGTGACATACACGTCTCTATTATGCGTGTAGTATCCCTGTGTCTTAGCAGCTACACGAGAGATGGTGTGGATTGTGACTTTTGTCACATTCTTGTCTCTTGACTCTTCAGCTTTGTCTTCGGTCTTTGTGATGAAGAGCTTTGGGAATGTACGGTCCACAGGCACCATCAAGTTGTTGCTGAAGGGGTCAAGGGTACACACAAGTTTGCGTAGATATGGATCAGAATCTCTCTTCAGAATGTGAACAACCTTCCCATAGATTCTCTCATCTTCTTCCACCTTCACAAGCTCATCAACTCCTTCTAATTCTTCTGTGCCTTCCCTGTTCTCTATGATCTCTACCACAACCTCATCATTGTCCAATGCTTGTCCTCTACGTTTCTTGCTGGTAATGGATACGACTTCTGATGCTTCACGTTCATGAGGAATCGCAAGTGTTGCGCCCTTCATATCATATCTGAAGGTGCAGACCCTGAATTTTTCAGGTTCTGTAACTGTCTTTTCCAGGTAATCATCTTCTGTCTTCTCCTCTGGTGATCCATGTGCTTCATCTTCATCTGAATCGTAATCTTCCACTTGGCTAAGCGCACTCTGCGGCATGTTCCTTGGCAGCAGAGCAATTCGACCAGCCCTTTCCACCATACGGAAGCTTGGAACATTTCCATCAGTTGACATATCCAATTCTGGCTCAGATGGCCGAGCACTCATTGGAACTGGAGGCTTAGTGGGTAGTGTCTGAGGAGGTGCCTTCACTGATTCTCTCTGTCCTTTAGGTTGACCGGCCCCTGCCATTGGAGGAGCATGCCTTGCCTGGTGTGCTGAAACTGGTTCACCTCGCTGCAGTATCCGAGGTGGAGCTGTTGCTTCTGGTTCTGGTGATGTTTCTGGTTCACTTTCTGTACCCTCACCAGATTCTGGACTCTTACTAGGTTCACCCCTTTTGTTCATCTCCTCTTGAAAGTCCACTTTCACTTGTAGACGGAGCTCTTCCAGAAGATCATCGTCTTGGATGTTTGTCACAATGTCCTCAAACTCATCCTCCTCTTCTGATTCATGCAAGGGGCTCTGAACATGGTTTTGCACATGATTCACCTCAGGTAGTTCTGGGAATTCATCACTGTTCAGTCTCTGATATCCTGGGACTGCTCTTCGTGGGACTGCTGCTGCTGCTGACTTGTCAGCGTGAGTCTTCCGTGCAGACTTGCCCCATATGCTATTCTCTCCAGTCCATCGGGACGGAGATGCACCTACATGATCGGCAGCAGCAGCTGCTTTGGATGTTCTTGCTGATGATGCTCCCTTGCGTGGTTGAAAGGTGGCAGCTGTGGGATTAAGCCTTTGCTTTGCAGCCGCTATCTCCTCCTGAATCATATCCACAGTCATCTCTGGTGGCATGATGCTATTGTTCTTCTGACACTCCTGCACGTACCGCACCCAGGTCATTTGACAGGCTCCAACGGAGCAGAGTGCCACTGGGTCCCCTACGACAAAGATCATCGACTTGGCACGGGTGAACGCCGTGTTGAGAAGGCGCTCGTCAGACAAGAAGGCATAGTAGAACTCATTCTCTTGTTGATTTCCAGATGCTTGTGGAATAGCAGTGATGTGAGCCTTGTTGACAGTCTCTCTGGTACGGACTGTACTTATGACCACAGCCCGGAACTGCTTTCCTGCAATTGAAAACAAACATGAATTCTGCGTTTGACAGCAGGAACTTTGCAAGTCTTAAATCGAAATTTTCAATAATCAAATACTCTTTTTTGTGAAACATAACAAGTACAAAACAAAATTGTACATGTACATCTTTCCTGCAAAAGGTAATAGATTTTGGCATTTCCTTTATGCTGCCATACAAATAAGGAGAGAAGACTATTTCTCAATGAAGCATTCAAATTTTCTTGAAGTAATTACATGCAAATTCTTACACAGGAATGCTATAATGCTATAACAAGCAATTTTTGCATACGAGAGCCCCATGATCTTTGACCTTGTGACCCCAAAATCTAATCAGTTCATTAGCATTGCAAGATACATACATGACCCAAGTTTGGAGGGAATTCATCAATCAGTTCTTGAGATAACGCAATCAAGAGAAAGTGACATACAGACAGATGGATGGACAACCCTAAAACTTAATGCCTCCCGCTACTACCCGCGGAGGCATAATAAAAGCTAGGAACTTGTCAAATCAAGAGAATCAAAACTAGCCTGTGTGAAATACCTTTCAGATTTCTTATTGCTACATTGAAAATAAGTATTTCTTTATTGTGCGACACATACATAATATTAACTTTTATAATAATAAAGTTACCACCATACAAAACTTTCTAATAAACTTATGTTTTCTTTTATTGTTTTTTTTTAATGGCTGATATAATCTCCCTTACCTTGCACATTCTGTACAGTGTCCACAGTGATCTGTCCCAAACCTCTGCGCCTCAGCTCTTTGCGTATCAGGTGCACCTAGAAAAAGAGCATAAAAAAAAAGCACCTCCTATAACTTTCTACAATGTATTAGAAACAACCATTCCATTATTTGTCATGCTATATGATTATAAGCAATGTCATTTTTCTTTCACATTTAAATTCCACATATTTAGCTCAGAAGTCCATTTCCAATTGAACATCAAAACCGTATGACTTCTGAAACACAGCAACACATAGACACAGTAACAAACTTTTCAAATACAGCAGCACAGAGAATCAACAAAACACGTAAGTGCCTCTACATACCTGCCAACATTAAGAAAATAAGAATTAGGAATTTTTAGCGCGGTATACCTTTGAAAATAAGAAATGGCCCTTGCAGCGGCAGTGTAACTGGCACTAAGCAGTAAATATGTACCCAAAAGCGAATATAAATTCGCTGCTCAATCATGCAACCTTTTAACGCACAGAATATGTGATTTCTCAAATCACAGCACATGATAAAACAAGCATTAGGGAAGGCAACTTTATTATCACTCGCGTTCGTCCGGGTTTAGGACGGTCGCGTCCCCTCCTTTGTTAGCAGAACGGGACTGTCCTGAACGCGTAAGGTAAGGGGGATTAAAACCTTCTCCATTCATCGCGTATCCTCCTTTGTTTAGAGACCGCGAGCGTCCCAAATGCGTCCCCAATGAAAGGGGCAAGAATGGGGGGATTATGTTACATAATATTACATAATTCTTGAAAGGGATAGGGTTTCTATTTGTCGCGCTAAGAGGGGCAAGAACTAGTTTAATCACCTTGCCAGTTAAATTCCTTCCTTCCAGCAGGGTATGTGAGTTAAAGCGATCGGAAGGCTTTCCCCATTTTAAATGAAATGTAAATGAAATGAAAATTGTGTGAATCGCAATCAATGCAGAGGTCCGTTGTTTGAGGTTGAGAGAGAGAGGGACAGAAAGAGGGAGAGAGAGGTAGAGGGACGTAGACATGCATGTTTTGTTCTTTGAAATATTTACTCTACGAGACTGTTAATGTATTTTTTATATGTCATCTATGGTCTTATGAAAACTGATTTGGAATGAATGATACTACGCCGCGGCCGCCTTGTAGCGACCAGCAGCGCTAGAACAATTTCTAATTTGCATACCCTGTACCGCCCATTGAACCCTGGGAAGGGTAATAGACATTCTGACATTTCTATCGATCTTTTCGTGGGTACAATGAAAAGGCACAAATGATGTAGAAAGTTGGATTGATAACCGTATCTTGGAAATGTTGTAATCAACACCCAAGTTCAGACAGACCGCGATATTTACGATTGTCAGCCTACGCCTTTGTTCAGAGATCGAGCGCCGACTTGTGGCGGGAATGTCATAATAAATCTGTCATTATTTGTATGTCGTTGTTGCGACTGGACAATGGTGAGGAGAATTTTTGTTCTGATAACAAAAACAGATCCAACAATTCCCCTTTTTAATTCGGGTAATACACCTTAAAACTCTCTCTCGATAGTAGTTATTTTACCTGACTGCTAAGAAAGCATAAATGCTTGTTAGTAAGCAACCAGACGGCAGACGGCTTTAGGTCCTCTCCGAGGGACCTGGTAATGAGGATTAATGCCTTACTAAAGGACCCTGTCTTCAAATTGTTTTTTAATCGCTCATTCGTGAAATATGCATTATAAGAGTTGCATCAAATGAAAGAAGAGGATCTAAGCTTTACCAATATGTGTCATTTATTAATTATAACTATGATTAAGTTATGATAAAACATCGACAATTCTCGGCTTCGTGTTTTCTGAGGCGCACTGTATAGGTCGATTGCTATCTGAAATGAGGCGTCATGTCAATCAACACCAAAGTTCCAAAACATCGCGTATATTTAACATCGTTACGCGCCTTCGTAATGCACACCCTCCCCAATTTAAATGCAATTCCGAGAAAAAAATATATGATAAAATTAAGTTTGTATTTAATTGAAGAAAAAAAGAAGAAAAAAAATATTTAAAAGAGATGGAATTACACAAATTAGAGGGGGCAGATAACGTAGGTGAAGGAAAAAATATTGAATTTCAAGATAAAGAAATCGGGAGATGTATTAAAGAATGAATTCGCAGTCTTGAACACAATTCAAATTTCTAATTTCAATGAAATTCTGTCTGAAAAAGTGATATAATAACTTTATCATATTAATCATTGAAAACAAAATCTAAGAGATGGAATTAAAAAATTAGATGAAGTAAGTGATGAACAGGGGTGTAAGCAGAATTTTTTCGCAGGGGGGGGGGGGGGGGTTAAATTGCGCCGAAAATTTTGCAATGACAGGCGGGGGTTAGAGCACATTTGTTTGTGTGTGTCCAGGATTTGATGTTTTTTTGGTCACCCATAAGCACACACAAAAAAACAAATGAGGGGGGGGGGGTTCCCCCCTCCCCCTCACTGCGTACGCGCCTGGTGATCAAGATATAAATAAAGAAATATTAGAGTTCAAGAAGAAAGAAAGGGTCGGGAGACGGAAAGATGGCAGCCGCAGGTAAAAAGGGCGACTAAATAAATACGAAAATGCATTGTACAAAATAAATCAAGAAAAGGGAAAAGTAAAACCAACAGGAAGGCAAAGATAGATCCACAACTTCACTTCACTCATTCTGGACACGTTGAAACTTAACATTACATCACTATCTGTTATTTATTTGAGAAACCAACTACAACTACCAACTACGAGTGAGCCATCACTCATCACGTGGCCTTGGTCGATGATACATAATGCAGACATAATCCAATCTTATCAAAATGCTAATGTCTCCCCTTTGTTCAGCTCCGATCCCTTCTTGGCGGCCTAGCCCTTTCATGTTTGCGCGATCTCCGTCAGACATTCCCCTCTCTCTCGCTCTCTTCTCTGTCACGTTCACTTGAGGTCATTCACTCGGCCCATAAATGGCTTTGTTTTTGTTTACATTAGCTCAGAGGCGGCTTCATAAGTCATGAATGAACTGACTAGTATGTCTGGTTACTAATGCCTAGGTCACCTATAAACCGTGCCCCGTACGATTTTTCCTACCCGGCGGCTTGCCGTGGATTTAGAGACCATACGGGAACCGTCCGATTTTCATTTCTACGGCATGTGCGGTCACATATTCTGCGGTGCCCGGGAGGTGCCCGGAGAAAATTGGTCGAGTGAAATGCAAGGCGCCCGTAAGGGTGCCGGCAGGGTGCCGGCCGAGTGCCGGCCGGTTACCTTACGGGCTCCGTCCGATGAGCAGGTGTACCGATGGCTCTCGTAAGGTGCCCTGCCGGGGCCCGGCCGGGTGCCGTGCTGTGCACTGAACTACAGAGTGAGTCAGAAAAAATGTCCTACTTTTTAAAAGTTGTATTGTTTGAAATATGAATATTTAATCATGAGTTTCATGATATATGTTAATAGAGTTATCCTCCCAGTACACTTAGGTACCATTTTCATTTGAATATCTGCATGCATCACTGAATATCAGACAATCTTTACAAGACTGTCAGATCTCACTTGCGCCAAGTTACTGGGTGAGGAATAAAACAGTGCATTGAACAAAGACAGTCAGACACGCGCACACGCACACACACACCCACACACACCACCACACACACACACACACGCACGCACAACACACATAACACACACGGTGACAATTTTGTCATAATTACCCCCTTTTCTGATTGAGCATTGATTTTTATCAAGGTCGCTGAATGTTTAAGTGGCATAACCCTAAAAATCTTTCCCTTTTGTACACATTCACTACCACCATCATGTCATCATCATCATCATTGTCATCATCTTAATCTTCATCATCATCATCATCATCATGAAGCACAACATCCACGATATCATGAAACTCATGATTAAATATTCATACTTCAAACAATACAACTTTTAAAAAGTGGGACATTTTTTCTGACTCACTCTGTATGTGTCTTCTGGTACATTTCGAGACGCCCCCGTGAGGGACCCGCACGGGCAATATTCATTTTAAATTGCCCCCGGACGGCAGACGCCTGTTGTTTTGCATATCACCGGGGCTCTTGAGGGGCCCGTGAGGGCGCCGTAGGGTACACGTACGGAACCCTTGAGCACCGCAAGGCGCCCGTAAAGATTTTTCATGAGAATTGACCCCCAAAATCGTGAGGGGCCGTCCGGGCACCGTCCGGAGCCCGCAGGGGACCCGTAAGGTGCCTACGGGCCCTTTACGGGCTTTCTACGGCCTCAAGGTCAGATAAAAACGCCGGGAGAATTGGGAGCAGCCAACTCAGCACCACGGCGCCCGTACGGCTTAAAAAACCGTCCCGGCGCCCGTAGGAACTTTACGGCAACCGGCCGGACACCGTCCGAAAATTCCCCAAATTTCTGTTTTTACTCGCCGTACGGGCCCCGGAGTGTATATGTGAAAGCCCCATTAGCAACTATGCAGTCAATCAAAATGTGGCTGCATGTTTTCATATCGGGCAATAAAAAAAGCTCCAAATTATGATATTTAACAATCATTTTTAACATAAGTATGATATAGTGAGATCCTACTCAAACTCGTGAATTTCTCATTTTTAAAGAACAATTTCCAGCAAATTACAAATATAAACTGGCCATGTTAATGACGCGGGCGTACAAACACGTCGACAGCTCTTCAGACTTTCCATCAATTGCTTTGGTGTCTCTGAGTCGACGGGTGTATATGTCATTTTGAGACGGAGAATTTATTTTACTCAAATATAAAGTAAAAGACTTGAAGAAATTTGAGTACTGCAATTTTTGTGAAAATAAGAAAATGCAATATTGTTTTTAATATAAGGAAAATAATTACAGCTTTAAATACATGACTTGGTCTAGCTCGATAAAAATCCAAACAACTATGATCATATTCATTTGTTTTTCTTCGTAACATTGGATAACAAATTTCACAAATTCCAACATACTATAAATATTGATAATTTAGATTATTTAGTGCAAGGGTAAATATGACAATGACTCGGAACATAATACAGGGATAACAATTAATCAAATTACTCTTAATACTTGTAAACGTTTTTTTATTATTTTTTATAATTTTTTTTTTTTTTTTAGGGGGGCGGGGTCAAATTTTCCCTCGTGTCGCACCACGCCTTTTTAATTTCTTGGCGAGAGGCCTGATTATGCATAGAATAAAAAAAATCAACAAAAGGGAAAAGTAAAAAAACAGGGAGGCAAAGTTACATATCTACATCTTCACTTGTAAGGCAGACTACATGCATGCAATGTAAATCCTTATTATTATTTCTATATTTATTTTGTAAAAACACTGTGACTTTACAAAAAACTCAGACTTCACAGAGCTGCCAAGCAGAACGTTTTTAACGTATTTATACGGGGGGGGGGGGGGGGGGGGGGGGGGGGGGGGTTTTAAGGGAAAATACGTATTTGTTTTGCTGTGTTCCAGGTATGGCTGTGCGAACGTGGCTACAGGTTGGCTGTGAGAACGAGCGTATGAATAGTATGCATACACACAACACAGGGGATGTACACCACTCAAAGACGTGCGCATTACCCCAGGCCATGCATACACACATGCATCCGATCTTGATATCAAACCAGCATCCACAACACACGCAAATTACATATCAGTGCACTGCACAACACACAGCGTCACTCACTAGTACAGGGAAATGCCGATGTAACTTCCAAAAATCCACCCCAAAAGCCAAATTTTGCTTTCAAAAGTGCGGAATCGGAGCCATATTTCCAAAGCACGCGGTAGCTTAGCCAAGTTTTAAAAAACGGCTTCGCCAAAAAAAGCGCTTAAAATCAAGAAATCAGAGATTTTGTAATTAGTTTTTCGCTTATCGCAAGCGCCCTTCGAGGGCCTTCGAGTGTGGTGTGGTATCTTTACCAGCGCTGCCAGGCTCAGATCACGTGACCGCATTTTAGGGGGCTATCCACATGTTGTGATTTGCGCGAATTGCTGATACACGCAATGCAGTACTGATTAATAGGTTGGGGAATACAGACACTACTAAATATGAATTATATATTTGCAGTGTCGCACAAGAAGCTTTTACTCATATATGCGGCTGTATGTAGAAAGACTTGAGGCGTTGCTGATTTGGCGCGCGACACATTTTTTAGACAAATTATTATCAATCAACACGGGAGGATTGCAGCTCTAGCTCTGCTTTCAAGACTGAAAATTCATCAATGAAAATCTACTATCTTGTATTTTTAATAAACGCAAGCTAGACGGGTGCAACTATTGTCAGGGAACACCAGACTAACGCGTTCTTGACGGGTCAGCTATTGTCAGGGGACGCCAGATTAGAAAGGATTAGAGAGGGGCTGGATAGCGGTGAGGTTGATTGACAGCGGTGCTAGCGGACGGGATGGCTTCTTTTCTGGCAGCCTGCTCTATTGTCCAACAGACAACAATAGACGCGAGCAAGGGACGCCAAGGGACAGCCAGCGTACAATACGCGTCCGGGAACGGGGGATTAAGAGATAAGTAGGCGTCCCGAACCCGGACGAACGCGAGTGATAATAAAGTTGCCTTCCCTTATTTGGCTTAAGCACTCACACACCAAAAAATAAAAAAAATAAAAAAAATAGAAATTTTGAAAAAAACAGAATATTCCGGATTTTCAGGTCCTAGAAATCCAGAAAAACTGAATATTCCAGATTATTTATAAGGGTTGGCAGGTATGCCTTTAGATGAGGTCAATGTATGGATGACTTTCAATGTTTTTAATATCAGAGGATCAATTTTGATCCTAGTTCTTCTTACCTGGAGGGTGTACGGGGTCAGAACTGCTATGCTCTCATCGTCCAATGGACCCCAGGCAGGGGGCCAGTTCTGATACAGATCCTCCACTCTGAAGGCCACTTCCAGCATCTCCTCTCCATTCACAAAGGATGTTCCTATCAGCCTGTCCTCTCCCTTCACCACGTAGAAGTTGAGAGGGTAGAAAAGGGGATGTCTTGGGTGAGTACCCCGGGCCTCCAGTTTAACAGTGTAGTACGAGGCCAAGAAGTCCAGGATTTCTCGACAGGACCGGTAGTTGTGGGTCAGAAGGAGATCAAAGAAGCACTTGTGGTAGCGACTGTAGGTGAACAGTCGCTGGAGCAGAGAATCATTGTACTTGGCACTGCGTGCACGAGGGGAGTAGACCTGTGAAAAGCAGAAAAGTATGAAGATTGCTAAGACTACGCTGTTCTATATTATGTAACAGATTTCCAACCTGTGAAATAGCACTTTGGGGACACTGTGGGGCAAGATGGGTGGGTGGAAGATGCTTGGATAGGATTTGGGAAGAGATGGCTTTCTCTCCTGTAAAGTTACATAAATTCCTCAAATTTTGTTCATGCCGTTTTCATATCAGATCTGCTCTGTATCAACCTGATGATTCAATCCTTTGACAGAGCTTAATACTGTCCATTCAGAAGAAAAAATAGCTCCTCCATATTGGAGAATAATATCAACTCATAATATGACATGATTCTAACAACTAGTCTGCCTTCAGTTTCAGATCTTACTAACCTTGGGGCTTATCTGCTTGTGATCCCCTGCCAGCACAACGCAGGTGTCATTTGTGGCCAGCTGAAGGGGAATGATGGCCTCCGTCTCCCTAACCTGACCAGCCTCATCAATGATGATGTGGGTGAAGTACTCCTTCAGGTCCATGTTGCGGGTCAGGTGCACAGCCGTATGCAAGGTTGCGATGACGATGTTGGGTGTTCGACGGCTGCCTTCGGTCTGCGTCTTAGCATAACTGGCCCAGTCTGTGGGAATAATAATGATAATACATTTGTGTTAATGAAACCGATGTAAGCTTTCACACAGAAATCACAGAATTAACATTAGAATTAAGGCAAAATCAGGAATGATTCCTCCAAAAGAGATATGGTTGAGAGCTATGTCATGATCAGTATGAAAGCTAACAAAATCTGGGGGCAAAAACATGGGCCTAAGCCATTCTGGGAAATTTCTAAATGCAGTGCATATGAGAAACATATCAATACAATTCTTTTCTTTTCATTCTCTTAAGATATGGAATATACAACCACCGTAACTTACCGCTTAGCTCTTGGTCATACGGGTGTCGCAGGTTCCCTTCCTCGTCTTTCAAGACATACTTCATGACTTTTTCATGGATTGTAGCCTTCGAGCGAATGATTGCGTACATACGCACCATGTAGACCAACCCTGGAGACTCGCAGCAGAACTGGTCTAAGTGCTCTGTGATGTACAGGTCAGCCGCACTGAGAAGTGACAGACACAAAAGCACAAAATTTAGAAAAATGGACAAGTGCACAAATATTGAAGTTTGGGTTGTATGACCCATGCTCCAGGGAAAATGTGATATTTCAATATACACTGAGTTCCTATAAACTTCAACTCTGCACCTAACATTATATGTTACACTAAACCTTACCTCAAAGTATTATCACGACTTGAACTATCACCCAATATCTTGGACAAAATATATTCTAAAGCAAATGCTGGATCGCCACAATTTTCTCAGTATTTTAGAAATTTCCATATTACAGCAAGCTCTATAGAAAGATTAAGGCCGGCATTTACAAGCAGTCATGAGTATTTTTGTGAATTGGGCAAGTATTGCAGATTTTTTTGGGGGAAAAACCCATTAAAGACCCTTCAGAAAGTGGGAGGGTATCAAAAACAATTCCACTACAGCATCAGTTCTGAACGGGTATAACAAGCTCTTCATAACTGGTTTTAGAGTAAGATTACTTTAGGAGAATTTCAAGCTCAAAGTCACTCGAGAGTAATGACTCAAGTTAATCATCCTTCTACAAACACTACGAATGTCAAGAGAAACCCTGCCTTTATAAAATGGTCAAGCTCAGTCATCTCTTTACCTGTTGGATCTTGTACAAATCAAGATGCGTGAATCATTTCTAAGGATCATCGTTCGCTTTACAGAGTTAGCCATTGTGTACGTCTTGCCTGTGCCAAATGGTCCAAATATGATCACAGGACCTTTGCCGCGGAACTGGCTGTTGCCACGGAGACCTCCGGCATCGCAGATGAATCGTGCTGCCTTCTCTTGCCTAGGGTTCATCTTCTCTTCATTGCTCTCCACATCTCTCCAGGCCACACGTTCAAACCTGCAAAGATCATTCAAGAAGCACCAAACATAAAAAATCAAGAACATTTTCTACTAACATTCATATTGTATATGAGCCTCTGCAGAACAGAAGGTTTTATTTAACAATCCCCAATACTTGGGTTGTACAACACAGGCTCCTGCTACAACTGTTCTATGGTCAATTTCCTACACTAACCTAATTCTGATCTTCTACTCTGAACCCAAAAGTATACTTAACCTTAACTATAACACTAACCATAACCCTAAACCTAACCTATAAACCAATTACATCCCTAAACCAAACACTAAACTTTTGATGAAATATGCCCCGAAGCAATTGACCCCAGTGCAAATGTCTTTATTACTTATACTACAATTCACATACTTGTTCTCCTGGGGATACGGCGGGAAGAGGACGGTCATACAGCTCAGGTTATCCACAGCATGGTGCTGGTAGACAAAGTTGATACGGTCAAGCTGGAACTGGATGACCACTGGTACAACCTTAGTTTCTGCGTTGCTCCCGCTGAAGTTCACAAAGGACATCAGGTTCTGCTCCTGCACACACTGGGCACTCAGCTTGACACAGACCAAGTCGTCTGATTGGTCTTTGGACATTGCATTCTGTATGGAATCAAAGAAGCAACCGCCACAAGGTTTCTTGAAAGAAATTCTCCTTAAAGATTACTTGTATAAATGGGTAGAAAAGGGGAAACAATGAGGTGTGTTCAAGTGCCTCATTTCCAAAAAAGATTGTACTATCATATTTACCCCTTGTGGACTGAATTCTCGCAGTCCCATAGATTTAATACAAGAACCACTCGGTTCCATGTTGAAAATCCACAATATTTCTCCAGATTGGACTTTTCAGTGACATTCAGTATTTACTGATGGTAGATGTTTCTTTTATTGCAGTCTTAAGTCTGGGTAGTGATTGCCAAAGGTAACCACAAAACACTGAATTTATTGGGGCATCCTTCTTCTTAAAGTGCCTCGCCAAAATATGATGCTGATGACCAGGCATCTAAAACCAGTCTAATGACATGCCCCCAAATGCGAGCCATTATATAAAGCCAGTTGCAAGCGCAATGCCTTCCATGTACTTTAGTCTTTGACATCCTTTTGATTGCTTGCCATCTATCCCCCTACATGTATCAATGGTCAATCTTTCTGATGAGGCACCAAACGCAGTTAAGTTGCCACATTCTGAAAGTGGCAACCACAATAGAAGAAAAACTAGAAATGCAATCGTGTCACGATGTGCGTGCAATGACGCCATGTGTCTACGTGTCAAACGAAAGAGCTTCTCCAGAACAATTTGTACAAAGTCTGTAGCTTCTGTGATATTGGAGATAGGTAGGGTGAAAGAAAGGCCTCAACAGTGACCTTGATGGGATGGTAGTGACTATGCCTACGAAGTTTGAAAGAAATTGGGATAGGGGAAAGAACCTAGAAAGGGCTCACAAGCACTGCGTGCAAAAATCAATGGGATTTGGTGCATGTTCGTCATTGCAATCAAGATCGTTCTGGGGGCCCCGATATGCCCCATAGACAACGCATGTAATGCATGGGCGGAAAAAGTACAGGATCTGTATTATGACCGGAGTTAAATTGATTTTTCTCTCTCTCTTTATGTCTCTTTATGGGCCGTATTTGGTATCATTAGAAAGAGAATTTCATGGTTGTTATTGTAAACTTTTTTTGTAAATCTTTTTTTCTATGATAATCCTATTGAAACACGTGATGTAAAATAGATTTATAGGACAAAACGGCGTCTTAAATGGCCCCCTTGACCAATTTCAAAAATCCGGCCACGAGGTGCCCTGCGTATTGGAACTCGGCATGTAACTGCAAATTTTCAAGGGAAAAAAAGATCGTTTAAGGGGCGAAAAGCAGTCTGAAAAAATGATGTCTTAGCCGATACGTGTTAGATTCGGGCGGAAACTCGGCGGAATTCGTATAGTGACCTTTGTTCAAATGCGATTTACTCACAATTTTCTGTGTGAACATATACTATACTTGGTATCATTCGAAAGGGCACTTCATTGCGGTCAGTTTGACATCACTGTTATCTGCGCGCAATGTATTGCACGCATTAAATGCGCTATTACGTAATGCATAGTAAATTCATCATTTTGGGCGATAACTTTGTGCCGACATATTCGAATTTTACCAAACTTGACAAACAGTTGTCACGTATATGGATACACATGTCTGCCAAGTTTCATTGATGTAGGTATAAAGATCGCCGTTTTAGAGCAAGTTGAAGTTATTTTGGAATTTTCTTGAAAATAGCGAATTTGGAGGGCATTCTTCTGAAAGTCGGTCAGTGTTAGGGTATATAATTTTGTATATGGCTGGAAAGGGCATATCTTCAAGTATCTAAATCCAAAAAAGGGTACAGGTTTGCCAAGCCATAATGGAGATACGGCCACAGAAAGAAAGCCAATTCCCAGAACTTTAGATGGCGCTATTTATATTTTGCATAGCCATTGGAGCATGAATTTGGCATGGCTTTGTGCAATTATGAGATAAGGATAATGGAAGATTTAAATACAAAACTGAATTTATATGAGAAAGTTATGGTAGTTTTAGATTTTTAGGGGTCCATTTTTCAAGAATTTGAGAGATTTTTGATGGAGTCGGTTTCAGATTTGAATTTTGAGTACGAAGATGGCATTTTGAAGGTCAAGTTATATGTCGCAGATGAAAGAACATCTCTCAGAATATCTAGAGGAATTTGTTAGAAATTTGTAGGATCTAGGATAGTGGAGATAGGAAGGAAGAAAGAAAGGCCTTAAAATGGACCAGAAACGGACAAAATGGCGCCTGGACGGCTATGCATGAGTGATTTCGAAATTCGAAGAATGTAGTGACCTTGATGGGATGTTAGAGACTATGCCTATACAATTTTAAAGGAAACGGACATAAGGAAAGGGCATAATTAGTGAAAACAAGCACTACGTGCAAATCGATTGGGATTTTTGGACGATAAGAAGAACTAAGAAAATTAATAATGTGAATGAAAACAAGGCAATCACGAAGGTCGTCATTGCAAAAAACCTCTTACCTTCATGAGGATTGCCTCATAGACCATGTCAGATTCTTGATTGAATTTGAGCAGGACCTGAGAAACACTCTCCCTGACGATCTGCGATGTCTCTGAGTCGTCGAACAAGGGTAACTCGATCTTGATGGTGCCATACAGTTCTCCATTTAAAGCATAAAGAGAGCCGTAGGGGTACCCCATTTCAGCCTGGTTGGAGAGGCACATCCCGGAAGCAGTGCTGTACCTACGCTCACAAAGGAGAAAGTAATTGCAATGTTTAGTTTGGGACCTTGACTTTTACTTTGCAGATGCATCAGGATTTATACAACGAAAAAGTGATCATTGACCTCAAGTTTGCATGCCATTTAGGGAAGGGAAATTTATTTGACTATTTAAGCATTTTCCCGCATCCGAAACGGTCTTTGTTTAGAGAATCCGAATGTGAAGATCACGTGAGGTACATTGTATTTAAGCCCTCTCTATTCATTGCGTACCCATCCTTTGTTCGTTCCAGATGAAAGGGGCCAGAAAGCATTTTCCCGCATCCGAAACGGTCTTTGTTTAGAGAATCCGAATGTGAAGATCACGTGAGGTACATTGTATTTAAGCCCTCTCTATTCATTGCGTACCCATCCTTTGTTCGTTCCAGATGAAAGGGGCCAGAAAGCATTTTCCCGCATCCGAAACGGTCTTTGTTTAGAGAATCCGAATGTGAAGATCACGTGAGGTACATTGTATTTAAGCCCTCTCTATTCATTGCGTACCCATCCTTTGTTCGTTCCAGATGAAAGGGGCCAGAACGTGTTTTATCACTTTGCCAGTAAAATTCCTTCAGCGATCAGAAGGCTTTCCCTTTTAAAATAAAATGTACTTGCTTTTGAGGAAATGTTATGAATTGCAATTACCTTAAGAGTCTTTCCATGCATGCTAGTTCTTCTAGGTGCAGCATACGATGCATGTGAAGCTTGTAGTTCTCCTCATTCAATCTGTGATCAGTCTGTTCATCCTCCAGACCAGACAGGGTGGTAGGCTGCTTGTATTGAGCAATCAATCTGGAAACAAGAAGAGTAATGGAGATACACGTCCATCAAATTGCAAACATTTTATAAAAAACAGGGCAGGATTAGGTTAGGTGAGGTTAAGTTTTTGATGTTGACGCCGCTGCCACCGGAAAAGCAGCGCCTATGTCTCGCTTATGCTATGCAGGCGAGACAAAAATGGTAAAAGGTATACACAAGCTATTATTAAAGAGTTTGGGGTTACTTTTTTTTAAAACTTGATAACATCTGTTAATTACCCATAACTTGAGGATACATATTAAGCATTTGTTATGTATGGTTTTTAGTTGACTTACTGTCTTTCCCATTCATGGACTTCTGGTTTGGAGTACTTGACAATCTGACTGTTACCGCTGTCCCATAGCTTGATCTTCTCTCTGGTCTGCTGCTGTTTAGCAAACTTCTCCAGCTCATTGGATGATCCAACGTGGATGGAGATCTTCCTCACCAACACTGGCTTCTCACCTGCAAGCATAAAGGAGAAGTTGATTACTAATATGGATGGTGTTAATCATACTAATAGCATTATCATCATCATCATCACTACCATTGTCATCATCACCACTATCTTTATCATCACAGTCATCATCACCATCACCATCATCATCATCATCACCACTAACACATACAAAACTACCATCATTACCACCACCACTAACACCTACAAAACTACCATCTAAACTACCACTAACAACTACAAAACTACCATCTACACCACCACTACCACCTAAACCACCACCACTAAACCTACCAAACTACCATCTAAACCACCATCACAAAATCTACAAAACTACCATCAAAACCACCACTAACACCTACAAAACTACCATCTAAACCACCACCACCACCACCATAACCCCAGCCCTACCTCTACCACTACCACCAACACCTCCATCCCCATTATCATCACTGTTCAAACTTACCAAAGTCAAAGACAACCCACTGATGGAAGAGACCCAAGATGTGGGTGTGGAACTCGATCTTGATTTTGTAGGATGTACCACCAAGTTCAGATATCAGACCTCCGGGACACACTTGAGGGCGGTCCTCATCGCCAGGTTGCGACAGATGGAAGTGTAGGCGATGCTCGTCATAAAGAAGACCAACTCTCCTTAGCGACTTCTGTGATGTAAAACAATGTTTTGTTGATATTGTTTAAACTTGTATTTGAGGTTGGTCCATAAATTTATAAATAGTCAAGATCTTTAAAGTTCTTTTATCCACTTTGATACAAATGTTGCAAAATAGGTTATGAGTTTCTGATAGTATAAATCAAATAAACATTTACTTTACTTCTAAATGTATTAAAGAGAACTGTTGCTGAGCTCGCGCCATGAGCGTCCCTGCACGGTGTGTGCACTATATAAGTTTACACTATTATTATTATTATTATTATTTTGAGTATCATTTTCATGTTGATGAGTGGGGGAAGGAAACAAATCTTGAATCGTGGGATTTCAAAATTGTAGATCTTACTCCATAGTGTATTAAGCCCAAATCTGAGATAGAATGTCATATACTGTAGATATCAACAAGGCTCCACAAGATATAATATTTTTCAATTTGCTATCCAATTAGAGGTGTGGGATATTAGGGTTAGGTTAGTGTCAGATCTATGGTTGACATCTAAGGAATTTAATAAGCATCGGAAATTGACTGCAGAGCAATTGTCATAGGAGCAAGTGTCATCAAACAATAAGACAATTGCATTTTACGTCTAAGCTATTCTTACCCTTGCTGACTGCACTTCAAACTCCCATTGGAATGTAATTTCTTCACCGTGTTTTCTTTCTTTGACTGGATGTATAGCCTTCATATCCTTGGAACACTTGGTACTGATCCCAGGAATCTCCTCTGTCATCTGTAACAGAAAAAAGGATTGAAATGTCCAAACTAGCAGAATGTATGACGAGTTTACGTGTCTTTTTTTGCCGACTCTGTAGGCACCAAGCCAGATCCGTGTTCAAAAACGCACGCGGGGAAGGACCTTTATTTTACTGCAAGGTGCAGTTGAAGGCGCCAATTTGTTCTTGTAAACTTGTCACAATAATAGTAACAATGTCATTTTTAAAACTGAAGATGACAGACAAGTCCAAACAGAAATCCGGCCATACAGGTAATGTTGTTGTGGTTCGATGCTGTGCCATCATTTTAACCCAGGTTACAAATAGTGAGAGTACATTACTGTTGCAACTTTGCAACCTGGATTACAGATTATATAATCTAGTACAGTTTTACTGTACCACTTCAAATAACTTCCTACAGTATCTTACTGTGACTGTATTTGTGGGAGTGGTGAGTCAACACACCTTGTATGACTGAACTGGAAGACATTGCCAGGCACAGTGCAGGTGAAGGAGGCATAAATCGACGCCTAAAAAAAAGATTTTGTTTTGCTTTGTACCTGTGTATAAGACGCACCCCGACTTTCAATTTTGTTTCGGCGAGAAAAAAGTGTGTCTTATACACGGAGATCTACAGTATTTATTGAATGCATCTCAACTAAAAAATCTTATTTTTAATATAATCCATTAATTCACATTAAGATATCATACATGAAGGTGCAATAATGCAAAACAAAATTCTAAAAAATAATGTAAAAATCAATTCTGTTGTCAACAAGAGGAAACTAACGATTAAAGTCAAGTTAGCCATTCGAGAAAAAAAGAAGAGAGAAATAACTAGATGGAACTTCGACTGCGCGCAGTCGAAAATGATGCCTCCGTCATAGAGCAATTTTACAAACCAAAACAGAAGAAATTTTTCGAATTCAAGTTCAATTGTATTCCATTAACAGGTTCTCAGAATATTGTGATTACAAGCTATTTTTGCATACATAATGAGCCCATGACCTTTGACCTTATGAACCAAGAATCTACTCAGTTCATTGGCTCTGCAAGAAACATACATGACCTAAGTTGGCAGGAATCCATCAATCGGTTCTTGAGATAACGCGATCACGAGCCGTTTTTGCATACATAATATGCCCTGTGGCCTTTGACCTTTGACCTTGTGACCCCTACATCTAATCAGTTCATCGGCTCTGCAAGTAACATACATGACCTAAGTTTGGCAGCAATCCATCAATCGGTTCTTCAGATAACGCGATCACGAGCTCGTTTTGCATACATAATGAGCCCTGTGACCTTTGACCTTTGACCTCGTGACCCCAAAATCTAATCAGTTCATCGGCTCTACAAGATACATACATGACAAAAGTTTGGCAGGAATCCATCAACCAGTTCTTCAGATAACGCGATCACGAGAACGGGACGTACGTACGTACGGACAACCCGAAAACATAATGCCTCCGGCCACTTCGTAACGGAGGCACAAAAAGGGACAGGACAGCTCACATCAATGCAGTAAATAGTATAGCATCTGCTGAGAGCTGAAAGAGTATTACCTATATGTAATAATACACATGTAGGAGCTAATGACTCAGCAGATATAAAGACACTCTCAAAATATTCCACTAAGCAAGTCAGAATGAAGAGGAACATTGGTAATGCTGTGCTGCGTGAACGTTTCACAGGGGAGGGGAAAACAACAAGAAGGTGCGATTCACCACCTACCACTTCATACTCTGCATTAGAAGACTGGTTGTACTCGGCAAGGAGCTCATCCACAAAGGAGTAGAGTCTCTGTTCCTTGGCCTTGGCGATCTTCATCATGCGATACTCGTGCCTTTCCTTCCATTCCTCCAGCTCCTCTTGACTGTGTGCCTCAGCGCAGTCATTACGCTCCTGCACCACGCCGGAGTAGTTGCATAGTTTCTTCAGGTTTCTAGGAGAATTAAAGAGAGAAAAAAAGATGACACAGTATTGCTTAATTATCAACCTAGTTGAAGGGAAGAATCAAAACACTGTAGTGCAGTCATTTTCTTGAGGTTTCTCCTTTAATAAAACATTTCGTAACCCGACAGTTTCTTCAAGCTTCTTATCAAATTAAAATGAGATCAGAGTAAACAGAAAAGTGTTTGAATGTTTTATTTCTCCTACAAAAGGATTCAGTGCAACAAAAAGGAGTCACAAACATTCTCCCAGGATAATATTTTAGGAATTTTTATACCTCTGACAAAGCTTGTACTGTCCATTTGTGACATTCAGTGGAGGGCTTCTGTACTTCCAGGAGCGCTCTGTATCGGACTTGATCCTCATTTTATGCTCCATGGAGTTGGTGTGTTCATCGTAATTCTGCTTGGTACGGAAGGGCTTGTCGCAGTAGGAACACAGGTAGTGGCTAGTCATCATCTGCTGAGGGACGTTTGATGGCCTGGCTGGGCCCGCAGCCGATGCGGCTCTGGCGTCTCCTCCAGCGTTGGGGGTGCTGTTGGTGCCTGCAGCGGCCTGCTTCTGGATGGCAACCACTTCTTCAATGGTCCTGGCTGCAGAGTGGTAGAAAAGGATAATAATTTGAAGTAATGGCCAATACTGACAAAACCCAATTCATGAAAAAGAAAATGCCATGGCGATTTCTTACACTCCATAGGGTCTTTCAGCCTGTCAAGCTAAGTTCTAGATATGATACCATACACAAGATCAGCATAATTTGTAATATTTGTAGATAAAGGACAATACTGGACAACACTATTTAGCATAAAAGTACAATCAAACTAAAATGTAATGTACAATGAACACTTTCATGAAATATTCTTCAGAAAAAATGTGTAATGGACAATGGGGAACCAAACATTCTCTCCAGCAGAAATTGGTGTTGGCTTTATTTCATTAAAGATATTAATTTAGGTGGGAACTGGGTTGCACTTTGGTCAAAGGTTGAAGTAAGAAAGTCAGTTAGAGTGGAAAATTGACTACAAAGAAAATGTTGCTGGAGGATGCATCATAGACCTGGGGCATTTTACATAGACCTGGGGGCATTTCACAAAGCCTGTTTTCAATGACAAATGACAAAAATCAGCTGATAACCAATCAGAAGCAAGGATTTCACTAGCTTATAACAAAAACTGGCATTTGTCACTGATGACAAGTTTTGTGAAACGCCCCCCTGGACATTATTGTTCTCCCTTTACATATTAAACACTGCGGTCAAAGGAGGGTGAAAATAATGTGGCTACCAGATTTCATGACCCTGCTATAATTTCAAGTCCCATGACCCTTGACCTTTTCGGACCATTACCTTTGGCCTTGACCTGATATATCCACAAGAGGCGCTCTACGGCCGAGTGAGGGAACATGCACTGGTTGCTGTGGATCTCCCTGAACTGGCACCTGTCCGCCCTCTTGCAGAGGACCGGCTCTATCTCAGGCCGCAGACGGGGGTGGCGGGGGTAGACCTGTACCCATCGGCCGTGGCTGGAGGGGTCCAAGAAGTAGATTGGGTTCTTGCCCCACTGATGACCCGTGGAACCAGAGCATTGGTTGCGCTTGCGAGGGTTCTGCTCAACCAGCTGCCTGGTCTTGGTGTAACAGAGACCACATGCAACCTATGTAGGAGTAGAAGCACAATATGTCATATTTGCAATAGTGGACATGTTGTCATAAGAGTGGTAGCAGTACTGGAGTTACTTAAATCAGTATCAGTAAAAACAATGGTGGTAGCAGCCACTTCCGTTGAAAGTTGACCTTTGGAAAATATCTGCAACCTTGCGCTAAGTCATTGCACCCTGCTTTGTACTCGATCTGGGCATTAACGTGCTTTCGGTTTGCAGTGGAAGCGAAAGACAACGGTAAATAATCAATCTGAGCATGCACGAACCTGAATTTTTTTTCTCTTGTTGATTTTCACAAATGTTCTCGGCCATAATAGCATTCGTTCCCTAAGCACGAGGGAAGAGCTGTATCACCTTGCAATTGCGATGTAGATTTTGTATGATTGTATATATGCACTGTACTTTGTGCTTGACTTTCCAATTTTTTACAAATTATATGGGTCTCTCTTATAAAACACGCTCTGCACAAGTCACTAGCTATCAACGTACCCGTCCCAGGTACCGAATCAGGTTACAAATGAAGACAGGAGCCTAGTACAGGACAATCTTGGTTGAGTGTATTCTCCCGTCGTCTTTGGATGGACGGAGGGCAGCGTTACTATATACCCTCCGTCTTGGTTAGCAAGAGGATAAAAAAAGGCTTGAGGGCATCGGCGCCCACATAAATTTTGAAAACAAACCTTGATTGTATACTGAAAGACTGGTCCATGAGGTTGCTGGGGTGGAGCCATTGGTTTCTGTAATGGAGCAGCAGCTGAAGCAGGCTTGATTGGGGATGGGGCAACTGGAATGGAGGGACCGTAGATCAATTCATGGCTGAGACGCACAAGCATCTCACGATCCAGTGGCTGGTAAGCCTCATACAACCAGAGGCATGTCTCAATCTGCGAGATAATCAAAAATGTTTGTATGTTACCCTGGTCAAGGTCAATATGAAATAATCTACTGTTCAAAAAGGAAAAAATGTCAAAATCGATTGCTCTCTTTCTGAAAACTAGCAACAACATACATGTACCATGATAACTTTATTACACTTCCAAAGTTGAAGCAATCGCTACTAAACGCTGAGGGCATTTTCTCATGGCCTCTTACAGTTCACAAACTGTTTTAAAACTCAGGTTTATCTACAACTTGCTTATGGAATCCAAAGAGGTTAGGATGATGATGATGGCATGAGAAATACTACTGCTAGTATCCCCAAATTCCTATTTGTAATAAGCAACAATCCGTTCCCGAAATCTTCAAACATGGCAATTTCAGTATTAGATTCTAAATTTTGTTTCTGATTGGATTCACGTTCAGTTTCTCTGGCATTATTAGAGAGTCAGTACTGTTCTTTAAAGAAAATTTCAAGAGAGAAAAGAGAACAAGGATAGTATCTATTATTTAAACATATTTGTGGCTTACACCCAGTAAATTTTTTTTCTGACTTGTTTTTCAATACAGATCGATCAATCGATCTTATTTACTGGGTGTAAGGCACAAATATGTTTAAATAATTGAAATTTCTCCCAGGAAGCATTACAATTATAAGGATAGTATCTGTGTACCTCATTATGGGCAAAACTGCACTTGGCTCCAGTAGGGCACCCATAAGACTTGTCGCGATGCCAGCAGAGGAATGCCTTGGGTGGAATTCCATTGGGTCGCTTCCGTATCTTCCAGTAGCGATCCCGGCCCCCCTGGCACAGCCGGTGAACAAGGCATCGATTGGGGCCGTTCCACTTGTGGCTCTTTTCCCCCGTGCATATGTCCGGGTTTGAGCTATTCTGGACACTGAGGACCTGGGGGGCATCATCGAAGCAGAACCTACATAGGTACAGGAACTGACCCCCAAGGTTCTTGATGAGGTTGGTGAGTTTTCCCCTTGTCTGCGGATCGATGACCTTATTTGCTGGATGCAACAGAGATCCTTGAGACTGCTGTGGGACAGGGGAAGGTGACATTGGGGGCGCTGTACGGATCACAGCAGGTGGCTGTTGGAACCCGTTCTGATTAACCTGCAACGTAGCATGAGGGAACGCCCCTGGAGCCGGCGCACCTTTCTGGTTGTACGGAAACGCCCCAGGAGGTTGAAGACTACCGGTATTACCAGGATAACCCCCTGGTGGTGGTGCCCCTCCCGCAGGGCTAGGGGCCCTGTTTTGATATGCTCCTGGAGCTTTGGCAGGTGGGTTCTGGTTAGTAATCCTGCCCTGGGCGATGGCTTGCTGTCTCTTCTTCTCATTGATCTCTTGATTGAGCTTGAACTCTTGATAACGCAACCAGGTGACGATCTCCTTACCGTTGAAGTGGCCATTCCTGTCTGCATCCCATACTTCCATCTCTACATTGCTGTGAGGAAACCAGCAGCTCGCTGTACTTATCTGAAATCAAATAGAACCATCAAATTCAAAATTGTGAAGCAGGATTATCCCTAGAGACTACAGAATGCACAGCACATTTTCCGAGCGAATATAATATATAATCAAGTCTATGGCATTATTCCTTTAGCCAAGTTATAGCCAATAAACCTGTATAAATAGAATTCAAAGATACATCCTAAATTTGAACAAGAGCAACTAATACACCAAGGTGTGATTACACCTTTGGAGAAAAGCTCAACAGATCATGATTTGATCACCCACAACTTGCAACTGAAGGTTTTGAAGTTGGATAGAACCAATACCTGAAAAAAGCATCTAAATTGTTTTTGCCATTACAGAAACACCTGTAATGATTATCCAGTTCTGAATTAATTAAAGTATGTTGCCTATTACCATGGAAAAGAAAACTGATAATATTGTTCTTTGGAAATTTAGAATCAGGGAAATCCTGTCTCAATACCTTGCATGGTATTCCGGTAGCAAACTGTTGACAAAGGGCATATTTCCCCTTGAAGTCTTGCTTTACGCGAGGACGGATACGTCCGTAGACGTCCTTCACACCATCTCTGGGAGGGACATGTAGACGGCACACCAGCATGCCACCCCTACAGGCAGGCTTGTGATTGGGATTCCTGTTCAGCCTACAAATGAAACAAAAGGTGTAGAGGAGGTGTGATCTAGTAGGTATATCAGCAGACTGTGGATCGCATGGCTTTCTATTATGAGTCCGGCACTTATGTCCTTTGGCAAGACTTTACTTTAAATTTGCCCCCCTCCATCCAGGTGTAGCAAAGGGGTACCTGGTAGGAATTGATTCCTTGAATGCTTTCAGTGCCTTAGGGCAGCTGGGCTAAAACCAGGGTAATAAGAGTACATGTAGGCAACATGAGCATCAGCTGGGATAGATATGCACACATGGTAAATGTAGCTATGAATCATTGTTTTCATTAAATAAATTGATGTAAGATCATCAACATTATTCCTCATTCTCTGATGAGGCGGTAAATTGAGCAATTGTATTTTGCACTGGCAGCTTTTCGCCATTTTTATACCAAATCAAACATGTGTGTGAACAAGGATTTTGAGTTATCTGAAAATAAAATCAGAGCCCGAGACATGCTTTTAAAAGAATACAAATAAAGGGCGAGTCCACAGTATTTATTCATATTTGGTGTCCTATACATCTCAAAGTCTTGTACAGTTCTGAACATAAGTCAACATCAAATGTGTCTTTTCACTTCATATTTGGTCGGATAAAAGCTTTAGTAGGGCCATTATCAAAATAATAATAATAATAATAATAATAGGTCCATTTATATAGCGCAGCTACTGTATAACTATAATCCATACCTGCCAACATTTGAAAACGAGAATAAAGAATTTTTAGCACAGTATGTCTTCGAAAATAAGAAATCTGTACCCGTAACAGGCATTTGCACATGCAGCGGCAGTGTAACTGGCAATACGCGGTAAATCTGTGCAAAAAAGCAAATACAAATTCGCTGCTCAATCATGCAGCCCTTCAACGCACGCAATACGTGAACTCTCACATCGCGGCATATGATAAAACAAGCTTAATTTGGCTTAAGCAACAACAAAACAAACAAAATAAAAAATATTAAATAATTTTTTTTTTTAAATGAAATTTTGAAAATCCGGAATATTCCGGATTTTGGGGTCCTAAAAATCAAGAAAAACTGAATATTCCGGATTATTTGGAAGGGTTGGCAGGTATGATAAAGGAGCTGGAGCTGAGCCACCATAAAGAGGCGCTAAAGCATTCAAGGAATTTCTTCCTTACAGGTATCCATTTACTACACTCGGGTCGGAGAGTGGTAAATGTAGATTAATACAATTAATAACTGGGTACAAAGATCAGATACACTCTATGGTCCAAGTTCACAAAGGATGTTTGTCGACAAACCTATGTTTATGTGCGTCATATGACGCGTTTCGGCACGCTACAAACCAAGGTTTGTCGACAAACCTCCTTTGTGAATTTGGTCAAAAAAGTCTGTATTAAAATCATAGATGTGTTCTGTGACATACGGAACAAAATACTTGAACTTGCTTTAGATACAGGCATATTTGATCTTCAAAGTTGCAGCAGATAAATGGACACTGTTATTTCTATACCCTACCCGAAAGCATCAAGAATTCATGAAATACCAGATGTAGACTAAGATCATACCTGAAGGAGTAGAGCCCATACTGATGTGGCACTTGAGTATAGCATGCCTCGCAAGCGAGTCTAAACTCATAACCGCCCAACCACCGGTGTGTCTCTTGGGATATCTTTGGTGGTGGGGGGCAGGTAGCAACGACGGCTTGGCCTTGGGGTTTTGGCACCTGAGGGGAGGCCTTGGGGATGGCTCCGCTGACGGGGAATGGCCGCTGACCATTCACTGCTGGCCGCTGACCGTTCATAGTTGACCGCTGCACACTGGTTTGCGGGGTCTGAGCATGTTTGGCTACTCCCTGTGGAGGTTTGCGTTTGTCTATGAGGAGTAAAAACAAAATGAATTGTATTCATAAAGGTGGATTATGCTTTAACCCTACGTTAACTGGGGGGGGGTCAATTTGACCCCCCCCCTGTAGAAATTTCGCGACTACTCCGAAACCGCGGCAGATATAAAATTTTCCTTTCATGACTTTTTTCTTTCGAGTCTTACGCATCTTTTAAAACAATTTTTTCGAAAATCGGACGTATAGTTACGGAGTCACTTGACATTTTGTTGTTGCATGTCAGCCCGAAAATCGCTCATTTTTGTGATTTGTGTACAAAACATATGGAAATGTCATTTTTCCTAAAAAGAGATAAAACATTGGTTATTTAGTCTTGTTTAAAGTTTGGGTGTTTTTTTGGGGGTCAAAATAGTTGAATTGTAGTTATAAATGAAATAAAACAACAAAAACAATAAAATACATAAGTTGAAAAAACAATGAAATACATAAGAAATTATCAAAACAAGAGATAACATAAGGAATAACCTGGCTCTTCTAATTTTTTGTGTTGTATTATTATTCCAAACGGTCTAACAAATATATGTGTTGAAAAAGAATGCTTGAATATTAATAATGTATGATTTATGGGCAAAAATGTGAATTTTATGACCTCATTTGCATAAATTACCATAAATATGTAAATGAGTGAATTTTTCAAAAAATTGAAATTACCATAGTATTCTATAAACTTCACTTGACATGTATGCAAATTTTCGCGGCGATCGGCCATGAAACGGCCGAGATCTTAAGGGGGGGTCAAATTGACCCCCCCCCCCCCAGTAAAAACCTGGTCTTAAATAGCCCAGTTAAAATAGGGTTAAATTGGTTTGATGATTGTATAAACCATAGAATATTGTTACATAAATTAGAACACTATGGTAAAAGAGGAAATGTTTTTAAATGGTTTCAAAGTTACCATTTTAATCGCTTACAATTTATGTGTGTTGAAAAGTGTACATCAGATGAACAGTACATACTCTCTGGTGTTCCGCAAGGATCATTCCTTGGACCGTTGTTGTTTTTATTATTTGTCAAAAATTTTCAATATGTCAGTGACCGTTTTCTTTCCATTATGTTTGCAGATGATACAAGTTAATGATGTGTTAGTACTAAATAATGTAATTTATACTGAACTAAAAAATGCTGAAATGTGGTTTAGCACTGTTTGAAAATTAATATGGACAAAACCTGTTATATGATTTTTAAACATAAAAACTTTTTCCTGGATGATTCTTTGCTGCAAATATAAATTGGTGATGACGAAATACATAAGATTGACCAGAAAAAATTCTAGGTGTGACAATTGATGCAAAATTGAAATAATGCCTGTTATAGACTGGCTATACTATTTTGAGTTTACTTGAATATAGCTTACAATTGGGTGTCCTGTATCCCAAGTCGACATCCAGGTCAGTTAGGCCTTCGTGTGCCTTTTTGGATTTCTAATTGGGAACAACAACAAAATCAAAGTAGGAACAAAGATTTAGGAGGAAAAAAAAGAATGAGGAACAAAAGCAAAAAGTGAATCATAATCTATATTCTTACAAAGTATCTTACTTCTGATGAGGTGGTCACAGTATTTAAGCATAATCATTATGCTACTTATCCTGTTTTACACAAGAGATGGGTTAGGGTTAGGATTAGGCATTTCCATTTTCGGTTTAACTTAATAAAATTTGGAGTGGACTTTAAAAGATTATTATTATTATGAATATGCAAACCTATTTGGGCATTTTTAAAGTTGATTTTCATTCTTACATGTATGCTTTATCATAATCATACTAAAGTGGTAGTATTAGAAGTGTAACATTTGCAACCCGATAGTCATCCTAGAAATCTTGTCTTCACCTTTAGTTGTTACTTTTCAGTTTGAGGTTACAAACGACTTCAAATAATAGTTTTAAAGTCAATGGTTTCAATTTTTCTGCTAACTACCTATTCCTGGCACATTAATCAACATTCATCTAAAACATTCAACATCTGCTATCTACTTTGAAAATCATCATGGCTTTCCGTTAGAAATTGAACAAACTGCAACTTGCATCGCCATACGTCATGTTTTTTAATTTTTTATATCACACATGGATTCCAAGAAGGAGCAATTTATTGATTACAAATTCAAAGCTTCATTACACAGACTAAGAACACAGTCATTACTTTTAGAGTTGGTACATGTATATCAGAATACCAGAAGCACAAACATGGGGGAGAGGAGGGGGGGGGGGGGGTATGACTTACATTAGACTTGGATCCAGGTGGAGAAACTCCAAAGTCGTCTAGTCCAGCAATGTCTGCTCCTGGAGAACAAAACAAAACAACTTTCAGGGGCAATATCAAAATCATATTTCTATAACAGGAGAAAACATGTATAATATTTAAGTTTAATGTGAGCATTTTTTTCTTCAGACAACTGCATTCAGTTGTCTTGACTGTTTTAATTTCACTTAAACAATACCTGTTTACTTTCTATTTGATTCAAGATTAATTTCTAGCATTATAACATAGGTTATTGACAAAAGAGGATACTTAAAAGTACACAATAAAATCATAGTTAATTGCCACTTACTTTCAGGTGTAAATTGTGATTTTGGTTCTGGAATGATTATATGGTTCCTATCCTATGAAAAAGGTGCTCCAATGTTACCCCTACTCAAGCTAATGTTGGCCGACAATATCTGTGCTCACAGCATACACAGAATTCCTTTTTAATACCTGGGTGGAGAGTGGCAAATGTACGCTAAAATCTTGCCAAATGCTAAAGAGCTTCCTTAGAAATAAGCATACTACAAGTGTGTACCTCTCTCGGGTGTACTTCCCGGGGATGAACTTGTAGAGCCACTGGTATTGATCTCCGAGTCGGTTTCATCATCGTCATCATCATCATCATCATCATCCTGCTCAGAATAAGCGACCTCCACATCCCTCCTAGGTCTATTCTGTCTCCTAGATCGCCCCTTCTTCTTTCCTTTCTGAAAGAGGACAATAAGCCTGTACGTGTTGCTTTATGTACTTTTTAAAGCGATACTGAACTAATGAATTTTCTGCCATAGCGTACTGTGGATTGCACAGCACCATTTCATGGTCAACTTTATCATTTATTTATTCATTTCTGATATTTATACAGGGTGCCAACAGCGCGTTACCCAATATCTAATATCTGCTTTGCTGACAGAGGACTTAAATAATAATAATGATAATAATAATAATGTTTTATTTACCCAGGGTAGCCACTTCAGTTATGAAACTGCTCTTCCAGCAGGCCCTGCATAACATAATATGTTATTACTACCCCCCTCCCCCTCCAATCTAGTATGCTGAGCGCCTAGCTAGAAGGCAGAAGGTCCCATTGTTAGAAGTCTTTGGTATGACTCGGCCGGGGTTCAAACCCACAACCTCCCGTTCATGAGGCGGGCGCTTTAACCACTGAGCCATCATGCCTGGTTTTAAGGACTTGCTGTGAGAATCAACAGCGCAGTGAGTTACAGGACAATAATGTAACAGCTTATCTGGGATGGCTCTAAAGGGGATTTAGGGGTAGTGCTTCTAGTAGCTTTAACCGAAACTAACTTACTAATAATAATAATAATAATAATAATAGGCATTTGTATAGCGCCGTCTATCTAGACAAAGCTATTCCGAGGCTCACAAGAAACATAGAAAGAATGAGAAAGTTTGAACGAGAAAGTTTGGATGAGTGTCATAGGGCCAAGTACAGGTATTGTTAAAAAAGATAAGATTTCAGCTTGGATTAATGGGATTTTAAGGAAGTTATGATTCTCAAATTAAATGGTAAATTATTCCAAAGACAAGGTGCTGCAGATGAAAAAGCCCTTTCAACACAGGCTAATCGTGTCTTTGGGATCTCAAGAAGATGCTGGTGTGATGATCTTAGACTACGAGCTGGTGTATATTAAAGGCATGACAAGGTTTTGTAAGTATTTTAACTACTCCGATTCAACAACCCTATGTAGCGGGGTCACATGACCCTGTGGGACTATTTTGTTTCTTAAGCAGGCGTGATTAGGAATTTAAGAGAAATGGCTGCTAACATGACCTGAAGATATAGTAGCAGACATAAATGCAATTTCAATTTCAAAAAGCTCCTTTCACTCTATTCTGCTTTTTTTCAGGCCTATAGAGTGGTGAAGTGTGACATCGTCAAAAAACTATTTTGAGAATTTCTCAATTTTAACTTCATTTTCTGAAAGAGCATCAAAATTAATGTACAAATGTCCAAAATCAATTAAATATGTTGAGATATGACCATCTGAATAAATAGATTTCCTATTGGAACTCCAAGTGTTATTTTGCTCCAGTTCATAACATTACGAACCAGAGCAAATAACACTGAGTTCCTATAGGAAATCTATTTATTCAGATGGTCATATCTCGGCCAATACTCAACATATTCAATTGATTTTCGACATTTGTATATTCTTTTTTTATGCTCTTTCGGAAAATGAAGAAAAAATTTAGAAATTTAAAAAATTGATTTATATAATGTCACAGCCTCGAGTCGGTACTCTGTAAGTTGAAAATTAAAAGCCTGTCCATGGATGCTTTTAACATATCTATTGAAGATTCAACAACACCACAAATGGCCTCCCACAATAAAACAATCACTTGAGCGTTGAGTCTAGGGATCATAATGTTAAAGGTAACATGTCTCTCACAAGAATACTTCCTAAACATTAGGAACCGTCAGGTCACAGCACGTCATTGGGCAAGATTATAGCCTGATGAAAACATTTGAACTCACCGGTGGTTTCTGTGGCTGCTGCTGTTTGGGTAGTGCGTGCTTGGGCAACCAGCCCTTGTCCACAGGCTGTGGCCCTCGAGGCGGATCTGGGGTAGCAGCTCTGGGCTGGCTCCCCACTGCCCCTGCCCAGGACATGGTAGGTGGCTTGGCTTCTGGCTTAGGTCCTAGGATGGCCTCCAGTTGTACACTCAATCGGTCAATGTGGCTCTTATCCCACTGGAACTGTAGAGAAAAGTCGAAGGTTCTAGATTTAACATATTTTAATCGACATTAAAAAACTTAAAGCCCCACTGTACTACTTGTAGCTACTTGCTCCCTCTATATAGAAAACTTCCCCAATCGGTGCCTGCTGGTCCCCCATGATCCTCTATTTCTTATGTTATTTGAGAGCTGAGTTGATGAGATACCGGTAGCCACCTGTCAGTGACCTCGCTGTGTGGTCTAATTCCTCCTGGCCAAACTAGTGCAGATAAGCTTTAATTCACGCCCTATTAGAAATTGTTTTTAAATTCAATAGCAATCATTCCCAAATAAACACTTTTTTAAAAACTCTCAATCTGTCAACTTACAGGTTTTGTTGAAAGTCTTTCAATCTCTCGTCGAACTTTCTCCATCCTTCCCCGCAGAGCAAATGACATGCCAGAGCGTCGGTTTTCATTGAGTGACATCTCCCCCTCGGCTAAGGTTTTGATTTCCTGGGCATGCCGATTGTCTATACTACTCTCCAAAACTGCACAATAAACAATTGATAGAAATAAAATAGTTTGTGACAAATAACATTCAAATATACAACACTAAAGTGTTGCTCTAAATATTTAAGAAAGCATGCAGGTAAATTGATAATTCTTTGAGCTAAAGAGGACGTTAGCTATTTTCAAGAGATACATGAACACATTTTTACCAAATGCAAACATTTCAGAGACAAATTTTATTCTCTTTTTCAAACCACATATCAATCAGCCTGTAATTAGCAATGCTATTTTAATATACATCAACAAGTATCATGGTAAAGAAATTATATTTTTTTCTTTCTCAATCAATATTTAGACTTCAAAATACATCTTGGAAATCCTTTTCATATCACTAACACAGTTATGAGTAGTCACGGTCTAGTGGATAGGTCACCAGACTGTGGATTATATGGTTAGAGGCCTGACTTCTACCTTGGCACTATTGTCCTTTGGCAAGACATTAATCTACATTTGCCACTTTCCAACCAGGAGATTAAGATGGGTACACTGTAGGAAGAAATTCCTTAAAATCCTTGAGCGTCATATTACGGCCCCTCAGCTGCAGCCGAGGTAATAATATGATACTTAGTATTTAGCGCAGTAACGTACATTCATATAGAATCCGCTGCGCCATATAAATGAACCTATTATTATTATGCCTCACTGAAAATGCTGAATAAAATGAAAGGAAGTTACCTCTTGAGGCATCCTTGTAAGATACGTCAAATGCACCCTGGATGAAAAAAAGAAATATGAGAAAAAAATCTGATAAAAAAAAGCAATTTCTACAATTTTCTTAAATCTCCTAATTCTCAAATCTCATCTCTAATGTTCTTTGATGCTGTACGTACATGTACCTCAGATTAACTTGTAATAATTTTCCCCTATGATTAACGGAATGAAGGAGGTTTTGTACTGAATCGTAAAAACATAACATGGTAAAAATCTGGATGTAACGACCGGTCAAGGGGAACAAGAATTTGTTATAAATAATTCTAATCAACATAGGGTCTTTATTAACAGGTTCATTTTAATACATTACACGTCGTTGGAATTGCAATGTTGATCAAGAGAAAAAGAAACAAAAGTAATGATGGTCTTTATAGGCATATGGTGTTTCCAAAATGTTGTCATTAAAACAGATATTACTGTGAAATTCAAATATACTGTTGTGTTGATTCTCAATATAATTCTTCATATACTCCTAGTTCTTTTTCCTTGGTTTGTAGTGGGACGTATACATTGGTAATCATACTGTATAAATATGAAAGGTCCTTCTTGGAATACAATACAAGTATATGAACTAGTGACACTGGGAAATTCCCACTACTGAAATACCAATAAAGTTTGTTGACCTTTTGCTGCGAGGTTTGCACATACTGAGAAAAAGCAGATGTTTAATACCCTTAGGCCACAGGATATATACAATGTACATGTAAAGGTTTTATATTAATGATTTCAAATACTGAAGGGAGCTACATCTCTATCAAATACATTTAGATGAGCCACGTAAGCATATGCTAGAGATTGATTATGATACAGTCAAACCTGTTTTAGCGACCACCTGTATAGAAAGACCATCTTTTGTTGTTTACCTTGAGAACCATTTCTTATTGAAACCTGTACATTTAAGGACTCTGTACATTAAGACCACCTATCCCGACTCCCTGGAGCAGTCTTTATATACAGGTTTCACTGTATCACACATTGTTGGCAGAGATTATTGTAGCAGATTGGGATTGACACAACAACCTTTCTGTTGCAATGTGAAACATATACCTCAGCACAGTTCCATCATTCTCCTTTATTACTTCTAACAAATAAAATCTATTGTGTAGTGTTTTCAAAAATCAATAGAATATAATGTTACAGTTTGCAAACCTATCTTTTGTGCAGGAGATTTCTTAAGGTGAACATCGCCAAAGCAGGAGCTTTGTATTAATTAACAAAGTTAGTACCCATTAGGCAAACCTACATGTACTTGTTCAAATTCAATGGTCATCATGGACTTTCAAAAATATTTCGCTATTTTCTAATATGGAATTAAAGATAATTGACTTTTCGCAAATACACACAACTGTACTCATGGGGCTGAGTGAAAGATATGAATGCCTACTTTCTCCATTACGTTGAAGATACTGTAAAAGTAGAATCTTCGCAGTACTGTACATTAATTTTTGTGGATTTTGCGATAAGATCGTCAAGTGCGAATTTTAGAACTTATTGGTGTTTTGAACGGGCTGAATGGCGTGCAACACGAATTCAAGAATCCACAAATTTAAGAACCTGTGAATATGTTTTGGGGTCGCTCAGCTCGAAAAATTAATCACGCAAAAATAACAGCGTTTACAGTAATGAATTGATCAACCCACCAGTTTGAGCCCACAGGCTGCACGAAGGAGGAGGGTGTTCTCCTCCCTCTGGCTGTCATCTTTCTTCTGGTATCCAGCCTTCTTGATGTAATCGAAGAGGATCAGAGCCTGGGTGAGGTAGTCTCCGGCTTCCATCCATCTCTTCTCGTCGAGGAAGGAATAGCTCAGCTTCTGAAGGTCGTCGATGGTGCTCCGAAAGAAAGGCTGGAGGGAGGTGCAGGAGGAAGGTTAAAGGCATAACTTAACAATGTTAAATCTGAGATGCACTGCCCTACGAGTTATCAGTGTCTGAGATATGGTGTAATATTGAAGCCCAAAAGAAATTGTGCTTCAAAACTATCATGAAGTGCCTCAAAAAAGTAAACATCTTTGAGTGGCCGGTTTTAACATACTCATTTCCCCCAATAGACTGTAGTGTTATAAAAACCTTTAGGAAAACAAATTTTGAAATTTTGATTTTCCAATCATAAATATCTTGATTATCAGACAGGCGATGGGCTTGTAAAAGTCATGGGGTTTCTGACTGACCTAAGGTTTTTAATTATCATTGCAGCATGAGCTGAATCCAGGATTTTGTTTCAGAATCTGAGACAAAGATACCCAATCCCTGTAACAGGTGGAATGGGAGTGAAATGTTTTTTTTTTACCCGTTTGTTGCAAGTCATCAGTGATGAAGTGAATTAAGTCAGCAATATGCAAAGACATCAAGGTATTATACCCATGTTCTCCTACTAGAATATCCAGGTATGAACCTACATGTACATGTACCTGTCTACACAATTGTGTATGCATGGACCTCTGGCACTACAGGTATCTCAGTCACCTTGTCCCTATTCTATTGTTCATTTCCACCATCAAAATGTTCCACAATACCTAAATTTCACATACTAATAGTATATGTACCTGTAGATTTGATCATACTTGCATCATAACATTGTCATCAGGGTGGAGGTTTTTTTTTCTTCTTCTTTTAACTTTTTCTTCCCCAAAATATCTGACAAGCAAGGCAAGTATGTGGAGGGGTGGGGGGGGGGGGGGGTCCACTGGTCCAGAGTCCAGGCCTTGAGACCCCTGTGACTCTCATCCCCCATTTCTGATTAGATAGACGATAGACGCAGGCCTAATTTATCAAGTCATCAAATAATTTTTGTCCGGATTCATACCCAGAAATCTCTGAGAGGCTCCCTTCCCAATCTGCCCTCAATTATACATGTACATGTACATACTACCGGTACATTTGTAGCTCACTGCTGTTTACAACGATCAAAAGTAAACATTTCAAATTCCACCACAACCTACATGTACATGTACATGTAGGTCATCCCAGGATATTCATCAACTACTGTACAGCCTACATGGCAAACTTAACCTAATAATTGAGATATTTACATACAAACTCTCTTTTTTTAAATTAAATAAATTAATCAGCTAAAGAAATCTTGTCATGACAATTCACTTTCAAGTTCATAATAAACTGGTGACAATAAATTAAAAAGATAAAAAGTTTTTTTCTAGGCATTTGGCATTACCCTACATCAGGTAACACACATCTTTTGCATGGCTATATTTACACTTCACATCAAGCACGACTTGCACTTGGTCTCTCCCTGCTAATGTACATACATACAGACCACTGTGTATGTGAGTGTTGTTTATTCACATTCATACATATTCACCCACATACGGGGTACAAAAGCATACAAACATGAGTCATAAACAATTACCTCTTGTATTGTATGCAGCATATAGGCTGGAGAATTCCTGGAATGAAATGAAAATACAAAAACAAATCAGATTTCATCAACAGTTAAAAACATACCTTTATCAGATTGTCCATTAATTGGACATGCTCTGATGAAGAAATGAAAATACAAAAACAATAAAATTTCATCAACATGCCTGTTTATGAGGCACCATTTTGTAATATAGCAAAGGTACATTTACACTAATAATTTACATTTTGCAGTGTGAATCCATTTTGAGACGTTAAATAAAGAATAAGCGAAAATATAAATTGAAAACAAATGTATCTGTATATAAAATGTATCATGCTGGGATCCAGCAATTCTTCTATCAAATCTTGTTTACAAGAGCTTTGGGGGAGATATCCTTGACAAAGTATGATTTCTACATAGCAATTCTTATGATTCTCTTAAATCATAGCTGCACTAGTTTGGCCAGGAGGGATTGCACCTCCTTCCATGGTCACTGACAGGTGGTTATCTCATCAAATTAGCTCTCAATTAACATCAGAAAGAGGGGATCATGGTGGACCAATGGTCACCGATTAAGCCTGGTTTGCTATATAGAGGGCGCAAGTAGCTACATGTACATGTATAAGTAGTGCAGTGGGGCTTTAACTATTTTCTTCCAGAGCACTCTTTAGATCAACCATACACCTCTTTGGGGCTTTGCAGAGATAACTTCCATGCATTATTTAGACAGTTGTCTAGAGGGTCCTGCTCTCTGACAGACAAATTATTAAAAAACTAGGATATCTTTTCTGAACTTCACTGGGTCATTAATCCCGTACCCATTTGTATTTTGAACCCTGGTAAACAGTACTAAACATTCTGGTGTGGAAACAAAGGGACATCGAGTGGGGAATTCCCACTATTGTTGCATTGTTGAAACTGGATAAAAAACTACAACACACCACTTTATATACATGTACATGTATATATGTCATGTACAGTTAATATCTAAAGTATTTGTACCCCTTGTAAATTTGATAGTTTTGTGATCTTCATCACTCAAGAATGATAGCTGGACTGGTTGAATTATGGCCTTTGTTAAATACTTTTAGAAGCAAGCTTTGTGAAAGAAACGTTGTGAAATAGATCAGAAAAGGTTGATCATCTAGCACCTAGCATCTGCAAGGTTCTGGAATCATCAAAATGATAAGAAATTTGGCCCATTCTTTGTAAAGTTACAAGCACTATACACAGAAAGATGTATATGGGACTACCCTATATCTCTCACAGACCATGAGAGAAACAAATTTACCAAATATATGAATTAGTAGGCGGTTTCCCGGCAAATTTTTTATCATCATGTATTAGTCAAAACATATTCTTTCACATGATTGGTAATGAGAGCTTCCATTTCATTTTTTGAAATTGGGGCGTTTCCAATACTGGTCTTTACCTTTAAGTAGAATGTGAAGGGCATCTCTGCACTCACATCAAGGGATGATTTTTATCGAACGAACAAGATGTGTTGTGTGCAACTGATACATCCATATTACAAATGGGAAATGTTCCTGTTCATTGGAATGGATCTGTACGTCTAGGTTTGGTGTTAGCCTCGATAAATTGACAAACTGATTCAAACCTAAAAATGCTCAGCATTCAGTTCATGTACAGTGTATGACATGACGATGGTAGTAGTAATGGTACTACCTTTCAAAGAATTGCTGTAACCATCAATGCACAATTCTAATTGAAGCCTTCTCAAAAGATTTTGAAGATGCAATCGATCGACCACAGATTGGCAACTCTGCAAGGTATCTTGCGAGTTTATGACATTTTCTGGACAGAGCAGATTGGAGAGGACCTTGCAGGATGCATCACAGTGTTGCCAATTTGTGTTTCACTGATAACAACTTCAAAAATTCAGAACTTTCCTACTTTTAATCAAATATTCCTTAAACTGTCACAGGTTTGTTTCTCTCATTTTTCTGCTTTTATTAATACTTTTTATACATATATACTTTTTATTAAGAATACCAGCTAATTTTCAGGGTGCACTTCCCCTTTAAAAAATGCTTTCAAGCCATGACTTGTTATGTTCTATTTTCAGGAAACATCTGTGTGCTTGATCAATATTGCCGAGTCATTCATGTATGTCAAAATGAATTGCGAAATGCCAAACTATCACCAAAAGAAAAATTTCTTGGTTTGTTAGGAGCACCATCTCGCTATAACTATCAAATATATGAGCTTCAAATATTATAACTGTAAAGCTAGATATTGGAAGTTTCAATACACACTCAAGAAACATAAAAGTTAAGTAACTTGTGAATATGGTAGACCACTTAACGCACCCGGATTCACTGGCATCAAGGCCGCACGGAAGTGGCAGAAACCAAATCCAACTCAAGTTTCTTGTGCAGGGTTTTATGTACTCTTTGTTTCTATTAACATATTCCTTTGACATAAAGCCTGTAGAATGGAAGGAAAAGATCAGTTTCTTTTTCTTTCCTTTTTTAGGTGATTTCATTCATTCTTCCTGTACTCACATTATGATTTGGTGATTGGTACAGTTCACAGGCAAATTGATCATGAATGTTTCCTTTTATTTGGAAATAAATAAATAATATTTGCTACATTTATTTTGTATTGCACACTATCTTTCTCATGGGATGCTCAAGGCCTCTACAAATTATTATTACCTTGGCTTTAGCCCAGCCACCCTTTAAGGCGTTAATAAATTCCTACCAGGTGCATACATGTACATGTACCAGGCAATGAAAATAAAAATATATAAAATATATCTTGGTTGTGTAAAATACTTGTAAATTAAATCCAGCTCGTTTCCCAGAATTCTTCCATATTTAAACATAATTATATGCAGGGACTGAAGGTTTCCATCTAGGTTTCCACAGACAAGGTCACACATATGGAATCTGGGTTTGCCTTACAAATGTATTATGATGAAGTACCTTGATATGTGAGTTAAATCAATAACCTTGTAGACATCAAACATAGCATTGCATAGTGTATGCATCTATACTGAAGTATGAAAATCATTAATATAAAAAAAGGATCTGATATGAAGACTATTGTAGATATTGATACAGACATATTAAACTCTATTAAATTCTGTAGTTTATATTTGACTAAGGAGGGTCTCCAACGTATATTCTGACAAGGAATTTATTGAACTAAAGAAATAACATTTCATTTGTACAGAGGACAAAAATGTGAATCTCTCACTTTCTGTGATATATTTACAAGCTTTTGTATATTTGTTCAGGACTACTTTTCATCTAATAGTGATGGTCCCACTAGGGTCAATTCAATCCAATTTTAGGCAACTAATCCAAGCAAAATCTACAAAGTGGGGGTGGTAAATAACCACTTTTTATCATAGCACAATGCCATACGGTTCCCTTGAAATTGAAATACAATGTCACAGTAAATAATCTGCTATGTAAGAAGCACAAAGAATCACAGACAAAATTTTGCAACACGGAAGAAACCTTTAAAGGCAATTCTAGTAACCACAACTCCCAGGGACGATAAACAATATGGAATCTACATTATAAATGTAATGTGCATGCATGTGGAATGAGAATATCCCCTATCAAAGTCCATACAGAAACATGCAGGTACATGTTCATGTGCAGATCTACCGGAAACCATTGTTCATGAACACACTCTGCACATGAATGCCGAGAGTCTACGAGTAGTCTGGTGGCACAAACCTGTCGGATTTCAAGTGTGAAATCGATGCATGAAAACATGCCGGCTTCCTACAAAGTCTCAAGGTTCTGTTGAAGAGCACATGTCTCTGTAGTGACAGTTGTTCTGATCTGCGGTGTATTTCCTACATTAACCAAATTCCTAACTGCAGCCCTAGACCCAATACTATACCTAATCCTAACTTAAAACCAGATGGCAACCCTATACCTTTGAAGAAAAAAAGAGTATATTCAATCAACTGTCAGGAAGGAAATGTCAGATAACCAAATGTCCACGATAAAAAATAAGGCTTTGAACCTTCTGTCTGCCCTCTAAATGGCCTTCATTTCAGAGAAAATTCCCTTAATTAACAATGTTAAACATTGTTAATTAAGGTAAAGTAATACACCAAATCGTCGCTTTTTCATGAAGTGACGGTAGTGAAAAAAAATTGCATTCACTTTGCGTTATGATTTTCCTCACTACCGTCACTTCGTGACAACAAGGACGAAATGATATCTACAGACTGTAGTTAAAGTTGATTAACAGGGTTTAGCTGTATATGCTTTGGCACTCTTTGGTACTACAGCATAATTATTATTTACATCTGTATCAGCGGAAAAATACAGTAGCTCTGGAAAGCTCAAAAATAGCACTGGTAAACTGACAAAGAGCTCTGGGGACTGTTTCACAAGGACTAAGATCAACTTTAAAGGTACTATGTCCCATTTGCAGGCCAAAAAAATGAAAAAGTTAAATTCCAACTGCATTTGAAAGATAATACTAATTTAGAACTTCCCTAAAAAAGGTGGGGCTTGAAAATGTCTTCAAGTGGGAAAATAACGACTATTAGTTGTTAAATCGACTTTAGGGCTATAGAGCCCCAAAGTAATAGTCTTGATTTTCAGACAATTGTACCGAATGGTCATACGTTTTATGCTGCGCAAAGATTCAATCAGTTTAATCTTGGCCATCACAAGAAGTGGGTTATTGATGTAGACAAATGCTCATGTACCCTTTACAACTCTTTTCATGTATGTTATTACCAAAGAAGAAAAAAAGCCAGTCAGTCACTCAATAGTGTCTGACAGTGAAGTCTAGCAAGTAAACGGGTTTCCTTGCATAATTTGAATATGAGGACACTGCTAACGTTTAAATTTCACAGATAGGACATACGTGACATATTCATAATTCCTGCAAATTTCTACAGAATTTGAGGTTGGCTGCAAAAGGGACCTTTAAAGATAAACTTTAGTACTGGTAATGCGATTGCATTGTGAAAGAAAAGGTGTGGAAAGGATCAGAAACAGTTGATCATGTAGCATGTAAGTATTGGTGTGCACTGCAAGGTTCTGGAGTCATCAAAATCATAATAAATTTGACCGAGTCTTGGTAAAGTAACAAGCACTCACATAGAAAGCTATATATGGGACAACACACATGGTGTCGGGGCTAGTACTACCTTGATTTCCTTGTCTTTCTATGCTCATTACTCAGCCAGTATACATTTTCTTCCAAAATTGTTTGGCACATGTCATTTATTTGTAATCTTGAACATTCAGTGTGAGTTTCGTTTGATTCTGTGAGAATTATTTTAATTTTTTTACCAGTACTGGAGTTTATCTTTAAGCTGGACTTCAATATGGCAGGTCGTTCATGCCATCTACTCTCACCATTATGATCTTTACATAATATTTTTTCCTTCAATAATGAATTATCAAGATATATAAATTCTGTAGATGTATGACCGTGATATATCGTCGGTGGGGTGACAAAACCTTGTATCTCAAAAATCATGAATTTTCAGGAGAGCGAAAAAACTTTCCTGTCTCAACAAATTTAGTGCTGTGACACCGTCCTTTCTTTTTAAAACTGGAATATTTATACAATTTTTAATGTCATTGTTGAAATACAGTAAAATAATTGTTTTTATATGTACATGTACGAGGTTTTTGCGTTTATCTACATTGAGATACAAGTTTTTAGTTTTTCTTCAAATTGAGATACAAGTTCTTACTTTCAACTCTGAATGAGTTACAAGGATTTGGTTGAATAAGTTACAAGGATTTGAATACACTAACTTCGGTACTATTAGGCCGTGTGTGAGTTACGAGGAAAAGAAATTACGTATCTTATGTTACGAGGTTTTGTCAGTGCAGCTTCAAAGGGGGTTAAAGTTACAAGGTTTAGTTTAAGGGTGTTTGTGTGGAATTTGTGAAAAAACCGAGAAGGAGGCATTCCATGGATTTATCAGATGGTGTCGTAGGCCATAAGAGAAGGCAACTTTATTATCACTCGCGTTCGTCCGGGTTCAGGACGATCGCGTCCCCTCCTTTGTTTAGCGAACGCGACTGTCCTGAACGCGTAAGGTACAAAATTATGCAAAAAAATCAAATTCTCAAAAAAATTTAAATACAAGGTTTTGTCACCCCACCGACGATATGTACGTCCCTTGAGAGACCAATGCCTGTAAACGGTGAAAGCAAACAGTGGCATAAATGGCCTGCCATAGTTAAGTCCAACTTAAAGTCAATCTTAGTCTTTGTGAAACACTCCCTGGTAATATAACCATAAAATAACTAAATATCACTGCGAGGAATAAGCACACTTTTACCACACCAAATCCTTAAAGAGCTCCCGCAAACAGAAAAACATTTTTTTCACTGGTCTGTATTAAATAGAAACATACTTTTAAATTTGATTGCTGAGGTACTTACAGTGTACATCAGAAAGATCCTATAAGAGATCCCACAAACAGAAAAGAGCCTTTTACACTGTTCTGTATTAAATAAAAACATTTTGATACTTACATCAGAAAGAGCATCTTCTCGTCCACCCGCATCTGCCTGTTAAATCGGTCGGCCATCTTGCCGACCTTATCAGTGGGCAGAGGTAAACCCTCTGCACACTATAGTTGAAGAAACAGCAATCTGCTCTCTTTGGTTACATCAACTGCTGCCTTTCATACCTGATGAGAGAGGTTGACAGGTGGAGAGAGAGAGAGAGAGAGAGAGAGAGATAGAGGTGGGGGGGGGGGAAGAATTAAAAAATATATATTTTCATTTCAGAATCCTAATAGCTTTTTCAGATTTAAAGGGCAATCCAACCCTTGTATTAAGTTTATTTCTATGACAGCAGAAATAGTCAAACCTGTCTATAGCGACCGCCCAAGGGAAACACAAAAAGTGGCCTTTGTAGACAGGTTCTTTTAGTGTATGATTCAATGAGAAACCATTTTCAATGGAAACAATACATGTGGCCTTTGTAGACAGGTGGTCACTAAAGCAGGTTTGACTGTAAGACTGTGTGTCCCAGGAAAAAAGATGAAACCGAGACAAATTGATGCTTTATCATAACTTAATCACAATTATAATTAATAAATGGCACATATTTGTTTTAAAAGCTTAGATCCTCCACTTCCATTTGATGCATCTCATATGATATATATTTCATGCATGAATGATTAAAAACAATTTGAAGAAAGGTTACCAAAAAGTCATTTTGCGAACAGTATCTGAATTAAAAAAATTTAATAATGAGAGCCTCCATCTTGGATTTTAATGACAATGGACAAAAAATGTGTGCCGACATTATAATCCAAGATGGCGGCTCTCATGTTTTGCCTCTTCTGTTACTAAGACCAATAATAATTTCAAAGACCAACAAACATGGTCTACAACAACTCTAAAAGACAAAATAATCCCAACTATTCATGTTTTTTAGCATTTGATAGTCCAAAACTTGAACATTTTCTACATTTAAAAAAAAAAAAATTCTGCCGATTTTTTTTCTAATCATTTGTATTGATTGGCGATCAGAATTTATTATCTGATTTCACTTGATCGGCTAAAGATCGGCCCCGATCCAATGATTGGTTACAGGGTTAGTTTTTCTCCATATGCCCAAAAAGGCATCATCTCAGAACTCTAGAAATAACATTGTTTCCGTCGTAACTCCGAGATTTGCAACTTTTGAGAAATGATGCCCCAAGCGATAAGAAGTTCCAGTCATAGGGAAATTATATATTATTACATGCGATTACAGTTTGAAAATACCCTTTCCCCCACTTTTCAGATAGTTTTTTTTTCATCAGCGCTCTGCAGGATTCGGATTTCCGAACCGCGCACTGGCGATGTGAAAAACGGATTCTATGTAAGAAAATAACCCCAGTTCACCGTCTTCTTTTATGGGTTGTCCGTCTTCCCGAGGATTTATTGCTTGTAATAACGACTTAACGTGAAAGTCTCTGTACAAAGTCAATGTAAAAACAGTAAAATGAATCAAAAGAATCATCGCGGAATCTGTTTTTTTCGCATCGCCAACGCGCGCAGATCAGAAATATGAAACGTCTGCAAAAAAGCAGACAATCCTTATTTTTTTTAGGAGGGTCTGTCCGAGTTTCAAAGACAATCCTCGTTTATGCGTACAATCCTTATTCTCGGACCAGCGCCCCTACTGATAATGGTGAAAAACGATCCAAAAGGGAAAATTGAGAAGAAAAAAATCATTCAGACACCCTTCTTCAGTTCAAGTTCAACAATCATAATGTAACTTTCCATCTTAGAGTTAGATAAACCAGGGATATGAGATCGAGTTATAACTTCCCCCATCTCCTTCTCACTCTCACTCTCACGCTGGAACTTGAAAGTTAGAAAGTTGACTAGATTTCTAGAACTAGTCTAGACAGTCATGACCCCAGCTACACCTAGTCTAGAAGGTCTAGATCTAGTCTATATTATATATATTCTCGAGTAGTCTAGTTATTGGTTAACTCAATTCTCAAACTGTTGAAAAGTTGAAGTTAAACTGTAGACCTATGATAGATAGATAGTCTAGAGGTCTAGAGAAATAATTAGGTTAAAATCATACGCACCTAAAATATATCTATAATTATTACAGGCACGGAACACTGGACCAAACTGTGGCATCTAATCCAATTCCTCCTTTTGAAAAGGATTAGAAATTTGTAGAATGTGTTGAATTTCCGCTTGGACCGCAGTTTCGCAAGAGCAACTGATTTCGGTCGTGATTATCTGCCGATTGCAGCAAGTTTATAGCTGCATGCATACTACTGTGTGCGTCAATTCAGCGCATTCTTGTTGTTTGTGTACATACATGCAGCATGCATGAAATGCATGCAATATTATTGACAGCACGTGCGCGCTATTTTCGCGGGCGCAGTGGCCGTGATAAAAATAGAATGGGGAACTCCACATTCGAAAGAATGTGGAAGGTATATTTTTAACTCTTTTCTCAATTTTAGAAATACATGTGTAAATGTAAATTACATAAATAACTTTTGACATAATTTTTTAGTTATTCAAATTTATTTAAAACCTTATTTTACATGACTGCATTACATGCATTCCAAGCATCATTAAATTGGCACCACTTTTCCGGGGATTCCCCACTACGCCACCCGAATGCTTGTTGGATCAACGCAATGGCCGATGCCCTGACCTACATTAGTAATGTGTTTCTTTTGAGAATTTTAAACCGTTTGTATTTGGTAAATCGCAAAGTGTTTTGAAGTTTGAACGTCACAACCAGCTTTTATCACCTTGTCCTTTATAAAGGCAATTACTAAGATATCTTTCAAGAGAACAACGTACACGATCAGGCGCGCCGGAAGCAGTTTGGGATGGGGGGGGGGGGGGGCAAACATTCCAGGGGGCTCACCTTCCAGGGGCAGTGACGTAACGAGCAAAAACGTCTGGAAGGGGGGCAGAAGAAAAATCTGCATCACCACCACTCTTACACGTTACATGCAAGCCCCGCCGAACGTTTTTCAAAGTGGATTATTAACGATCAGGTAGAGCGTAAATTGGCGTGGGGTCCAGGGCCTGAGCCCCGGCAGGGGGTCAAGGGGCTGAGCCCCAGAAGCTCAGGGGTTTTAGGCATATTTAGATAACTTATTTGTGATCCTGGCAGCCCACTAATTGGCGGAGAGTCCAGGGAGCAGAGCCCCCGGAAGCTCGGGGGTTTTACGTATTTAATAACGGTCAGATGAGCATACAGGGGACCGCCTTAGGGCCCTTGGTTGGGTCCGGGGGCAGAGCCCCCGTAAGCTCTGGGGTCTTAGGCATTCAATTACGGTCAGATGAGCATATTTTGATACCTCATTTGTGACATTGGCCGAGGTCACTTGTTTTTTCTCTTTCTCTTTCTTTCTTTTTCTTTGTAACAAACTTTTTCAAAAAGTGAGGGGGGCTCAAGCCCCCGAGCCCGGCCGTTCTGCAGACCCTGACATAAAGGCTTCTAAATAAGCATATTTTTCGCCCTATTGTAAATTTGAGAATTTCTAATTTTCCAACAAACGCATAAAAAGGTATGACTTACAACAAAATTGAGAAAAAATACCGGAAAATCATGTCATTTCAGCAACATTTGTAAATCACTGGTATCGAAAAAAAATATATTACCCCCCCCCCCCCCCCCCCCCAATCAGTACGCCAGCGTTCAGGGGCTCATAAGCTTCTCACCCCTATAACAAAAAACAGACACGCTTTCCCATTCTCCCACAATATGTCCACGATATGCGCGTATCGCTATTATAAAAACCTCCATTGATAAATATAGGTACCATGCGCAATGTTTAGAAAATTTAATTCCTGTTAACTTTCCTTTTCTTTGAATGGAATTTTATATGTCATTTAATTCAGGTTTTATTATTGTTATGTTCTATTGGGTTAAAAGTACAAACCATCTTTACTCATTTACTGCTTTTTTTTTCTTGAGGGGGGGGGGATGTTTTTTTTTGGGGGGGGGGGCAAAATGCGTTTTGCCCCCCCCCCCCCCCCCCTTCCGGCGCCTATGTACACGATCATCACCAAAACACCATATACGCCTAGCTAACTATAATTAGTTATTACGGTCAAAAGCTGCTAAATTCTTCTGGTTATGTTTTCGGAAAATGGGTCATGTTAAAGAATATATAAATTTAAACCGTAGTGAGAATTGCATTTTGCATGAAACAAGCTGCAATGGGTTTTATTTTGCCGACCCTCTGGTTAAATCATGATAATGTGACACAGTGAATGATAGCAAAAACAAAACCATGCAGAAACAAAACACTGACACCGGGCACTGACCCCAGTGAAACAAACGTGTAGTTCGTTCACGATATCCGTTTGTGTCGGGTTTCGTTTAATTGTTTCTGGGACACATTGTATAGGCCTACACGTGCGTCAGACGGGTTGATAAAGCTTAAGTTTGCGGGTGTGGTCATATTAAAGACGAAACCCAAAATAGCAAAATCATGCATGCTTGTTGAATCAGGAAAGTTCCTTCAAATCATAATAACTATTGTAAAAGTAGAAATGATAATAATGATAACAGCAAGAACATCAAGAATAATGATAAGGACGAAGATCAGGATAGTTGTAACAGTATCAGCGATGATGATGATGATGGTGATATTGTACACTTGCCCTATCGCCCTCAGATGAAGAAAGCGTTATAATCATTTAAAGGATGCGAAGAAACACCCACCAATATACCTTTCGAGGGTTGCTCTCATTTAGAATTTAAAAAGAGATAAAAAATCGTCCTCAAAAGACTTCTAAGCGTTGACATTTTGTCTATCAAAAAAAGATTAAAATCTAACTTTTCTCATTCCATTGAACTTTGGTCAAGATTACACTTCAAGTCGGAAATATCTATTCTTATTTTGAAAAAATACAAAATAGTTGAGTTTGTGAATTGTTCATACACTTCTAAGCTAGTTACAATTCTCTTCCGTGTTTTAGAATATCACGAACATATTAAGTTGTTTGTTCCTGTCATTGAGCAGAATTAAAGACTATTCTTCCGTGTTTTAGAATATCACGAACATATTAAGTTGTTTGTTCCTGTCATTGAGCAGAATTAAAGACTATACTCTTAACTAACTCCATATTAGTATGTAGTTGCATTTCCGCATTCTACTATGTGACATGCAAACAACTTCTGACTTCGAAATGATGATGAAAAATATTCACTATAGCAACAATGAGAAAGGATGCAATGACGACGACTCGACTTATATAGCTATACAATTTATATTCATCATCATTGTCTCAATGAATTTATTGGGAGATATGTTAACTTCTACCTTCTTCTTCTTCTTCTTCTTCTTCTTCTTCTTCTTCTCTTTATCCTATACACCTTCTTCTTCTTCTTCTCCTCCTCCCTTTTCGGCTTCTTTTTCTTCTTCCCCTTCTCCTTCTCCTTCTTCTGCTTCTTCTTTTGGGGAGGGTTTATTTATTTGACCTCTCTCTCTCTCTCTCTCTCTCTCTCTCTATGTCTCTCTCTCTATCTATCTCTGTCATTTTTATTCTCACACCTTTCAATTTTGTGTGAATTTGTCTGGAGACAAAAAGTCAATAATACAACGATTGAAGCCAAACAACAACTAAAGAATGTAAGACTATAATGGGCCAAAGTTGATCTTATTTGCTCAATGGGCATACGTCATTAATCGTACCTGGAATTCCCATATCTCGGGGATTTCCAACAGAATAGAAGACAATGCGGAAGGGGGGATGCAATGTTACCTCCACAGCCCACACTTTTGAGGTGGGCGAAAAAAAAAGAAGAAAAAAAAAAAATATATATATATATATAGGCCTAATGGCAGTAGGTCATACGCTCACCTTCCCGTCCGTCATTGCAACTTCTATTCCTATTCATCAATTGCATAGTCTATTTCTAACCAAAGATATTGTTAAATCCACAAAAATCCGTAAAGACACAACTACATTAACCATTGTTGGCCTTTTTTCCAAAGATTAGATGCCCCTTTTTGCACACATTGGTGCGCAGATAAACAAACAATTAACTGTATTTCTATATCACATATTATCGGAAATACAGTTCCTGTATCATATGCCCCTTTAGGAATAGACAATGATAAAGGAGTAATAGAAAGATTAAAGGAGCATAGCATGCATATACATCCAATTATAAACACCAACTAAACCATTATAACAATATACAGTAAATGCATAAATGGTCCTGTCTATTTTAAGAAAGAAAAAAAATAGAAGGTTTGAGAGTGATAGACAGAGATAGAGGGGAGGGGGGGGGGTCAGATATGTACTAGAGTATTTCATACATCCGACAGTCTCGAGTGACCTTCTATACTTAAATCATGTTGTGAATAATATGAATAACAATACCTAATGAATTTTGATTAAAATGATGGACAAAGCAAAAACATATTTATGAACAGTTATTTAAAACACAGAGACAAACAGAGGCTGCATCAAGCAATGGTCATGCGGGATATAATGCGAAGATGCATTTTATTCCTAATTGATATTCGGATATTATGCAAAATCACATGAACAAACAAAATATGGCTTTCATGATGAAACAAAGAAATACTAGAACTTACCTTGAAAAAATAATACTATATCAGCGCCTCTACAGGTGTCAAATCCTATACGCATCATAAATATTATGAGAAAATTCAATAAAACAGAGCTTCGATGATCAGATGTTATAGATTTGAAGAATACAAAAATATAATATTTGAAAGAAAAACGCAATTGCTGGTTGAAATATTCATATATCAATGCGACGGAGGAACGAAGAAAAGACTGTGAGGCATTGAAGAATGAAATGCTGTATTTATACCATACCATAACCGACAGATATTATGCTGAAAGGCCTATATACAGGTAGTCTGACTCGACAGACCCCTTTTCTCCCATCTCCCCCTCCCCCTCTCCCGCTCCCTCCCCTCTCCCCCTCTCTCCCTCTCATATTTTAATTAATCTTTATCTTTTTTCGCCCTCTCTTGGTTTATCGTTATCTCTTTAAATTTATATCTCGACCACCCCCCCCCCCGCATCTCTCTCAATTTTGCACACCCTACCTCAAATTATCTTTCAGTGTTTCTACCCCATAAGATAGAGAGGGAGAGGGGGTTATGGAGAGAGAGAGAGAGAGAGAGAGAGAGAGAGTGTGTGTGAGAGAGAGAGAGAGAGAGAGAGAGAGAGAGAGTGAGAGAGGGGAGAAATGGGAGAGGAAACGAAAATTATAACCTTTATCAATGATTATTATGCATAAAATATGATAAATTAAAAGTGAACTTTTTGAAAATATCAAAGAGGGGGTTGAGATTGTGACTTTTCTAAAGTCTCTTTCACTACTTACTAATGGTTCAAGTAGGCTACTTAGATGGTTGATGTATCTTGTTGAGATTATTGCCAGGACCAGGGCATCAGCAGCCGAATATTCCGACGACAACCACGATAAAGACACCTTGCTTACGCCCTTCGACGATCCTAAGACTGAATTGCAAAACAACAAGTGCGCTCCTCAATAACATAAAGGGGTTTTCAATACAGACTACATGCAGTATCACAATAGCGGGGATTCCCTGTACATGTTGTAACTACCGGGGAAGTTCCGCCGGATGATTCGATTTCTTGAAGAGATTGAAAGGTCGATGATCAACAATAATTATCAAATGATTAATATACTTGATCTGTAACGTTTTAATTATAAATTGTGTTACTTTGATTATCATGATTATACCTGTCTTGCATCTTTCTTCTGAATACACTAAATATACTTAAATCCATATTGTTTCAAAGATGAAATGATTATAAAGATATATGCAGAGGACAACTAATATTCATACAAAACTCTTCATGAGAATATTCTTTAAGGAGTGACCTAATATACTCGAAGACGAAGTAATCTATTTTCATGACAATTTCTAGTCCAAAATTACCCAGGTTTGACTGTGCCCTGCCCCCCCCCCCCCTTGATCAACCGAGTGGTTACCAGCTTCGGTTTAATGTTTTTTTTTTTCCTTCTCATAACCATTATTATAATCATAGTATTCAAAAAGTTGATTGTGATTTACCAATAAATAGGCCTACCAAAGCCCAACTGTTTCTCCAGCATTGTTATCAAATAATTTGTATTTCACATTCGGCGAATAAATGAAAATGAATGTCTTGCCAAAGAGCAACTGGTGGTTAAATGTTCTTGTCCATACAAAAGTCAGGCAGAAAAATCATGTGTCATTTAAATCTTTTTCAATGTTGTGGTCAGTGTTTGATCAAAATTTAATTATACACTTAAGAGCAGTGTTGTTTATGGTGATGCAAAACTAAGGGGAACTTTCATTATGGGGGCACCATGCAGTCTTAGTTTGTGAAAAAGGGCAAATTAATACTGGGCCACCGTGAGGGTGTGGGAGGGCACCCCGGTGTCTTCTTTTTGTTCTTACTCCTACCCCTCCCCCCCCCCCTCTGTCTATTAATTTAGTTTTCTCTCTGTTCCCTTTACCCCATTCGATTGGGCGGTATGCTTCCAAGTGCCACCTACGCCAATGCATAAGGGTGTTTCAAAATATTGTATTACCATTGTAATTTCTGGCTCTGCTTTCTGAGCGAAGTATTCCGGCAAGCCTATGATTGAAGAGGCACTCTCGTATTTTGCATGGTTGCAAAAAGCACTTTAAATATTATCAATATAATAAAGATTTTTTTTTTTAAATATTTTTTTTAAGGCCGGGGGTCGTGAAAAACCATGACTAGACGATCAATGCAATAATGAATATACTTAAAAATAGGTGAATATGTCATCCGGCTATCCTGATAAAGTTATAATATGAAAATAACAAAAATAAATAAATAATAATAATAATAATGATAATAGTAATAATGATAATGATAACATTACTGATAATGATAATAACAACTCGTCATAACTATCATCATCCTGCGGTTGATATTTCCCTACCCTCGATATTTCATAACAAGAACTATTATTGCGCAATACTTTCGCTGCGACAGGAGGGACATTATGGGTATTGCGCAATAGCTAAGCAGCATCAACAAGAAATGAAAAGTAATTTCAATCAGATTCGATAACTATTACAGGACAAAATTCATGTTCCCACTTGTTCCTATAGTAGCAATTTCATATTGTCAATTGCGTGCCATAATCTACTGAAGAAGAGAAAAATAAAACATACATGGTAAATAGTATAGCGTGCACTAATGCACTATCATGACAATACACAAAAAGAAAATCATATATCTTATAACAATAGGGAAACGTCAGTTGTTAATGCTATGCTGCCACCCAGTATACGTCGCGCTCAGGGTTGGGGAATTCCAACGTGACGTCATATAAAAGAAATGGAGAGGAAGAAAGATTAACCAACACGTACACAGTTAATTTATGTAGCACTAACCATAAGGCCATGTAAAATTGATTACATGTTGATCGTCCGGATTTTTTGAAAAAGAGGAGGAGGGTGTACCATGTTATTTGATATTTGATATTTCAAAATGGCCGCTCAAAATGGCCGCTCGGTACATTTTCCCTGACAGTCGAGGCTATTTTTTTTCAAGATGGCCGCCGACAATTTTTTTTTTTTTTTAATCAGAAATAGAGCCATTTTAGCAGTGTTTTTCATGTGTTTTTTCTTTCAAAAAAAAAAAAAAAAAAAAAAAAAATTCAAAAAAAAAAAAATTTCAAAAAAAAAAAAAAATAACAAATAACAAAAAATAGGAGGCGGCCCCCAAAAAGGAAGCGGGCGGGGACGATCAACATGAAATCAATTTTACATGGCCTAATGGCTAAAGCCTCATAATTATGATCAATGATTAGGTAGCTACTCTCTCAGGGGTGCCAAGGCGGGAGAAGGGGTGGAAGGTTGAAGAGGGGAGGGGTGGAAATTGACTGCCTTGATGAGATAGTGTAATATATACTATTCGAGATATGCGGTTGGGGGATGGGGAGGGGCTGATACCACTCCCCAGAATATCACATTATTATTTATAAATTTTAGAATCAAATCGTACTATGTATTATAATTAATAATATCTGCTAACCAACCATCCCATTGTCAACCTATAAGGTTGCCTTAACCCGAATATAGTGTAATTTTGAAAATTATCGGAGTGGAGGCACCCTCTAGCCAACGCCAAAATACTGCGTCTTCCAAAAAGACATGGTAGATATGTTATTCGGACTAAGGAACATTTTTAGACACAAACAATAAGGAATTATTTTGAACTAATTATTCGCCGGAGGGGGGGGGGGGGGGGGGGGGGGGGGCTACCATCCGATTCTACACTGATGCCAACCACCTTCAAAGGGCACGGCCATAATGTGTTTAGTTCATGTCATTAGAATGATAATGGAGACTTTTCAATGTCTTAGCGTTCATGAATGTTAATGTGTCCATGAATTTTTGAGGGAACTTTTCTGTTTCATAATAGTTTCTGGAAAGGTTTAATGCACTTTCTTTTGGAGCAATAAACCACCAATATATACATAAAAGATGGGTTTGGATAAGGGAGGTGAGGTTATAGTTTGAAGAAAATGCCAATCAATGAGTTTCTTCAATTATATAGATTTTCCAATCCTAATCCCTATCTTCAGAAAGAGAAATAAAAGAAGAAAAAAATAATTGTCATGAACTCGTGAATATTAGGTCACCGACAAATTTGGAATCATGACATCATAGGACGAGAGGTGGCGTCCTTCAATTCCAACACATCGACAACAACATTAAAAATGGAGGCTATTCCTCGGATGTTGATGCTCAGTGTTGAGCTAAAAGAAAGTGCCGAAAGAGTTGAATTCGGCCATGAAATTAAACAGGTGAGTTTACTGTTTTATAACGAAGTGATTAAGTATAATATCGTGCTTGATGGAGTGGTAACGAATTATTTTTGTGACAGGAAACTTTAAGTTTTGGCTTTTGCGAGTGGGATGGGAGTGTTCTGCCAGATTCGTGTACGAACGCAGTGTGAGTGCCAGTGCATACAAAATCGCATAGGCCTAGAGGCTAGACCCTACATTATCAATCATGTCAGGCCAAAACTCAAAAGCTAGGAATAGGATAAGGGCTCGGCCTCCATATCATACAAGGGAGATTAGTTTTGTCTCGTCAAATGTGTGGACTAGGGCGTGAGGATGTAATTTTAGGCAATGTTGACTCGTGAATAAGAATACTGAATAGGCCTAGATCTAGTCAGGGAAACTTTAAAGATTTCACTTGACAGAGATTGAAAATGCATTTATCAATTTCAAAGTCACAATCACAACACTCACTCACATGATCCCTTTTTTCTTCTTTTTCTTCCCCTATGACCAGGTAGGGTCTAGTGTTTTTTTTCTTGCCCTCTAATTCAATCTTCTCTTTTTATATTTTCTTATGTTATTCATGTAATTTATGTCCATCCAATTTATTGCAGATCTAATATCACCCCCCCCCCCCATTTTTTTTTTTGGAGGGGGGGGGGGCATGGGTTTATCCTTTCAACTTCTATCAAGTATCTATAATTCTCTTTATTAGAATAATTAAGTTATTCTTTCATTTCCTCTTTCTGTCATTCCAGATAGATATGTTAATATTTGTTTGTATACTTCTGTGACCTCTTCATTCTATCTTTTGATTTATTCTTTGTTTCATTCCCTTCACCTCTGAATCTGTTTATATATTCTGTCATGTTATTCTTTTTTTTCTATCCTTCTTTTTCTACAGGTATGTAGAAATAATAATATGTTTTTTTGTGTGTGTTTTGTCCCTGTCCTGTTCACTTTGAAATTCTCCATTCTCATCCTTCAATTATTCTTTTTTTTCCCTTTCAATCTTTCTTTTCCTTTCAATCTTTCTTTTATGTTATTCTGTTTTTCAGTTTTTCATTTGCTCCTTCTTCAGTCGTCTCTTTTGCTCTTCTTTTTTTTAATCTTTCATTTCCATTGACTTTTTATTTCTTTCATCTTCACTTGTTATCTTCTACATGCATGTTATTTTAGACTGAATAATATAAAAAACTAGATGGAACTTCGACTGCGCGCAGTCGAAAATGATGCCTCCTTCATAGAGCAATTTCACAAACCAAAACAGAATAAATTTTTCAAATTCAAGTTTAATTGTAATCCATTAACAGGTTCTCAGAATATTGTGATTACAAGCAATTTCTCATATACATATATGACCCTTTGATCTTTGACCTCATGACCCTAAAATCTACTCAGTTCATTGGCTCTGCAAGATGTCCCGAGTTAAATAGTAATCCATCTGTCAGTTCTAATGATAATATGATCACAAGCTATTTTTGCATAAATAATGAGACACATGACCTTTGACCTTGACCTCATGACCCCAAAATCTAATCAGTTCATCAGCTCTGCAAGTAACATACATGACCTAAGTTTGGCAGGAATCCATCAATCGGTTCTTGAGATAACGCGATCACGAGCTGTTTTTGCATACATAATGTGCGCTGTGACCTTTGACCTCGTGACCCCAAAATCTAATCAGTTCATCGGCTCTGCAAGTAACATACATGACCTAAGTTTGGCAGGAATCCATCAATCGGTTCTTGAGATATCGCGATCACGAGCTGTTTTTGCATACATAATGAGCCCTGTGACCTTTGACCTTTGACCTCGTGACCCCAAAATCTAATCAGTTCATTGGCTATGCAAGATACATACATGACCAAAGTTTGGCAGGAATCCATTAATCGGTTCTTCAGATAACGCGATCACGAGCTGTTTTTGCATACATAACGAGCCCTGTGACCTTTGACCTTTGACCTCGTGACCCCAAAATCTAAACAGTTCATCGGCTCTGCAAGATACATACATGACCAAAGTTTGGCAGGAATCCATCAATTGGTTCTTCAGATAACGCGATCACGAGAACGGGACGTACGTACAGACGTACGTACAGACGTACGGACGGACGGACGGACGGACGGACGGACGGACGGACAACCAGAAAACATAATGCCTCCGGCTACTTCGTAACGGAGGCATAAAAATCATGATTAAAAAAAGACTAGAAGGGTGTCAAAACCTAGTGGCCTCTCCTTTTTTTGTGGGAGGGCTGGTGGGATTCCTGAAGTCAACTATGAAATATCTGTATCACGACCACGTACAGTACATGTACCACTGCAAGCTTTGTTTCATTTGCAAAAATGAGGTCAAGGTGTATCACTAGTACATAACTCTTAAATTACAAACAAGACGAAAGATGGGGAATATTAAAGCCAAGTTTAACTTTTCAAATGGGCTCAAACAAATGTTGCTGTGGTCATGAGGATGACTGATGAACATGCTCCTTTTGAGCAAATTTTTTGCTCAGACAAAATTGTACGACTTAGCCCAGCCTTTTTCAACCAAGGTGCTGCAAGATACTATCTCTAGGGGTGCCGCGAGAGAATGTTAGTGTTTATATATTTAAAAAATCATTATTTTGAAATAATATAGATTTGTGAAAAACAAAATAACATTTTACCACGCTCATTCACTTCATGAGCTTGCAACATTTAGAAACAGGATAATTCTGCATCAAATTGACCGCACATAATGATTTTTGTATTAATTCTATATTTTATCTAGTGAGTTGAATATAAAGTTTAATATTTATCATATTAAAAGTGTTGTTATTACATGTATCTGGTTTGCAAAAAAATCCCTTTGTGTACATGTACGTCAAGTAAAAGCCAACTTATCCAAACTCATTGAAATGTTTTCTTTGTCTTTTATTAGCACATATCTCAGCATTACATGGAAGATGCTGCCAAATACAATGAACAAATCAGACAGCTGGACCAATTTCGAACTGTGAGTATCAAGCCACAAAGATTGAGGATCATGGAAAGATGATGTGAAATAAAAAATTACCTGCTACAGCTCTTTCAAACCCCCTCCTTAATTTTTCATATCAATTTTATGATCCGAATTATCATTTATGGCTTAAACGGCATAAAGTCTTCATTTATCAACGTTCACTGTGCTGCTAACCTTTACATTTACATACCAGTATCCCGACATTAATTTTTTTTTCTCACTCTTTTTTCACCTTTCAAAGTAGTATCAAAACCTTGCCATGTATAAAAGAACATGCTTATTATTCACTCAATTTATGTGTACTTTTGAAGATAATTATTTTTCACTTTTAAGATTTGGGGAAACAGGACTACTGAATTCAAATATCAAATTGGATTGGATGAATAAAGCTACTGTTAGTAATCTATCCTCACTATCATCCTCTCTTTCTCTCTTGTGTTTCTTTCTCTGTTTTCTGAGCATGTTTCTTCCAAGTCATGTAGTTCTCGTACCATATCTTTTGGCTTTTATAACTAGAAAATGTTTTGTCTCTTCCCTATGAACAGAATGCTTGTAATGTGACAAGAGATTTCAATGGCATCAGTACACTCAAGAAATACTATGGCCAGCTTCATCTACTTTCCAGCCGATTCCCAGCAGATCTCTTTACATTCTCATGGTAAAAGTCAAGATCCTTTCATGTCTCTTCATATTTTATAACAACAATAATAATGATACTCAGCTTTTACATGTATATAGCGCAAATTACAAGTCTCTGACCGCTTCTAAACTAGAAGATTAGTACCCCGGCTTTAGCTGTGCTGCCATTATTGCGCTCTAGCATTTCAAGGAATTAACTCCTGCCCAGGTACCCATTTTCATCACCTGGGTTGAGTGTGGCAAATGTAGATCAATGTCTTGCCAAAGGACATTACTAGTGCCGCTGCAGGAATTACATTAAGTGCATGTGTATTTACAGTGCTCAGATATTAGGGTTAGTTTTTTAGTTCTGATATTTCAGATCGTGAACTAGTACCACAAAAAACATTTCTCATTGAATAGATATAATTTTGTTTTCTTACTGGATGTTGGACACTATGAGGTCAAGTATTTTCTTATCTCTTGATATTCAATCATGTGTATAGTATTTACAGTGCTCAGATATTAGGGTTAGTTTTTTAGTTCTGATATTTCAGATCATGAACTAGTACCACAAAAAACATTTCTCATTGAATAGATATAATTTTGTTGTCTTACTGAATGTTGAACACTATGAGGTCAAGTGCTTTTCTTATCTCTTGATATTCAATCATTATGTGTACATGTACATGTATGTGTATTTGCAGTGCTCAGATATTAGGGGTAGTTTTTTTAGTTCTGATATTTCAGATAGTGAACTAGTAACAACAAAAAACATTTCTCATTGAATAAATATAATTTTGTTTTCTTACTGGAAGTTGGACACTAGGAGGAAATGATGTATGATCCCCCCAAAAGACAAATAAAAGTAGACAAGTTATGTAATATAATTTTAGCTGATTGATGAGTATAGAAATACATATGTGAAGTAGTGCTGTAGCCGAACCGCCGAACCGAACGGAAGTTCGCCGAACATGGCACTTCCGAACCGAACCGAACCGAACCGAACGCAAAGGCCTGGTTCAGATGTTCGGCAGAAAATGTAAACGTTTTTGCAAGCTAATAAACTTGTCATTTTGTACCTAATTTTCATGTCATGATTGCTCATTTTATTTTAACTTTTTTCCCATTTTCCACCTTTTTGATTTATGCCTATCCAGTGGTGAGCGCGACTTCACTGGTGCCATTTAAATCCCATATCCTGACCACGCTACGTCGCGATCACAAGCCATAAACAAGAATACATGTGCGTGATCAAAACAACTTCAGCTCAAACCCATTCAACAAAAAATTAATATTTTAATTGTAACAATATCGTACAAATTTTACAATATAAATAAAAAAATAAAAATATATTATAGTATGGTATTTATTTATTCAGGAAAAATAGGGATTTTATATTTTTCCTCTTGAAAATAAAAAAATTATAAAAAACAGTTATTGACGGGCCTGAATCTCTATTTTAGATGGCAGCTTTCATGACTCTAAAATTAGACAACAACCGTCTCGGAAAATCTTTAAAAAATATAATTTATTGACAAATTGAAAACATGATTCTTTTAAAATTGAAAATAAAACACGATTCAAGACGGAAATACAAATGTAAGTAGTATTTTTCTTCACAAATGATTACGTTTAGAGCAGTTTTTTAATGTGAAATTCGTGCTGGTCGGGAGCATTGTACAGACGTCCTCCGTGCAGGCCGGGCGGCCCGCCCAGTGCCGACCGCCGTGGCTATAACGCTGCTTGCTATTATATTACCGAGCCCCAAACCGAACCAAGTTCGGGTGAAAAATTGCCGAACTCTGCTGAACCGAACTGAACACGAACATACATGTAGCGTCCAACTTACAGCACTAATGTGAAGTGTGGTGATGTGATTTTCAGGAATGTTTACATGACTGCATCTATGCTTACTGTGGACTATGAAGAATGACGTACACTTATGGTTTCTCTCAGAATTAATTACTTGAACTCAAGTTTACAATTAAATGTGGTTTTGTGGTTGTCAAGCAGTTGATCAAAATCTGATCTCTAAGTGGTAATAGTTTAAAGGAGACAAGTAGAGAGAGTGTATAGTGTATATATTTTCCCAAATTCAACCATATTTGTATGACTGTAGTTGTGTGAATTGTATTTATTAACCCATTAACTATTGAATTCTCTAATTCTCATAGGCTTGGTACAGGGAACACTCAGTTCCGGTAGTTATTGGGTTAATTGCCTTCTGTACATGTTTTACTAGATAAGGGAAAACTAACTGGACAGTTAAGGGGTCACAGTTAATAATAATAATAACAATATTTATAAAGCGCAACATATCCATCTCTAGGGATGCTCAAGGCGCATACAAATAATTTAAATTAATATTCAACATACTTAAGATTAAAGAAATATTAAATGTTAACTTGCATTAGATCATACAACTTCATGGTGCCAAGGTACATACAATGTGGCACAGTGCGATTGTTTGTTTTGCATGCATTGTATAAAAAGAACATTGAAATTTAACAATATGCATTGAGCATCAGGTGAGTTTTAAGCCCAGTTTTGAAAGTAGAGAGAGTGTTGGCCGTCTGAATAGAGAAAGGTAACTTATTCCACAAAGAAGGAGCTGCTGATGCAAATGCTCTATCCCCCCAATTTCTTTTGGTACGTATTTCTTTAAGTCTAATATTATGTGATGAACGTAAACCAAAACGACCTGCAGAGTGGGGTGATAAAAGGGATGAAATATATTCTGGAGCTAGATCATTTAGTGCACGATAGGTTAAGAGTAGAATTTTATAGATCACACGCTGTTGAACAGGGAGCCAGTGCAGAGATTTCAAGATAGGAGTGATATGTGATGATTTACTGGTGTTAGTTACAAGGCGAGCAGCAGCATTCTGAACTTTTTGCAATCGGTTAATTTGGTTGGCGGGTAGTCGAAAGAGTAATGAATTGCAATTATCAAGGTGCGAAGTAATAAAAGCATGTACTAACTGTTGGGTGGATTGAGGTGAGAGATATTGCCTAATTGCACGGATATTACGTAGATTACAATTGGCCAGTTTAACACAATTTGAAATATGGGTTTCGAGTGACATGGCAGAATCAAATATTACACCAAGATTCCTAGCTTGATGTACAGGAGATACAGGGGCAGAACCAACTTGAACATGAGAAACTTTAATTTTACTGAGCTGTCTACTGTTGCCAAGCAAAATGAATTCTGTTTTTGCATCATTTAGTTTTAAGCGACTCTCAATCATCCAGTTCCTTACATCAGCTATACAGTTTTCAATTTTCTTCACATTTTCATCTATTTCTTTCTGGACAGGTTTGCAAATAAAATAAAGCTGTACATGTAAGTCATCTGCATACATATGATAATTGACACTGTGTTTCTGAACAATATGCTGTATGGGCAGAGTATAAACATTGAACAATTGCGGACCGAGAACAGATCCTTGGGGAACTGAAAAATCTAAACTAACTGAAGCAGAGGTAGCATCACGGATACAAACTTCTTGTGATCTACTAGAAAGATATGACATAAACCACTTTAATACTATACCATTGAGACCTATTTCCTTTAATCTCTTTAGCAAAATGCAATGATCAATGGTATCAAAAGCACTGCTGAAATCAAGCAGTACTAAACCAGAGACATTTCCATTATCCATACCAATTAATATCCTTGTTTGATCCATTTCAAATGTAACTGATTGATGTCATTAGCAAACATGTCCTTTCAAAAGTAAACTTTCTGTTGGTTCTTGACTATGATTGTAGTACTACAAATGTATGCTTTTCCACTGTTGCTAGAAAAGGAAATTTTAATTTTCTGTATACACCTGTAGTACTGAACAGTGCAAAGCAGGTGATTGCATTACAGGGATCATGGTAAAGCCTTCCTGTATCGATTATCATGTAGGAAGTCCAATTCAAATAATATAATCTCCCTTTCAACTTGTGTTGATGTAGTTGCGTTGCTTGCGAGGCAACACACTCATGATATGGCACAATCCTTGCTTGGTGACTAATAGTCTTTAACACCTGGGATAGGAATTGCATGAAGTGTTCCTGGGAGAGGGGAAGAGAGAGGACCGGGGGTGGGGGGGGGGGAGGGTCTGAAGGGGGAGAGTCAAAGAGTGAGAGGAAGAGAGAGAGAGAGAGAGAGAGAGAGGGGGGGGCTGGAAGGGAGAGAGTCAAAGAGTAAGAGGGGGGGGGGGGAGAGAGAAGGGGGGAGGACTGGAAGAGACATTCCAAAGAGTAAACGGGAGAGACAGAGGGAGAGAGAGGGGGGGGGGGTGGTTGGACTTGTGAACATTGGAAAATTTAAAAGAAAGCAAAGGTGGGAAAGATTGTTAATTTCTCCTGTTGTTTTTAAGTTGATAACATTTGTTTGATTATCTTATGAATATGTTTAACTTCTCACAATGATCTTCTTATTTTCCTTTTGCTGTCAAATATTAAATTAAAAAAAAAATGTTTTTGATTTTAGAATACTATACAAATTCACCAACTTTAAGATTACCGGTATATAAAAATTTAAAAGTCCTTTTTTTCCTGCCGCCTTTGAACTGTAGGATTGATACATTTGATGAGGAACCATACACACATACTGACATCCTCTTTGAGCAGTCATGCATCCTGTTCAACCTCGGGACCCTGCATTCCATCCTAGGAGCAATCGAGTCACGTGCTTCAGAAGAGGTTAGTTATTTATCAACAAGCTGATAATATTCATCCTTAAAGGCATTGTTTAACAATGCTAAATCTGAGATGCATGGCCCTACATGTTATCAGTGTCTGTGATATGGTGTAATATTGAAGCCCTAAAAAAATGGCGCTTCAAAATGATTAGGAAGTGCCTTAAAAAAGCAAGAAATCTTTGAGTGACTGGTTTTATTATACTCATTTTCCCCAATAGACTGCAGTGTCATAAAAACTGTTAGGAAAACGAATTTTAAAATTTTGATTACCAATCATAAATATCTTGATAATCAGACAGGCGATTGGCTTGTAATAGTCATGGGGTTCCTGACTGACCTAGAGGTGTATAATTATCATTGCACCACAAGCTAAATCAAGGATTTTGTTTCAGAATCTGAGACATACTTACCCAATCCCTTTAACCTTCATTGATCTATTCTAATCTACACCCAGTTACATTTGACTCGATGATAACAATAATCTTTCAATAAAAGGCCTTGACCTATAATCTTTGAAAAGATTGTAATATTTACACTTGTACTGCCAATATCTGACAAATATGTCTGTTTATCATGCAGGAAGATAAAAGCTATTTTATGGCTTATTGTAATAAATATGATGATTTACATGCAGAATGTTCTTTACATATTTAATAGATAACTGTATGTGTTGTAAATGTTGTTTGTTTATAAATGCCATGAATCTAAGAACAGTAATTATATCTTGGCATATGAATGGTCTATTCAGGCAACTTCTAGAATGGGTTCAATTTTAAGCAAGTTGTATTCATACATTTAATTCATATGTTCCTGCAAGTTAATCATAAAGGTATTTTTTTAATACAGATGTGCGGACATGTAAATGTTGATAAGATGATAGTGATCATTCTTTTGACTGGTGACCATCTCTTTTACCTTCCATGTACAGGAGATGAAGGTGGCATGCACCCACTTTCAGTGTGCAGCAGGAGCTTTCACCTATCTCAAAGATAACTTTCAGTGTGACATGAGTCCTGATATCTCCTTTGAGCTGATGAACATGTACATCAACACAATGCTGGTGAGTGAACCAAAGCCATAAGAGATGGACAATAGAATGTATCTTGTCCCCAGTATGTATGTCTTACTCAATTCAGGTCCTCACTACTCTGTGTGTGTAGGTGAGTGGTTGATGTGTGGTTGGATGGGAAAATGGCAACTTCAATGTAGATAGTTTCTTACATACTCAGGGATTTACCATTCTGAACTTTGTATATAATGTTCAGCTGTTCAAATCATCTAAATATTTTGTAACAATTACTGTCCTTGATATTTGATTGAAGAGATTACTATGTTTAACAAAAAGAGATTACTGGCATGGACATCTGCATAGCTAATCACTATGCCCAGGATAGAAGTGGTTGGAACATCAGCATCAATAGGGTCACAAAGCGTCAGTCTTCACTCCTAGGACGACGACGACGATGACAATATTTAATATTTAAGGCTAACTACCATACAATGATGATCTTGTGTCATAAAAATCATGATATGTTTAATGAAATAAGCAAATTTTTAATCTGATACAAATCTTCTTGTAACTACTAAAAATACACTTCAAAAGGTTTGGAAATTGGATACACATTCCCTATACACCGTACCATTCAATTTTGGAAAGCCGCTCCTCACACTCCATTCCTTCACCCTCACCCCCAAACTATCTTCATCCCACCCAGGGTCAAGCCCAGGAGTGCCTGCTGGAGAAGTCGATGCAGGACAACCGTAAGAGTTCCCTGGTGGCACGCATCAGCATGCAGGTGGTGGAGTACTACCGGCAGGCTCTGAAGGGCCTGGAGGACTCCAACATCAGCAGTCTGATGGGCTCCAGGAGGAACAAGTGGTGGAAGAAGACCCTGCAGATCAAGGCCCATCACTTCACAAGCATTGCTTACGTGAGTCTTGATAAGTAGCTTAAAGCCTCACTGTACTACTTGTAGCTACTTGCGCCCTCTATATAGCAAACAATGCCTAAGCGGTACCTGTTGGTCCCCCATGATCCCCTTTTCTTATGTTAACTGAGAGCTGATTTGATGAGATAACCACTTGTCAGTGGCCTTGAAGGGAGGTCTAATCCCTCTTGGCCAAACTAGTGCAGACAGGCTTTAAACTTAGAGATAAAGATGAGGTCTTGGCATGCGATTACATTGTAAAAAAACAAAAAACTGTCTGGAAGCAATTGGGATAGGTTGATTATGTCAGCATAAGTATTGGTGTACACTTTGAGGGTCTGGAATCATCTGAGAGACGAGAAATTGACTCAGCTTTGTTGAAAGTCAAATGCACTGCCCACATTCATGTTGCATGAAATTCGGTCCATTTCAGCATTTTCTTGTCATATTTTGAATATTAGGACATTTGAAAAGTTATTCTTGTCAGGAGACTTTTTGTATGTAGTATAGTCATCTGACATAAAAGGAATGAGAAAAGTTCTCCAATAAAATGTTCACATTACCAGAACTCATGCTTCTCCTTGATGCTGCTCTCAAAAAGTATGTAAAGCCTAGCCAAAAGTGCAACATAGGACCAAATTTGTTTTTAAAGATTATGGCATATTTATTTGCATATGCAACTACATTTATTACAAGTGGAAGAGGATACAGATCACAGACAAAGTGAACACCAAGAAGGTGAAAAAGAAGATACAAAATTCAGAATGAAAGGGAGAGAAAAGGATAGGAAAACTGAAAAGGGAATGATCGAGAGGATTGCACCCGCTTACACCAAGAAGAAGCTTAAGTCAGACCTGCTTAAGCGACCACCTGTATAGAAGATCACCTGCCTATAAAAATAAACATAAACTATAAACATTTCTTGTGTCCCTTGAGCGGTTTTTATATACAGGTTTCACTGTATGTCTACCGAATCAGTGAAATTGAATAAGAGTGTAAATTTACTACTGTTGTATTCATGATGTGGTTTGTTGATAGATGTTCATGAGCAATCAAGCAGAAGAACAACAGAAGTTTGGCGAGAGGCTTGCATACCTGACCTATGCACAGACCAAACACAATGAAGCTGTCAAAATGAGCAAGGTAAGTTGGGTTTAAAAGTATAGACCAGTTCTGGTCATTTTGCATTGTGAAAGAAACGTTGTGGAATCGACCAGAAAAGGTTGATCATCTAGCATAAGTATTGGTGTGTACTGCAAGGTTCCGGAATCATCAAAATGATAAGAAATTTGGCCCAGTCTTGGTAAAGTTACAGGCACTGTACACAGAAAGATGTACATGGGACTTTGTGATATCTATCCAGTCTGGATAGATATAATAATTTACCAAATCAATTAGTTGGTGGTTTCCCGGCAAAATTTGTATCATCATGTATTAGTCATAACATATTCTTTCACATGATTGGTGATAAGAGGTTCCATTTCGTTTTTTGAGAGGGGGGCATTTCCAAAACTGGTCTATACCTTTAATATGATTTTAAAATCTCCCTGAGGGTGTGGGAGGAGAGGGGCAAGGAGGGAATAGGAGGAAGAAGACGAGGAGGTTGGGTGGCATGTAGAGAGAGGGTAGTTTCTCTGACCTATGCACTGACCAAACATAATGAAACTTAAGATGAGTAAAGCAAATCAAGTTTACTTTTCTATACAATTTCACTAGGGGAGGGGGTAGCTTATGAGGGAGAAAGAGAACAAAAGTTAAATAGATAGATAGAGCGAAATAAAGTTAGCTATTGGATTGGAGAGTAAAGGGTATCAAGACAGACAACATATACAAAATATAGAGATAGTGTCTGGTATGAGAAAGCGGAATCCGAAAGTTGATTACAATGTGCAATATAAAGTAAGGGTTTTCAGGATGAGCTGGTTTTATTTGATTGAACACACACATAGAATGGTAGATGTAAATGAGAATGTTCCGTTTGTGGTAATGAGAGATGCTGTGAGAGATTCATCCATTATTTCTTTGTCAGGGTCAACCAGAAAGCATTACCGAGGCCCTCAACTTTGCCAAGGACGTGGTGATTGGAAAGTTCCAGTCTGCCAAGAAAGACAATGAATTTGTTTACCATGACAGTGTGCCTTCTTTTGAGAGCCTGCCTGAAATCAAAGGTAAAGAGATGAAGTTATTTTGAGTACCAGCAAAAATCATTTTTTAATCAATACATCCACCAAAAAATACATGATATGAATATGTTATATTTCAAATCTAGAAGACTGCATGATGCTTCCTAGTGTATCATTATTACAGAAAGTTCATCAACAAGAGAATTGTGTAATTATGCATATATTTCAAAGTTTATAGTTGAGAAGATAGTTTGGTAGATAACCTGCCCCCACCCCTCTCTCTCCCTCTCTTTCCCCACACCATTTGAAGTGCCTATTCCCAAAAGAAATAATTTATGAAGGAGACAATAATATTATATCACTTAAGTTTGAAACAATTTGTTATTAGTAAAAACCCTACTTGTGCCTTGTGTGGCAACCTGCCCAATAATTCAAGTGATAAACAATTTGGTTTGGACTATTACGTTCTACATTTTACAGCTGTTTGAACTGTGAAGTTTTTATCCATGGGAGATAATCTATATCCCACTTACATGTATCAATAAAATTTAAAAAAATTGTATATCTAATATTCACTCTTGAAAGTTCAGTTAACATAACAGGTACATGTACTTGTCCAAAAATGTGGTGACCCACAACGGCTTAACATTTCTGTTGTCACTATTATTGTCGTAAAATAGGTGCATCGTTAGTTAAAGCTCTCACATTCCAGCCATACGATGAAGCAGTAGCAGGACATGATATCTTCAGAAAGCTTGTTCCAATGGAAGCTCATGAGGCATCATCCCTCTACAGCGAGGAGAAGGCAAAGTTGCTCCGGAGAGTCGTGGATAATATCGAAGACAAGAACAAGAAACTTGAGTGAGTAAATGTAGATGAGGGGAAAACAATTATTCATTACCTTTATTCATTGTGGCGTCATCCATAGTTTTATTGTTTGCACTGTTTATTGATGGGAAAGAGTACAGGTAAAATTTGATGTGTGAATCAAACATGAATGGTTTATGTTTGATTTTATTACGTGGCAGAAAAATGGAAATGACTATGCACCTTGAATATGAGTATATTAAGCATAAATGCTATAATTGAAGTGATGTTATGTGATCTTAGATGCCCAAAGGAGTTTAGTGGAATACACTGGGAATCTGGAACTGAAATGAGCAATCAATGTCCTTTATAATACATGGCATCACTGATGGTTTCATATATCTTAATTGTCTTGTTCCTGTGTGATTGATACAGTCAATATTTGGCAGCGGTTCAGCTAGAACAACTGAAGCTGCCAGGGAGTGACCCGGAAGTACTTCCACAGGTCTTACTAGAAGTGTGTGCTGCCCTCAGTGTCAAGACAGAGCCAATAAAGACGCTAGTCAGCTCCATGAAAGGTAAAACAATCTTGCGTGTAATTACATTCCTAAAAAATGCTATCTAGAATCAGTCGCAAGTACACCAACAGTAAAACCTACCATCTACCAAGATTATTGTTTTTCTCTCCATTTCTGATTGTTAGGGGTGGATCCAGGTTTGTGTGTGTACAAGGTGGAGGGCACAATTACAAAACATTTCTGACAAGCAAAAAGAATAGGAATAAGAGGAAGGGTTATTAGATTTATCAGGTGCCTTTTGGGTTAGAAAATGGAAGAGGCCACTACTTTCCTTTTGTTTGCTTTAAAGTATGGTACATTGGTTTTAAAAGAAGGGGGAGCTTGGGTCATTCGTGCCCCTTTAAATGTATTAATACTGATCAGGTTGGAAAATGTCTAGTAATGACGAATAGCAATGATATTAGTCAGAGACTAATTTTAGACTATGAATTCAACCACCACATACTCTTTAACATGGAGGGTTCAACGAAAGATTGTCCTTATTAACAATATTACACAGGGTCCCTTTAAATTGTCTCAATTTCATCTTTAATATCCTTGTGTGATTGTGTTATCAGAACTGTCTGGAGTAGTCATGGACGTGGACTCTTCCTTGAAAGAGATTGAACAACTCATTGAACAGGATGGAAAACAAGAAACAGAGTCCCAGGTAATAGATACATTCAGGAACTTCCTCATTGGAGTGACATATGATATGATTGTTTTCTTTTGTATGTAGATTTCTGTTGATATGTGAAAACTCTGTGAAAATGTTCATTTTCCTCAAGTGTTTCGATCGTCCACTATAATTTTTTTTTTTTTTAACTGAAACTGATAGCACATAGTTCTATTGTGCTCAATACCCAATGCATTAAGGAGTCATATTTCAAAAGTGTTTCAGTTGTAGTAACATATTTATAGATGTATCTTAGATATGCACGTATTAGACATTTAAACGTTCTGATCGATTCTGTGTCGTAAACCTAAAACACTAAACAGCTTAGTTGTCATTGACAATGTCCTGACATAGGTTATACATGTCCATTTTTTATCATGTACTTCTTATTTTTTATTTCAAGAATATAGACAAGCTTGTCTTATTATTTTTTATTAAGAGATATAGGTTAAGGTATTATACTTCAGCATATTAAATTGCCTACAACTCTAAAATCCTTAGACAGTTTCTTCCAAAATATAGTTTATTACTATTGATGAAGAGTACCTTCAACCGATCTGTTTTTACAGCTGGAGTTTGGGACAAAGAGTGCCAAGTCCTTGGAAGAGATGAAGAAGGATCTTACAAAGTGTAAGGAGCTCCACGCCACAGCTAGCCAGTCTAACACGGAGCTCCACAAGGCCATGCAGACACACATGGAGAACATCAAGCTCCTGGCGTCTCCAGTGGAGACCCTCCAGGCAACCCTTCCCTCTGCTAAGGGAGCCAGAAGTAAGTCTTCTAGTTAGTTATCCTGTGTGTCCCATCCTCTAGGAGATAGTTGCGGTGCTACATTTCCATGTATTATTAGTGTTTACCATTATACTGAAGAGTTGAGAGCAGCTGAGAAGTTAATAGTTATAATCATATGGTATTAACTGCCAGTTTTTATATTTCTGCCAGGTATTTAAATTTCATGAATATGTGTACTTGGCAGAAAAGCTTTAATGTTGAAAACCTCATGGGTTTTTCAGAGGTTTGTGCAATAAAGCAACTTCTACATTGTTCATTCAGAGTTTAATAATGCAGTGACTTGGATGGTCCGAAAAATTCCTTTATAACAAGTTCACTATAGACATTTAGATACATACTAGATATATACTAGATACAAAATTGATATCATTTTAAAGAGAATGTCACCATTTTTGTCATATCTATATTAGATGAAGATGATGATGAGGCAGAGAGGAAGATGCAGAAGCTGGTTACTAAGGTGGATGAGATGAAGACACAGCGGCAGACATTAGAACAGCAGCTGAGAGATCATATACGAGATGACGATGTAACAGGAGGAATCGTAACCAGGACCAAAGGAAGCATGCAGGTAACGTGACCCACAGCCACTCTTGTCTCTGTGTTGTTTATAATTCATTCGGACTTGCGACATCTTCATCTATGTTAGTAAAAAATTTGGTAAAGATAGATTAGGAATACCCACTAAGCATTTTTTTTTATAGTAAATGCAGTTATTTGCATCTAAAGGGGGTGTAGCATGTCAAATACTGGTTAATGCTATCTACGACTTCTTTTGGACAACTGCACATAAACGAATGGACTTGATTCACGGTCAGCAATCGCGACCGTTCGCGAAACAGACTGAAGTTCTCCTCACGCTTCGGTTTCATGTATGTTGCACGCACGTGAATACTGCGGTCGCAGTAGTCCTATTATAACCGATTAGCCCTTAGTCAGGCCACGGGAAAGACACATAGTCTCATTATGCTACATCCCCTTTAACCCGTCAAATGTATAAGTGTACTCAATGTCTATATTAAGTAAAGAAGAATTGCAGATCGATATTAGGTTAATGTTTCGGGCCTCAAGGAACTTCTCTGTCCATCTTACTGGCTTTTGTGGTTTCTTGTAACTAATGGGCAGTGAAGAAAAAAAAAGGGAAGAAGAAGCAAAAAAAATCAATGGAGCTCTCTTTGAATGTGCTTTATGGGAATGAGATTTTTGTTAATCTATTGGGGAGAGGCATTATTGGAGTGCTATGATTTGTTTCTGTGAGTTCTTTAGAAGCTGTCTTAAGCTCTCTCTTAACCTTAGTGGGTCGCTTCCAAATTAAATGTCCTTTTTTGATTGACTTTCACAGGAGTTCTTCCAGAATGAATTGAAGAAACATGAGACTCTGATAACCTACCTGGAGCAGAATCTTTCTGCCCAAGACAACATCCTGAAGGCTATGACTGAAGCCAATGCTTCTTATGCTGAAAGGCGGAAGATGGTCACCAATATCGGTTCAAAGTAAGTGATAATGCCCATATACTTTTACAGTAGTACCAGTAGCTTATTCTTCATTTCAAAATGAAAGTTGCATTGAAGCAGTCTCCAAAGGGAAATTACATTTTCTAGCATACCCATAGCAAAACACAAAAATCCTGAATAAGGACAGTTATTGATTCATGTTATTTGATTCATTGGTCCTATTCTCTTACAATTCTTCGCAAATTATGTTATTGTATGTTACAAGCATATATATGTACATGTACTGAATTTTGATATCAGATGCATCTTAGACAATAAATGAGGCTCTTTTGTCCATTCGTCGATTACAAAAGATCTTACAATTTTGGGACATTAGTCTTGATGATAGCGGTGGTTATTTTACCTGACAGCTAAGAAAGCAATAAATGCTGAGGGCAGTAGCGCATTGACTTGGTTTCGAAGCCGGGTCACCGGATAACGAGACCACTGCTCTACCGACTGAGCTATCGCGCCTCGATATGTCAACATTTCTTGTGTACATCATAATAATTGATGTACGAAATAGTGAAGAAGAAATGGGAGAACGATGTCATTTTGTTTACATGTTTATTTTAATGAAATTTGTAATTCCTTTCCAATAGATTATAAAACCAAAGAATTTTGTGTACGGTATTCATCTTTGTTTACTTCATCATTTCATCTCCTCCTCAGGCGTGAGGAAAAGATTGGAGAACTCATCAGCTCCTACACTGTATATGATGATCTGATAGAGAAATCTAACAAGGGCATCGGCTTCTATAAGAAACTGGAAGGAACCGTGACCAAACTACTCAACAAGACTAAAGGAGTTGCGAAGGCAAACCATGAGGAGAGACAGGAGAAAACCAGAAAGAAATATCGTAAGTCTTTCCTATCAAATTGAAATTGTTTTAGTCTAAAAGAATGCCATTGCCATGTGCATATAACGTTTACCTCTGTTTGTGTAGAATTCAATTCAAATTCAGTTCAAAGTCTATTTCCACTAATACAGTAAAACAAAATAATATCAGAGATAGATATATAGATCAGCATTTTCAAGCATTAAAAAATGATAAAAAGCATTTGTTGTTCTTAATGGAAGCATTAAAAGGTTTAAAGGCTAGATGAAAATTAGTATAATTATAAATATTCAACTGATGTCATGTGAGGAAAGAAAATTTAACATTCTTTTTCATAGAATTAATTGCACAAAAAGCTTGTCAATATCATTTATCATTGCAAACCCTGATTACAGTATATTTGAAAGGGGAAATCTAACAGCTATATTTGTTTTATCTTTTCACCTACAGCACCCCAAAGACCTGCTGCCCCTAAACCAGTCTCTTCTGTAGCTGGTTATCCAGTGCTAGGTGTGGCTGGACAAGGTCTACAGATTGGACCAACAGGACTGGTGATAGCAGGACCTCTAGGCCCCCCAGAACCTGTGCCTGTTTCTTCTGCTCCAAAAGGACCCAAACTCTCAGATTACTGGAAGCCCAAAGCAGGAAGGACAGCCCAACCTCCTGCAGCACAACCCCCACCTACTCAACCTCATGTGTTTCCAGGAATGCCTGTCTCTGCTGCACCGGCAGTGTCCATGCAAGGGCCAAGTCAGGGACCTTACTCTCAAGCAAGGATGCCAGGAGGTGGAATGCATCAGGCACCTGTAGCATTACCTGGTGCTCAACCATTACCAGGTAGTGGTGCTGTTCTACCGCCAGTTGCACCCCAGGTCAGCATGGCCCAGCCAAGGGCACCTGGACAGTATGTAAGTCAAGGCGGTCAGGGGACACGACCAGTAGCGGCAGTACCACCATCAAATGCTGGACAACCTATTCCTGCAGGACATCATCAACAAGGTTTTCCACCGTCTTCTCGGGCTATGCCTCAAGAGGTTCAAATGCCACCTCAGAACATCTCACAGGGTCCTCATGCATCTCCTGTTCACCAGAGTAGGGTTCCGCAGCACCCTGCAACATCCATGACCAGACAGGATAGTTTTTCAAGCAACTCGAGTCAAAGTCCTGTTCATGTTCCTCAACAAGTTCCTGGAGGTGCGCAAGTCCAACCTGGTCAAGCTGTTCAGGCATCTCAGATGCCATTGTCTGGTCAGCCTGGTGCCGTTCATGCCAATCCTCCAATACCAGGTCAGAATTACAACCAACATCAGGTTGGACCAAACCAGGTTGGGATGCCCGCTGGTGTTCAACAATCACCTCACCCAGCTCAGAGCATGGCTCATCATCCAGCTGCGTTTCCCTCACACCAGATCGCAAGTTCAGGACAACAAATTCCATCGTCCATACCTTCTCATTCCCAACAGCAACCCATTGCTCCTCAGTCTTTAAATAATCAGCCACCTGTGCAGCCTCCTGCATATGGCTCTGAACAACATGCCATAGCCAAGGCTGCAAGTATGGGGATGTCGACAGCATCAATGCAGCCAGGAGTACCTCCACAGGGCACTCCTCCTTCATCCTACTCTTCAGCTCACCTGCCAAGTGCAACCAACACCACTCCCAGCCACATGCCTGGTAATTCGGTTCCTAATCAGTTACCTAACCAACAACAATACATAGCACCGGGAAATATCCCACTTGCTCATGGAGGACAACCTATCCAGAATACAGCTGTTCAGCCAGGTGCGTCCGTGGTTAACAACACACAAATTGGTAATATTCAGATGCCATCTCAAGTTGGTATGCCACAGCATCAACCAAACTTACCACATGGGCAACAAGGAGGAAACTTGCAGCAACAGCAGCAACCACCCAATTCTGGAGTAAGGACAGTAGTCCCAAACATTCAAGCGGTGCAGCCATCTGCAGGAACTGGTTCATTTCCACAACAGCAAGGGAACTCTCAAATGATTAGACCTCAACAACAACAGTATCCAGAGCAACAAAGTTATCAATCATTAAAATCACAGCCACAGCCTCAGCAAACTAGCATGCAGCAGACTTATCCTCAAATAGGGAACAAAGTTCAGCCCTCTCAGCAGTATCAGACACCACCTGCTGCTCCCCATCAGCAACCACAACATTTGCAACAACAACAACAGCATCCACAACAAGGCTTTGTTTCACAACAGCCACAAGTACAACCTGGACATCAGGTTCCAACACCACATCAACAGAACGTCCCAGCACAACAGCAACAACCTAACATACAACCTGGAAATCAAGTTCCCACATCTCATCAACAGAACGTTCCAGCACAACAGCAACAACCTAACATACAACCTGGAAATCAAGTTCCATCATCTCAACAAAATCTTCAGATGCAGCAGCCACAAGCCTACCACCAAGGATACAACAAGAGTCCACAGCAGCAGATCAACCTACCATTACAACAGCCTCAAGGCTATCAACAAACACCAGGTGGTACCCCTTACCAATCCTCTCCAAGCAAACAGTGTGTGCCTTCTGGGCAACCACAAGGTGGTATGCCACCTATAGCAGGTAATTCAACTGGGCAACAGGTACCCAGTTCCATACCACAGCAAGTTACTGTAAGACCTGGATCGTATCAACAAATACCGCAGCAGTCTCATCAGCAGCCACAACAAAATCTACAACAACCAGGAGTGCAACAACAGCAAATTAACCACCAGCAGTATCCTGCACAAGGGCAGCAATATCCTGCCCAGCAGCAGCAACATCCTCCACAGCAGCAGCAACGACCTACACAACATCATCAACATCCTGCACACCAACAACAACCTGCACACCAACAACATCCTCCTAAACAGCAGCAACAACCTGTACCACAGCAGAAACATCCCCAACCGCAGCAATTTTCTGCACAGCAGCAGCAGCAACATCTTTCCCAGCAGCAGCAGCAACATCTTCCCCAGCAGCAGCAGCAACATCCTCCCCAGCAGCAGCAGCAACATCCTCCCCAGCAGCAGCAACATCCTCCACACCAGCCACAATATCCTCCCCAGCAGCAACAGCATCCTCCCCAACAGCCACAATATCCTCCACAACAGCAGCAGCAGCAACAACAACAAACTTTTCCTCAGCAGCAACCAATGCCTCAGTATCAGCAGAGTCAACAGCACATGCAGCAACCTCCGCCCCCAGCACCCAACTCCAATATTGTGTCTCAGTCCAATATCAGACCACAATTCCAACAAAATCCTCCTCAAATGCAGCAACCGTTGCGACCGATAAGTTCTGTACAACAGATAACACAGAAACAGAGCTTCGAGCAACAAAGACTACCACAACCAGTGTTGCAGCCAATGAAAGCCAGTGCTAAGCCTGCAACCGATCTTCTATCAACTAGCCCTGACAGGCAAAATCAGCCTCTGAATGATGTTCTTGCACCGCATAGTGTTGCAGCAAAAGCAGAGGTTCAACCAGAAGCTACACAACCTGCTGCAGATCCAAACTCAAATGTCTCTGTTCTTGCCAGCATAGAAGTGCAGCCAAATAGCATTCCACAAAGTCAGCAACTGCCCTCTCAGATTTCCAACTCAAGCCATGCCACAGTTCCTTCAACTTCATCCACCACAGACATGTTGGCAGCATTGAAGCTCCAACCAGCTCTTTCAAGCCCTCCTATCATCGCTGCCACACGGCCATCTACAACGAGCAACCTTCAGCAACCACCACAACGAACACCATCAAAGCCACAAGAATCATCAGCGGCAACGCAATCAACAACTTTAGCCACGTTACCTGGAGATAAGAACTCTTACGTTGATAAGGAATCCCTGGAGAAGTTTGTGGAGGAGGTGGAGAGACTGGACATGTACGTAGAGGGATTGAATCGTAAGATGCTGAGTGGTCCTACAGTCATTGAAAGATTGTGGAAGGTGAGACAGTGACTTATTTTGTGCGTCACATAAATAGTAACCCCATCATCCTGACCATTCTTATATAGCAGACAGACTTAACTCCTATATTTAACAAATTAAGCTAAAAATACAAGAACCCCGGTTTTCTTTCTTTTCTTCTTATTCGTAATTTTTTGTTTTGTTACTCCCTTATCCGTTTTTACCATGTAAGGACACGTTCCCCCTTTTGTAGTTGCTTTCCCCCATAGTGATGTTATTTTTGTTGTTATAGATTTACTTTTTATATTATGTAAATTATATTTTGTGTGTATTCATTAGTCTATTCTTATGAGTAGCCTATATACATGTATTGATTATTCTGATTGTATGTTTTTATCTTGGCCTGGACCCCTTTGAAAAACAGCTTATAGCTGACAAGGGCAATCCATCCCATGAGTGGAGAATAAATAAATAAATAAATAAAAATAAATATTCCTTAATCCCTAACCTCACAGTAAACCACCTGAAAAAACACACTCTAAAAACTCCAACTTAAATTGGCACCTCTCATTTTTGTATCTTGCAACTCACAGAAAAGGGAGTATGCTCTAAGGGTCTTCATTGGGCTTAGTTATTGCCATTTACTTACAATAAATATAGTTTTACTATACTGCAGCTATACATAGGGGCAGTTTACCTTGAAGTGCGTTAAAGAGGCTGCTGCAGGTTACAATCTTTTTCCAAATCCTTTCTTTAGATCCAGTGTTAAATGCATGTTATCTTGATTACATACATGCAGAACTCTCCTTTACACTGCAAAGATAAATTTAAAAGCTGTAACATTTCCTGATCAGATGCTGCCAAGATACAATGATGAAGTATAACCACACGATGATTTGATTTCAGTGCAACTATTGTTCTTTGTATCTTTACATTTGTATATTTCATTTGCCTTTTGTATTTGTTTCTGAAATAGGAGCTGACCAATTATCAGGACAGGGAAACCCGTCAGTTTTCCATTGCCATCGCCCGTTGTTACTCGGTCAAGAACAGGCATCCGGACATCATGCCATGTGAGCAGATATGTTATTTCTTGTTATAAGACGGGTTTTAGAATCTAAGCAATTTGATTGGTCAATTGACATCAATTGGGCGTGCATTAGTTTCTCCCATCAAAAATTGATAACACAAGCTCGATACCTGCCGATATCGTTTTCGCGCAATCCAGCCAAATTGAATTTGTGCATTTTCAATATCTAAATTTAGAATATTCTAGGCCTAGATCTAGTTAGATCTAACTTAGATCTAGATCTAATATCTATCTATAGTCTAGATCTAGACTATATTGTAAGAATGTATTGCCGACCCGTCTTATAAAACAAATAATGCACTGTTTTGCTCGTGTGTTAGGGCAGTTCCAGTGCACTCAGTTTAGTCAGTTGCCCTGCGGGTGCATGCATGATCACCTACAGTTTGTGCACTGACTAAACTTTGTGCACTGGTCCTGCACTAACACACTGGCAACAGTGCATTATTTGTATATTGATATCATCCTCCTCCACTTTTTAAAATTCTGATATTTACCTTGCACTGTTGTAGTTTGTTCTCATTGTACTTGTTCAACGTATGAGGATTGTTTCCATTTTCCTTCTGTTGCAAGAACTCTTCATAAATTAACTTAACCCCTTCTGTGCCCTGGATGGCAAACCACGCGCTAGAATATGATTGTAGAAAAATATGTTTGGACTAAGAACAGTTACCTTTTTCTTCCAATGGCAAAAAAAGGTACCTTTGTTTTGAAATCTATTTAAGTATGCAAAAAGTAGTATAAGTCAACAATAATCTCTTGAAATGAATTCTTTAAAACTTGGTGAGACAGTAAAGGTAATTTATTATGTCTATTTCTCTTATTGATACCAGATGACCATAACAGGGTGTGTCTTCGTGGCACCAGGGATGACTACATCAATGCTAGCTTCATCAAGGATGTTGTCCCTACCAGTCCTTGCTTCATAGCAACCCAAGCTCCTCTCCAGCCATCTCTCAATGATTTCTGGCTCATGGTCTACGAGCAGCAGGCTTCAATCATTGTCATGCTGCTCTCCAAACCAGCTACAGGAAAGGTGAGCAGTGCTAGAGAAGGTTTGGAGTATTGTTTTATAAAAAATGCAGTGATCCAAGACGGAAGGGGAACAAAAGTAGTAACAGAAAACAAATTGATGTAACCATTCCTGTGATAGTTAGTGTGTATCTCCACACAGGGTTGTAATGTACATGAATGAGCTTTTAACCTTACTATCTTTTCACAGTGATTTCTGATATGTAGGATAAATGTTATTACGATGATGAAGATATTGATGATGAAAGTGATGTTACTTTCATAGATGGAATATAGAGGCATTGTAGTCAATGATTTGATCATTTAATTAGGAATGCCAAGGTCTTGGGCTCAAGCTCTGGTACGGCACTTATATTCTTCAGCGAGGGATTTTTCATCTACATTGCTTCTGTCCATCTAGGTGTTCAATGGGTACCCAGTAGGATGTGAAAATCATTGCGATTAGGTTAACATATGGGCTCCTGTAAAGCTGGAGCAGATAAAGTGTGCACTGTAAAGTGCAGAATACTAATTGAATCCAAAGACCATTGTAATAATTCAATGTTCACATTTCCGGTTACTTGTTACTTAGAACCTAGCATATGTTGAATAAAAAAACACACATACGTTATCGGATTAAAAATTATTTTACTTGAATGATGTATAAAAGACTTGAACATAATTTACACACTGCTCACCGTCCCTAGGGGTCAACAAACTTTGTGAGCTACTGGCCAGAGGACAAAGGGGCTGCCCAGAAGTTTGGTGACATCTCTGTCAGCCTTCAGTCAAAGCGGACGACAGACTACCACGTGGAACGGATCATCCATCTGACACATCTTCCTACCAGACAGATGAGGACCATCACACATCTACAGTTTACTGCCTGGCCAGAGTTGTAAGTTATTCTCAAGAACATCTGACCGTTGATGTTTAGTTTGCTGAATATAAGAGGATACAAATGGTAACGACGATGACCACTATGTTGATGATGATGATAACTATTATAACATTGATGGTAGTTGTTATGATGATGATGATGATGATGATGATGATGATGATGATGATGATGATGATGATGATGATGATGATTATGATTGTAATGATAATGATTATGATAATAAAAATGAAAATAATGATGATGATATTGAAATCGGTATCAATAATAATGGTACTAATAGCTATAAAAGTATGAAAGCTCTCTGTCCTATAAATTATACAAATCCATCCTAAGAGATACTCAAGCCGCCTACAAAAAACTATTATCCTGACCTTGAAGATATCTCTGAGGTATTACAGTAACTTCTTCTCACCTTGTACCAATTTACCCCTGAGATAAAGCAAGTTTATGATAATTATTTGTAGATGATCAGTTATTCGTCTGGAGCCAGAAGGGCATTAACTCTGTGTAAAATTATACGAGTTCATGCCCTTCTAGCTCCAAACAGAATTTTTTACATGTAGTCCTTTCGAAGGGATGGAGGGGAAATCAATCTTGTTAAAGAAATTCTAGTATACAAATATACACTGCCTTGAGAGGTTCTGGTTAAAACTATGCGCAAGAGGTGACTCCAATAGCAAATGGTACTTTTGGAGTCACCGAGGCCCATAGTTTAACCAGTACCTCGAATAGAAGGCATGGTATATTTGTTTTATATCAAAACATAACATTCTTATTAGCTATCCGACCCAGCTCAAACTTTCTCTGATTGGTTCGTCTGACCCTTCTGGTTCCATCGAAAGTAAGTTACTTTTCGAGTGGACTTGGGCTTTAAAGGCTCATTCAAATATGAAGTAGTAAGCCACCAAATATTGTTTACATTCAATTCAAAATTCATTCAATTTCAATTTATTGTTCAATGTTGGAAATGACTTGAATGGCATCAACCAATGTCCAATGTCCTGCATCAAAAATTTATTTAAAAAAAAAAAAAAAAAAAACATTTTTGGGAGAAAAAAAATTTTGGAACAAAAAAAATGTTAATTTTTTATCTAAAAAGATTTAAAATATTTTGTTTTCATTAAATTAAGATTTGAAGAAAAAAAAAATTCACATTTTTTTTTCAACTCCCAAATAGTAAACCAAAATAGTACTCTCATATAGTACTTTCTAAAAATAGCTCAAATATTTTTGGTCATGTGACGAGCTCTCAACCAATCAAAAGCCAACAAATTTTTGATGCAGGATATAATAGAAACTATTCATTTGTGGTGAACCAAGACAAAGACATGAATATTGCCATACAGATACAAGCTAACTATGGGTTTCATTTGATGGTTTTGTTCATAGTGGAGTCCCTAGCAGCCCTGGTGTCCTGCTTCAGTTTATTGATGAGGTTCAGAGCTACCATTCTCAGCAACGCAAGACACAGATCCCGATAGTGGTACACTGCAGGTGAGAAACTTGATGTTTCATAGGTCGTAGGTTATTTTGTTTGATATTACCCTATTCAATAGATAATTTATGTGAGAAAGCAGTGCTAACTTTTCATCAATAAGTAAAGTGAAAATACAATATCTCAGCTGCTACCTTTGTCTTTTGTTTCAATTTTCTATCTCTATATTTACTTTGATCACTTTCCCCATCTTGTGAAAGAACTCTTGCTAAATACTTTAAAATTAGAAATATTTGTGACAGGCAGCAAAAGAGCAATTCTGAACTATGTATGAAATTTGTGAACATTCCACGCACTTGGAATTTTCTGGTTTTACAGTAGATCTCTCCTTTTTTGATGATTTACTCTCCCTCCTTGTAATATATCCTCTGATTTTCTCTTTCTTTTACCCTCTCAATCTTACTTCACGTCTCTCACTACACCACCTCTCTTTCTCTTCTACTGTAAATTCCATGAATTTGACTTTAAAATGAAATCTCTCGATTTAACAAGATGTATTTAATCCCAACAGTGCCGGCATTGACAGAACTGGTGTGTTCTGTTTGGTCTACACCGCCGCCCGTGAAATTAACGAGGGTCATGGGATCGCGGACATACCACAGGTCGTCAAGAAATTGCGCCTCCAGAGAAGGTGGATGATATCAGAGAAGGTAAAAGACTGGATCTACAGTACTTGTATTTATTTGGTATTCTTTCTACATGTTACTATGATGATCATGTTTTGTAATGATTACTTTTCAAGTAAAGCAGAAAGATGGATCATATTGAAATACATAATATGGACTAAGTGGCAGAATTTCATATATTTTACTTGAACAGGCATAGGAACTAATGCACATGATAAACATATGCCTTTCTTTGTATATGAGATACACTGTATGTAGTACATTGCTTTTTAGATTGAATTGATACACCTGTAATAATATCAGCTCTTAAAACTGTTGTGTATGAGAAATTGTCAATTGCTAAGACTTAGTTATCCTAGAACTATGATTTCAAAATTTAAAGATAAACTCCAGTTCTGGTAAAAAAAAGAAAATTAATTCTTACAGAACAAACAAAACTTACACTGAATGTTCAAGATTACAAATAAATGACATGTGCCAAAAAAAATTTGGAAGAAAATGTATACTGGCTGAGTAATGAGCATAGAAAGACAAGGAAATCATGGTAGTACTAGCCCCGACACCATGTGTGTTGTCCCATATATAGCTTTCTGTGTACAGTGCTTGTTACTTTACCAAGACTCGGCCAAATTTATTATGATTTTGATGACCCCAGAACCTTGCAGTGCACACTAATACTTACATGCTACATGATCAACTGTTTCTGATCCATTCCACACCTTTTCTTTCACAATGCAATCACGTTACCAGAACTCACCTTTATCTTTAAGCAAAACATGACAGCTAATATTTTGTGTTTTTTCCTGTCGGCTATAATCTGCGCAGCATATTGTATTTCCCATATTTTGATACTCAACCTGTTTACACATATTTCTCATTGATCTACATAATTTGTATTCACAGGAACAACTTAAATTCAGCTATGATGCTATTCTGTGTTATGCTCGGCACGCTCTTGCCAAACGTAAGTTACCAATTGTTTCAGATTTGTAGGACAACTACCTCTAAGGGGGTTGACAAATTTTTATGACAATTTTCCTAAGAGGTATTTGTTTAAGGATGATACAGTTGTATGTGTTCTTTGTTATGTGACATATATTCATAGAATTTTTGCAGAGGAGTGAGGGTTGGACAAATTGGGTTTATTGAGAGTTGATAAAAAAGAGAAATGGAAAAAAAAAGAGATATGAAAAAAAAAGAGAAATGGAAAAAAAAGAGAAATGGAAAAAAAAGATGGAGAAGAAAAGCAGAAATAGAGAAGGAATATAATGAAGTACCATTCCTGGAGAAATAAAATTAGGGTTGTTGCCTGATAAAGGACAATAGAGCTATATGAAAAGTAGAGATCCAACACTGGAGAAAGGGGGAGAGAAATAATGAATTATGAATCTTTATTTTGATAAGAATATTCATTTGTATAGAGAGATATATTTCAATACATGTAATTCATTTGGGTATTTGCTTTATTTATTAACTATTGATTTGATTGTCACCTACATCCAATGTTGGAAAATAATTCTGCAGTAAGGCACTAAAACAATTCCATTACCTAATTGAAGGAAGGCTTCCCTTTTTTAAAGTGTTTTCCCTTATTGACCTTTTGAGCAACAATTTTTTCATTGGTTAGGTGGAGTTGCAACCAAGAGTGTAGCGGCTGCCTCTCCCCTTGATGCTAAGCTTGCACCATCCAGGCTCAACTCGTTTGATGTCATCATGGGAACAGACAACGTTGACACCCTCATCTCCCGCATCTCCAAATTCAGTGTCAAACCCAACCAACCTCCTGCTACTGATACGGTGAAGGAAGAGGTTGTCCCCAGCGAGTGTGCTGAAGTAGAGAATGTGGCACCATCACAGTCCAATGACGGAGATAGTGTATTCCAACAGGAAACTGTTGGGGATAAGGTGAATGGAGACATGGTGTTCCAGGGTATCACTGGTGACAGTCTCCAGGATCCTGCCAGCAACTCCACCCAGGGCCTGCTCAGTGACACAGGAAGCAGTACCCCCTCCGGGATCAGTTCCTTCACCTCCTCGCCGGCCCACTCCAACCAAAAGCCCCAATCCCTTGACCAGCTTCAGGTCAACAACCTTGAAGTCTTCTCCCAGACGCTGCAGAACTTTGTCGCACCGGACGTCGTGGAATCCAGCACCAAGCAGGACAAGGCCGACAACACCTCGGAAGGTTCCGGATCGATGGAAGGACCTAGTTCATCCCTCCCATCACTCCTGGCTGACCTTACGCCACAGAACTTCTCAATGAAGGAGAAGGGTCAGACCAAGCAGAAGGTGTCCAAGGCTGATTTCTTGGACGGGAAAGGGGGTCTCAAGGATAGTGTTGATAAGGTCGATCCTGATGATCCGTTCAGTGGCCTGGATCCTATGTGGACTCTGAAGAACAAGAGCTCAGAACCAATACAGCAGTGATCCTGTCAATCAAACAATGTTGCAATATTTTATGTTGCAAGTTGTATTTATGTTATTTGTTTCACTAATGTCCTTTGGCAAGACATTGGTCTACATTTGCCACACTCAACCCAGGTCATGTAAATGGGTACCTGGCAGGAATTAATTCCTTGAAATGCTAGAGCGCCGCAGTGGCTGCCTTGCTAAAGCCAGGGTGATAATCGGGGCAGCGCCAGGAGCGTCACAATGTGCTGGACATGTGCGCTATATAAGAAGCCACCATTATTATTATTATTATTGGCGAGTACATGTAAGTGCAAAGAAGTAGGTAGGTGGTGAAGTCCTCTTTGAGGTACTACATGTAAGTGATATAATTTGAAACTGCAATAAATCCATGACCCAAGGTCACTGCTCTTACCGCATTGTTCATTTGTGAGTTTACCATCACCCTCATCTCTATCAATGATGTGCTGCTTGAAATTACCAGTTCATGTATGCTACGGAGTAGACATTTCTTTTTATTTTATACACCATATTAGAATGTTTAGTCATTGATGATTTGAAATTGAGAAAATATCATTGATTTCTGATAAAGTGTGTTGAACTGTATATTTTACTGCCATGGAATAAATGTATATTCAAGAGAAAGTTATTTTTTAGTATATGTCATTATAGATTGCAGACTTTTGATGCTTTGATATTAGTTCAAGTGAACTAACACATTAACGCTTTTAATGTAAAGATTATTAGGTAAGAAATATTTATAATGAACTCCATAGCGAAAAATATTACAAAAACTAGATGTGCGCTCATTAGCATGTGCCGATCCTTTCATCTGCAACTGTACATGAGAGAGCTTTAGCCTTCTTTTGTTTTCATGTTATTGCAAGAGTGAAAACTATATAACAATTTTAAAAAAAGTTCCATTGTCTGGCATTTGCCTGCCTCTCGCATTCATACATTAAAGGAGCATGCATTGTAAAGAGAAAAATCAGATTAGGGAAGGACATGCTCTTGTAAATCAAAATTTCTGTATATTTGATATAGTAATATAATCCTTCACTAAAGACACATATATTTAACTCTGTCTTATTTGTGCTGTATATTACGAATTGTTAATATATTGCGTTCGTTCTGTAACTGCCATTATTATAATTTTGTTTGTTTACCATTAACATTTCTTTTAGCAAGCTATGTGCTTGTAGTTGCTTAGCACATGGTAAGGGTATATGCAATTTAAGTTACATTATCTTAGACATTGTTTATTACATGATGATAATATTGGATTTATGTAGCGCTTTTTCTAGAGGATACAAGGTGGTGTCCCTTAGTCTAAGGACAAATTAAGAATTACAGGGATATGTTCTCAGATGTTTTTTGAAAGAGTCGAGTGAAGTACTATATGTCATAAATGCAGGCAGTTTGTTTCATAGGCATGGGGGAACGGATTCAAAGGATTTGAAGCCAAGCTGTACCCTCAAATGCGACTTTGATTGGAAATTTAATGTACCCGGTACTGTAGAAATGTCTGTGGGTAGCCTTTTTGTTTTTAAGGGGGGGGGGGAGGAGTGGGGGAGTGATATGCTATCAGTCATTGTACATTATGTTGATTTGCATATAGTGTTCACAAGGCTATTCTACATGTGGAAAACAAGACTTTGTTTCCTTGCGCAACTCATTTTGTTTTATAAATGTGTTTTATGATATGAATATCATTATTTGGGCGCTCAAGTTGCTCTTGAGATGAGCGATGGTGTCTGGCAGGGGTGTTAGCCATTCAAAGAGTTTTTATTTATTATATTATTATTGTCTCCTTCATCCCATCTCCCTCTTTGTCTCTATTTACTTGGATTTATACATGAACAGCACATTCATTTACTTTTTGGACCCGAGAAAAGAACATAAAGTTCAATTTAGCACTATAAAAATTTCTTCAAATCAGTTAAATATGTTTTTATAAATATAAACAGTATTATTTATGTTCATTCATTTAAATTTCCGTTAATAGTTCTGTTAATATTCTTTGATGTATATAGAAAATCCATTTGATTTTGTATAGCAACAGAAATATGTATACTGGTAGGCCTACCTTATTATGATTATTATATTAACAATTATGTGCAATTATATTTGATACTTGAATACTGTACATTCTGTTATGTTTTGTAAGCGTTACACTTAATTGATATAAATCATGCTTTGGCTGCTAATGTAAGGTGAATATGAGCATTAAATGTTGCACATTACAATATACAATGGCATGTGTTATGGCTAAATTTCTGGTGTTGAATTGTGTTTGTTAGCTCTATGAAAGGAATAAGCAGATATGTGTGCAGGAGAGATGAAAGAAACTACAGAAAGAAACTAAAGAGAGAAATAATGATAGAAGGAAGACAGGAAAAACTTGTTCCTTATTACTTAATATGCATGTTAATACACTGGGTGTAAACCTGGGGGATGTTTCACTCAACCCTAAAATCGATCGGATCGATTTTAATTTAGATTTGAGTTGATGAAACACCCCCCTGGTAGTTACTAAAAGAAACTTGAGTAGTGTGGTTGAAGGATTTGCAGATTTTCATCTGACCTTCATGATCTTCGTGATAGTCCGAGTAGCCCTTTGAAGATTAACAGAAGAATCAAACATTCATTTTGCACAAAAAATTGTGAATTTTACATTTATTATAAAAAATCACTTTCCATAGCAACACTGTTCATTTGACAGTCATAATCGATGTCTTTTAAAAAGTTGTGAAATTATTCTTGGGAACATTAGCATGTACTGGTACACAAAATATCAACCACAAAAATTACAGGAAAAGATAATTTTTAGGGCTTAAATTTAGCTTCAGTTTTGAGCCCAAACCCTCGCTAAACATCTCTAATCCTGGTATCTATTTCGGTATTTTTAGATAGAAAGCTTACTATGTACATGACACTGAAACAAGTACTGTACATGTGTATGTGCACAAATAGATACTTTCCAAAGTGAGAATATAAATTTGTCTTTTTCTTGAAATATGAATTTTGACTGTACATGATTAACTTATAAAACCTCAACTCTAGTACATACACACATGTTCAAAGAAGTCAGAAATCATATAAAACTTAACATTTTTTTGATGTTGCTCTTTTAACAAACATAGAAAGAAAGAGCACTAGAGACATCAAATATTGTTTTAAAAACAAGAAAGTCATGTATAATATACAATGTGAGTAATTTGTTTTCTACACATTTGACTAAGGAATAAAACATTTACCACATTGAAAAGAAAATGATAAATTTAATTCTTTGATGGGCCAATCACAATAAAAGTAAGATTTTACAATAGTTCAAAAACATAAAATCATCCGCAAATATCTACACCAGACAGTCCAACTGTTAACAAGGAGACAGAATGATTAGTGATTAGCCCCCATTAACTCAATTTTTTATGAATTTTTGTTTGCTGCTGTTCCTTCCAATTCTAACAAAATGTGACACAACGACACAGAGAATTTTTTTTTCTAGGGAAACATAAGATGTGGTCTTTCTAATGCAGGCTTTACTGTACCACGATAGATAAGTTGTATCAGCAGTGCATTCAGAAAAACGGGTTTCCAATTTGTTGAACGTTGAGCCCTGAAGTTTTATCATGATGCATTCCAAGCTAAGTCTACTCTTCCAAATTCAAGTTGTACACATAATCCAAGAGCCAAGAGTAACAGAGGGTCATTTGGCAATCGGCAGCAAAAGAGTGTCCATGAAACTTAAGTCCAACTAGATTTTAACTATTCAGATTGGAAACGGTTAAGAATCCTCCGTTTTCTCCTTCTTCGGTGAGGGCTTTCCTGCATCACCATCATCAGCCGGTCGCTTGACTCCCTGCTCTGGTTTCACAGCTATGAAGAAGAAATCAAAGGTAAGTGATTAGAATTTTTTTTTCCTGTTTCATTTTATTTCCATTTCTCGTAAAAAATACATTGAACGATACATTATACATATAAGCAAATTTATAAATAAAACAGAATATGGAGGAGCCAGCAGATATTCATACAAAGTAAAGAGAAAAGAAACAATGGGTAGTAAATAAATAAACAAGTGAGAAAGATGAAGGTGATGTGAAATGAAAGGGATACAAAGTCAGAATGAAAGAAATAGTGAAAGAAACAGATAACAAAGGAAGGAAAAGTTATGAGAAAGATAGAAAGGAAAACGGCAGAAGCACAAAAGGGGAAAAAAGAAAGAAGAAAGTATGAAAAATAGTAAATAAAATAGAAAAGAATGAAAAAATCATAAGATGAAAGATATCCTGAAGAGAAGAAATACCAACAAAAAACATTCTTGGTCTATTTCTAATTTGAGCTCTCATTCCATGATGCATGTAATCTCATCTTAGTTTCAACAATACAAACAAATGATAAAATTGGTACATGTCCTCTGCAATTTAAGATATGTCACCCTGGAATGAATATATGGTTGCTTTGTGTGTATGGATGGATAGCCTTCTAAAACAAGTTTAATAACAGTTATTCCATTATTATTTTTGGGGAAAAATAGCCTCCTTGGAAACAAAAATTTCTTCACTTTATTGAATCTTGTAAATATGTGATTCTCATGATTTGTTTTAATAAAATATACAAACAAAATATTTAAAACAAATAATAAACTAACCTTCTGAGGCTCCATTTCCTCCTTCATCATCGTCCTCAAACTTTGTCTTCTTGCCCTGATATCTGTCTTCTCTATCCCTATCTCCACGATCCCTGTCTCCTCCTCGATCTCCACGTCGGTTATCTCGCTTCTCAAACCATTTCGTCTTCCTTCCTCTCCTCCCTGCACACCGTCAAATAGAAATTCAATTTTGCGATGAAGACGACATACAGTGAGAACCACATACATGTATAAAGACCACTCAAGGAAGACAAAGCAGATGTCATTGCAAGTGTTCTTTGTGTGTAGGTTTCTTTAGCACATTCAATGAGAAAAACTGTCCAAGGGAAAGGGGGAAAAAATGGTTTTTATTGGGTGTTCACTAAACTGGGCTGACTGTAATAACAGACAATGGTGCATATATGCAATTATCCACCTTTTTCAAACGGACAAAGTGTGTTTCCTTGGATCAGTACAATTCCTGTTTTTTATCAGTAATATATGAAGAGCTGTACCGAATTGCCTCAAGCGGAATATAAAGGGTTTCTTCGATATTAGCTACAAGTATATCTGACACGTTTACATGACAAGTGCGAGATCACAAAAAGAAAAGTCATTAAATGTGATCATATTTGTATGATGGCTATTATTTCCTCAAACTTGCACAATATTAAATTACAGTGCAAAAATGATATTACAGTGGAACCTGCATATAAAGACCTCTCAATGGAGGCAAGAAAAATTGTCTTTAATGGCAGGTGGTCTGTATGTACAGGAGGTCGTTGGCAGGTTTCATTTTAACTCAAGATTGCCAGAAATAAGCAAAACCATAACCACTCTCTATTTGCATCTTAATATTACCTTGTTGCTTCTTAAGCCTTGCCCTTGATTTATCCTCAAACACCTTCATCCAATGGTGCTCCTCCTCTTCCCCTTCAAGGACACGCAGTGTGAGCTCACAGCCTCGGACTTGAATGGCGCCCTCTGTTGCTGCTTTAATCTTGTCCAGAGTCTCTTGTGCTTTGGTGTCCTCACTGAAGCGGATAGTGCCCTGGAAATACAGTAAAACATAAGATGAAACAATGTTTCAGGGGTGATAGTGAGAGTTTTTAAAAAGTAGGTTTTAGTGAGAGGTTAAAAATAAAAAGTTTTTAGAAGTCTGAGTGCTTTTGCAAAACATGAAAAGGGGCACCTCACCCCCCCCCCCCCCCCCATTATTTTGAACCAGATTTACATAGATCTTAGGACTATCCATTTTTGGAAGAAAAAGAAAAATCAACAAAATCAACAAAAAACACAAACAAATCAACAACAAAATCTGGAAACCGATTTAGATCATGAAATTTTCAGGGCCTGAATGTGAGTATAATTGTTAAATATTATTATAGGATTCATAATAAGCAAAACATGGCTTTGTACACAGGAATGAGGATGATGATTCAGAAGACACAGATTTAGATAAAGGTGTAATTTTCAATTCTATTTCAACAAACCTGTAGAAGGCTTTAAAATGCTGAAAGCTTTTAAAAATTTAATTGTGAAGTACTTTTTGTATCACAATTGCAAAAGAACGATATGAAAATATAATTGATCGGTAATTAAAACAATAAGAAGAATCAGAAATAGCACTTATCATTTTTTAATAAAAAAGCCTATAACTTTGATCAATCTTACCTCTGTCTGACCTCTCTCAAAGTCGACCCACTGGATAGTTCCATGATCACCAAAGAGTTCCTTGAGGTCCTCTCTTGAAGTCTGGTCGTTGACACCGGTGAAGTGAAGGATACAACCCTTCTCATAGTCATCAAACTCACTCTGAATTAGGGAAGGAATGGAATAAAAAATATAAACATTAGCTTTCGACACTGTCGATCACCGTGTTCTTATATCCAGGTTGGAAACACGTTTTGGCGTCTCTGGAACTGCTCCCAAGTGGTTTAAATCTTACATCACTGGACGATACCAACAAGTGATCATCGATGGCTCACGATCCGATCCTACTCTGCTTAGGTGGGGGGTGCCACAAGGGTCCGTCGTCGGCCCTGTACTTTTTACATGTTATTCGACACCCTTAGAGGACATCATTCATTCCCACGGTTTCTCCTCGATGATATATGCCGACGACACCCAACTATATATTACTGTTAAGTCTGGACAAATTCTTCAAATGTTGCAGAAATTGGAAGATTGTCTACATGCCATTCGCTCCTGGTTGACTGAAAACTTTCTTCTCTTGAACGACAACAAGATGGAAGTGCTCCACCTGTTTTCTCACCGAAGAAGAAATACAATAGAACTCCCTCCGATTCAAATAACAAATGGTTCTGTAAATTCCTCCAAAACAGTTGTTAACTTAGGTGTCACGTTTGATCAAAACCTTTCAATGCGCCCCCATGTAAATAGTATTTGTCGTAAAGCATCCTTCGCCCTGAGAAAAATTGGTAAAATTCGTAAATTCCTTTCCAAGTCATCCACTGAAATCCTCGTCCACGCATTTATCAGTTCACTCCTTGACAGTTGTAATAGCTTGCTCCATGGAATTCCGGAAAAAGATATGGCCAAGCTGCAAAGAATCCAGAACTCTGCAGCACGTCTAGTGTCTCTCACCAAAAAACATGACCATATTACACCAACCCTTAAACAATTGCATTGGCTCCCCATTCAATTTCGCGTCCAATTCAAAGTTCTTCTTTTAACCTTCAAGTCTCTTCATGGTCATGCCCCAAATTATCTTTCTGAACTGATTCAATTATACACACCCAATAGGCCCCTTCGTTCTGCAAATCAAACTCTCTTGACCGTTAAAAAAGCAAAAACAAAATATTTTGGTGATAGGTCCTTTTCATGCTCTGCTCCACGTCTGTGGAATTCTCTCCCAGCCTCCATTCGTTCCATCTCTGATATTACTTTGTTTAGATCAAAATTAAAAACCTACCTAATGGAAAAGGCATATTCTACCTAGCTCTTAAATTGTTACCTAGTTCTTAAATTGTTACCTAATTCTTATATTGTTACCTTACCTTGTTATCTTATGTTTCATAATTTCACTTTCATTCATTTGTTTTCTTGTCATTACTCTGTTAAGTTTTAATTGTATCAATATTGTAAAGCGCTTTGATATAAATGTTTTATGAAAAGCGCTATATAAGTAAAAGTTATTATTATTATTATTATTATTACAATTGAAATACATTCTAGTGGAATGTACAAATGTACATGTAAATCGTCACAAAGCAATGATTTGGCTTTATATACTATTCCAGATAAAAAAGTGTTGCAAGATTTTTAAAAGCCTGTCTTATGTCTTATTTTCATGGAAAACCGGTTGGGAGAATTTACTGTTAGAGGGTGTTGCACACCGATGCCTTCAAAGAAAACCATAAATATCTTTGTGGTTAGAGAATTTTTTCAGGTTTTTTTTGCATGTTAGGTTAGTACAGTAGAAGGTATATAATAGGCAACATTTCAAACAAATATTACACATTTTTTTCATCAACCTTCAACAATGTTACCAAGTAACTTTAAGTTATTTGTATAAGTGTGAGAGTGCCTTTGTTGGTGTGTGATTGGAAGGGTGGAGGTAATCTTACCTGTATTGCTTCCACTTGGTCCTTTTCCTTCTGCTCTCTTTGCCTGTAATAATATAACAAATCAACTATTAACTATACATTTCATGAAAACTATTGGAAATGGAAAGGTGATTGGTTTTACTTTTTATGCCGTTTGGTCAGTCCAGTTACTAATGAATGGCATCCGTCTACCTTACTTTTGACAAAAGCAAGCACTATAACACAAACAGATTTTACAAATCTCCTGTCAAAATATACACAGGAATATTTATAAACAATGTGCATTCTCACTATGTTTTCTTCAGTAACTTCTAATTTATTCTGATTAGAGAATAGTTCTCTCTTTTTTTAGGATTTTGCACACACACCTAAACATTTACAATGTCAATTACTTTCTGTAAAATATTGCAGGTTGACAACTAGTATGAAATAGAGATCGGTAGATGAAAAAAAACAATAAATAAATTCATTTCATACTGAGAAAGAAGCAAAGACATTGCAGTTGTGCTACTCTACAAGCAATGGGGAAAAGTGACAGTACATCAACCATATCATCAACATGTAGCTCTCCCTGACTATTTTGCAGAACTTCAAATATCTTGAGAAATGATTTTCTGCAACTTTGCTCTATCCCTTAGGCCTAAAAAAAAAATTGATGACTTGGCGTAACGGGTCACTAAAAATTAGGGTAGGTAGGGCGATATTTGTTGTTGTTGTTGTTGTTGTTGCTTACATATTTGCATACATGAAATTAGCCATTCATACACATACATACATACAGTGGCGTAGATAGGTCCTCAGACCTTGGGGATGATCTGATGAGAGGGGTAGACCACAATATGTTCAAATAACTCCATGCACACACACACACATATATGGACACACACACTGTGTGAGCAAAGTGAGCAAGAAATTGTTGAAATCTTGATCACCTTGGGACCTGGGGGATGCATACATACACCTGCCCCCCCCCCTGATGCCTTGATGTTCTTAACCACAAAATTATCAGCGGCCAGATCTTGAACGATTTCTCCGATTGTTGCTTCAATGTCCACCTTCCGAAGAACGCTGAATAAAACGTGAGCACCAAATTTACCCGTGAACTGAACGCCATAGGACGCCATGTTGGGGATACAATTGCCTAGCGGTACTATGGCGTACCTGCCCGCTGCACTCGGCGCGCGAGCTGGCCCAAACACGGCGCGGCAAAGCCCAGAACGAAAGCAACAAACATCCGGGTTTTCCCCACTGCGATATCGATATTTACGCAATCGCAATCGGATAAAAAAAAATAAAAAAGCGTAGGGTCGGCGATAAAAATAGGGTCGGGCGGGTTACGCCAAGTCATCAATTTTTTTTTTTAGGCCTTATTGTTGAAAGCCAAACAAGGCAGCAACAACTCCCATCTTTTAACGTCTTTTGGTATGACGCGGCCCGTGTTCGAATCCACGACCTCCCAGTTGTGAGGCGGACGCTCTACTGACTGAGCCAACACTACGGTATCTACCATGGACTAGAAATGACTTGGTATTATCAATGTCTAGACAGCAGAGATCTTGCAGACAAATTCCTCTTCATTTAAATTATTTTGTCTGAATTGTTTCAGGTAGCTGACCTCAAACACCCAGACAAATTGTTTTTTCTGAAGAAATCTCTCCCACTGAGTGCCCTAATGTTTACATACATATATATGCAACATCTTGCATGAAGTGTTATTGATTTTCATGATATTCACTCACTCTAATTTCTTCTTCTTTTCATCCTCCTTTCTTGACTTCTTTTCATCAGCCTTCATCTTGATGTAATCATCCCTGAAAAAATTGAAAGATAACGAAAGTAAGAGAGTGATTCATTGAAAGGGCATTTAATGATGATGTATAAATATTTGTACTTCTGTTGCCAATCATTGACTAAATAATCTTTTAAATTGGAAGCATAATCATAATAACACTGATACTAAAGTCTGAAAGTTATGTGTCAATTCTGCAATCTGAAGTCTTGAGCACAGATATACACAAACAAGTTTGCAATTTCTATTTGACATTAAGTATTTGGTAACATCTAAGCTAATCATTAAAGAAAAAAAAGGAATGAAAGTTCAATTCAATTCATTTCATTTATTTCAAATCAATTCAAGGGCATATGATAAAACAACATACAAAGACTAATAGAGGAAACTGGAATTTGAGGTAGGTGCAAAATCACTGAAAAGTCACTGAAAATCAATGGCAGTAACGACTTTCTTGCAGACAGCTTCCAAAACTTACTTTTTCATTTTGTTCACCTCCTGGTCACCAATCTTGAGGTCTTCTGCGTCCAGGAACCTCTTGACTGACTCCACGGACTCATACACTGCAAAGATAGAACCCTGCAATATAAAGGAACGACACAAACATTACGAGAATGGGAAAGCAACTTTTGAAAGAGGGAAATGGAATTCTGTCAAAGATGCAACAAAAGAAAACACTGTAGAGGGAAAACACTTTGTAACTGCCAGAAAAATGGTGTTACAAACCCTGTATACCAGACAGCAGTGTAATTCCCTTTTCTTCTACCTAGAACTCAATGACAATGATTTTGTTTGGCAAGGCATTTATTCTCATTACCAAGTCCTTCATAGAGGACTTAAAGCCGTCGGTCCCCTTGTTGCTTAATTACGAGCATTCACTTGCTTTTTTAGCAGTCAAGTAAAACAACCTCCCCCCCCCCAAAAAAAAAAAAGAACAACAACAACAACAATATTGTGACTGACCTTGAACTTCTTCTCCTTGTCTCTCCTGAGCTGGATGTGAACGCACTCTCCAAACTGATCCATGAACTCTTGCATCGTGTCCAGATTAGCGTCAATGGGAAATCCTTTCTACAAATTCAAGGAATCATTTCAAAGGAACACAGTTATTACAATTTTTTTTTTTTTCAAATGTAATTCTATCATATCTTGTTACCAACATTTCTTACACTGTCACCCCTGTATTATATTTTTCAAGAAATTTTAACAGATTTTCAACAACATTATTCAAAGTCTTTAGTAAAAGGATGATCCAATGTTTGATCCGCAACGACCACTCCAGGCTTTTCTTCGAAGTTACAGGGGTTAGGGATAGAATTGTAATTGGGTCTTATTTAGGTAAGGGTAAAATATCAGTATAGGGTACCGGGAACAGGATCAAAGTATGAAGTTCTGTTAGAATAAGAATTAAACTAGTACAGTAATAGTAATGGATATCTTAATAGCGCTTTGTAACGGAAAGGAAAAGGCGCTATATCAAATATCTTTTGGATTGAATTGGATTGGATCCACCACGTATGGTGCTCTAATAGAGAGAATGTAGCCAGAGGCCTACAGTTTGTGATGTATAAAGTCTAAATCACAGCAGAAACTATCGTTACCAAAGACAAGATCTTTCAAGGACTATGGAACTTACAAATTTCCTTTTGCAAAATACTCTGGCAACATACAATACTGCACTAGTTTTGCCAGGAGAGATTAGACCACCCTGTGTGGTCAATTGCAGGTGGTTATCTCATCAAATCAGCTCTCATTTAACATAAGAAAAAGGGGATCATGGGGACCAACAGGGACTGATTAGACATTGTTTGCTGTATAGAGGGCACAAGTAGCTTTAAGTAGTGCAGTGGGGCGTTAAAAGAAAATTTACTTACGCAGTAGACACTCCTTGCTCTCATAGACTGCCAGTATGCAGCGGTTTCTTCAGGTAGTGGCTTGCTCACTGCTCTTCGGATCTTCAATTTATCTTCACTTATCTACAAAGAACAAAGTCAGACAATACACCAGTTTACTAACATATTCAACATTTATGCATAATTTTTAGATTATGGATTAAAGGTTATTCTAGACAACATGAAAGCTTGTCAGAGGGTTGCCCGACATAGCAACAAGTAATACATGTAGACTGGAGTCCAAGTATTGTACTTCATTCATTAATAACAGGTTAAAGGAGTAACTTGTCACTAGATCCCCAGGAAAGAAACATCCATAAATTTGAATATGTTAGTAAACTGGTATATTCCACAAATTGGTACAAACTCAATGATCATTTCAATATCATTGGAATGCAAGGACTTTAGAGCTTTTGAAAACAAATTATGATACACAATACAATACTATTCAGATACGATTCGATAAAAAGAAAATCTATCTACCCTTGTGACTAATGCATTTGACCCTCTACAAACAACCCTGAAGACATTATTTAACCTTAAAGTGCTGTGAATAAAAGCAAATTCAGATTATAATTTGAAGAAATTTTAATCCATTTGTTATTTTTGTGCATTATATGGAGGCACTCATGAAGCAAACAAACTGTTTTCTTCCATTTTAGGATAGATTCATGCATATTTCAACCACTTTCTGTAATGGGCAATCCAACTTCACAGGTTTTTGCAAACTTCATCGAAAGCCCCGCATATAACCTTTTAAAATAAGGTCAAAATTTACTGTTACTTTGATTTTTATATCGCGAAATAAATTGAATTGAATTGAACTTTCATCTTTGCATGAAAATGATACTTCATCCTTTAAAATGTGTCTACTGTACTGAATATGATTTGAACAGCAAATAGGTTTTATTTTCTATTCAGAAATTAAGTTTGACTCACCTCCATTAGACCAGAAGGGGATTTTTCAAGAGCTGCAACGATGATATCAAAGTCTGTGGTCAGACTCTTCAGTCTGTTGAACTTGATCATGGTCTCAAGTGCAACCCCTTTATTCAATGCATCAGTGTCAAGGAAATCATACTTCAACTTCAATTAAAGGTATCGTTTAACAATGTTAAATATGGGATGCATGGCCCTGCATGTCATCAGTGTGTGCGATATGTTGAATATTGAAGCCCTAAAAAAATTGCGCTTCAAAATGATCATGAAGTGCCTCAAGAAAGTAAAAAGCTTTGAATGACCGGTTTTACCATACTCATTTTCTCCAATAGACTGTAGTGTTATTTGAGTTTCTATTTCCAATCATAAATATCCTGATAATCAGACAGGCTTATAAAAGTCATGGGGATCCTGACTGACCTAAAGGTTCAGAACTATGATTGCGGCATGAGCTAAATCCAGGATTTTGTTTCAGAATCTGAGACAAAGAGACCCAATCCCTTTAAAGGGAAAGTCCACCCTGAAATTAAGTTAGTTTTAATAGGAGTAGAAAAATGAGAGAAACAAGTCAGTGAAAGTTTGAGCAAATTCTGAATGAAAATAAGAAAGTTATGAATTATTGAAGTTGTGATCAATCAAATACAAATTGGCAACTCTGTGACTTATCATACGAGCTCTCCTTCATTTGCTTTGTGCATAATATTCTATAAAATCATGTTTTCTTCGTTATTGATGACGGAATATATATTTGTTCCTTGCAGGGGGAGTATAGAAACATATTTGCAATTATTATATTTAGGGTGCATGTATGGTTGAAATTTTTCTTGAGGGAAAATGAAAATTTTAGATATTTTTAGTACTGAGCAAATGGAAGTTGAGCTCGCATGATACGTCATAGAGTTGCCAATTTCTGTTTGATTGATCACAACTTCAAAAATCCTAACTTCCTTATTTTTAATCGGAATTTGCTCAAACTTTCACTGACTTGTTTCTCTCATTTTTCTACTCCTATTAAAACTAACTTAATTTCAGGGTGGACTTTCCCTTTAAAGCAATACTGAACTGATGAACTTTTTGCCCATGCATACTGTTTATTGCACAATGCCATCCTATGGTCAATTTGCCAAGAGTGCTACCCAATACCTAATTTCTACTTGGCAGACAGAGGACTCGGTGCAGCTAGGAAAGCAGCGAGTTACGGGACCATACTTCTACAGCTGACCAGAGATGGCACTAGAGGGCATTTTGTAGTAGTGCTTAATATAGTACAGTACGAATTTAACTCATATTCAAACAGAGCAACCTCATCATCAATCAGCAGGGAGCAGCATTAGTATACATATCATTACCACTACCATCCTCATCATGATCATTATTGTCATCTTTACCATAATATTCATCATCTGCAGCAGCAAAATCAGACAACTCTTTTAACCACCACAATCATCTTTAAACATTCCAATTACCATATGATCATAATTATTTCAGATCATAATTTGCACCAAGTTACTTAACCATCATCACTACATATCTTCTTTTTTTTTTATTATATACATGTAAATGTCCATATTTATTTTTATTAGCTTTGCCATGTTCTGCCATAGGGTGAGATCGAACAGTATGGGCCTGTCCATAAAATGGAAGCATTTTAGGACTGATAGTACCATAGGAAGAGATTCAATAAATTAGCCAGTTATATAAAAGGATACAGCCATTGTCTTCTCTGATCTGTAGCTGCAGGAAGGTATCTCTCTTCAGGTTGGCATCTCCAAAGTAGTACTGTATAAATAAAGAGAAAATCAAAATGAAAAAGAACGGTGTGGATTTTTTTTGTTTTCATTTAGATTTCAATTTTCCTTTATTAATTTGATTTTCTTAATTCAATCACAAATTCAATTGTCAAAACAAATGATTTCTATTTTGTTATTTTCCCTTTAGAGTCGAGGGAAGCATATTCATAAATCATCTAAAGTCAAATTTTGTATATATCCCGCTGAAATGAGTGTTATTAACAGTACAGTATAACATGCCTTTAAATGGGGTGTCAGCAGCAAACAGTTTTGTGAAAGATAACCGTGGGGTCCTTGGAAGCTAAGACTAAAACATTAAATCTGCTTTAAATACAGTTTCTTACTGCATCACAGAGGATGAATACAATTTTGAAGAATAATTTGTTGAGGTTGAATAAAGAATTTTGTCTCTACCTCAACTTGTCTTGCAACCTTTTTCTCCAAAGCAGAGGGTGCTCCACCACCTTCTGTTTTTACTTCTGTTTCTGCCATCTTGAAGATGTGAAGCTAACAGCAAGCGACCACAATCCAGTAAGTCCTTTAGAAATCCTGTAAATCAAATTGAAAATAAAAAAACAGAGAAAAGCACTCTTAAGTCATTTCATATGAATTATTTTTATATTTCGGTTTTGTGTTGTATGCAGAAAACCAGTTTTGTATTTTTTAATTAATATTCGTCTTCAAACACATTTGTTTAAAAAATCCTAGCAGTGTGTGTTAAAATAATGACATCCTCTTTCACATCATTATACAATCGAGGTGAAATTTGCCATCAAATTTGTTGGGCTCCCAACACTTTAGATAGGATATAGTATAGCAGGGCTGTCAACCCATTTTGAGGCAGTTTCAAGCCACCATGCTCATTTTCCCACCGTCCCACCAGCTCGTAGCAGGAGACTCCTGCCACACTGCCCTTCCTCCCGCTCTGATGTAAAATCTCCCGGTTTATAAAACACCTCATGCCAAACATGGTAAACACAATATGACCTTCTTTTTTTTTTATAGCTCAGACATGTAACAATCACAACCACACATTACTATTCATAACATGCCAGACCATTATCAGATCGACACATGACAGAGCTTCTGCCTTAATTCGACTTGAGTTCCGAGTTCAAGCACTCGACTCGCACTCTCATCTTCATGCATACACAACTCTCTCTCGCCGGTGTTTCGGCGAGGAATGCAGTGCCGCGGCCGCGGCGCACGGTCTTTACCACTAGACGAGTGCCCGAGCGGAGACTCTCGTAAAAATTGAATACAAACATTTTAAACGCTAAGTAAAAGACTTGATAATACTTACAAGATCGGAAGTGCACGACAAAGTGTTTAGAACTTTCTCAGCCTTCGATTGCTCGGAATAATATAAAAGAAAGATTTCACCACCAAACAAGCGTGGACTTTAAACCTAGTCTTTGCACATAGCTAAGGGTAAAAAAAAATCCGTATCTGGAGTTAGGGTCGAATATTCATTTCATCGAATCTGATCAAAATTACTTTTATAATTACATCTAAATTTTTCATAGATGCTATACAAAATGTGGATATAATTACAATAAATAGCAACTACGATATAAACCCCGTGACGAGAAAGTGAGTACAAGTAACTTAGGCCAAACGCATTGATATCAGGCTAGAATCTTGCATGGATTGCGACAATTCGTCCGAGATTATTTCGGTTATTTCGTCATCAATAAATTCGTCTGTTGCGGAAAAAGTATTGTAGCGCTACATTGGGAAGTACATGTCATCTCTGTATAATGCATGCATAAAGAGAGAGAGAGAGAGAGAGAGAGAGAGAGAGAGAGAGAGAGAGAGAATATTATTATAAAGTGTGTGAGAGAGAGAGAGAGAGAGGGATCGAAATAATAGAGAGAGGTATATAAAGAAATACGTTGTAAAAACTCTAATTCAAGATTCAAGAGTCAATTAGATTCAAGATTTTATCGTCCGTAATATAATACAGAAATTTGTAGTATATAAAACATAAGACAAAAACATGGTGTCGTGTGCTGAAACTGAAAGCCAGAAGGGCTTCATGACTTCAAGACTTTCCTTGAATAAGGCTCCATTCAATAAAGTTGGTGTCCACCTCATGTTACTATGTTACTATGAGCAGGTATACGGTCCTCCGGCTTTCAGCACAAAACATGACAAGACAGTGACTTAATTATACATAGCAAGAATTTTAAATACCATTCTGAATCACATCATGAATAGATTCAGGTATGAATATAAATGTGAATATGAAAGTAGAATAGGAGCAGCATCACAATCGAAATACGAGCAGAAAGAGATAGGAAAAGAGAGCTCAAGCAGGCGCGTAGCCAGGGGGGGGGGCGGTGGGGGGCGGTCCCCCCCCCCCCCCCAAAAAAAAAAACGCCGGCCAAAAAAAAAGAGAGAGAAAGAGAAGAAAAAAAGAAAGAGGACGTAGGAAGAAAAAGGGAAAAGAAGTCGAGAACGGTACAATGAATCGTCAAAGCTTACGCGCTTCGCGCGGGAAAGGGGGAAACTGAGTTCAAATTAAGAAATATGAGTCGGGAAAGGTACAACGAATCGTCTTCTTTCTCAAATAATTAATGAAACGTCAAAGCTTCGCGCGAGAGGGGGGGGGGGGAACAGAATTCGGGGGAACTGAATTCAGACAAGGATTAAGAGTCGAGAAAGGTACAACGAATCGTCTTCTTTCTCTAATAATTTGATGAAACGTCAAAGCTTCGCGTGAGAGAGGGGAGGGACTGAATACAGATAAGGATTAAGAGTCGAGAGAGGTACAACGAATCGTCTTCTTTCTCTAATAATTTAATGAAACGTCAAAGTTTCGCGCGAGAGAGGGGAGGGACTGAATTCAGACAAGGATTATGAGTCGAGAAAGGTACAACGAATCGTCTTCTTTAAAAGCTTCCGCGCTTCGCGCGGGAGGGGGGAAACTCCCCCCTCCCTGCACCCACCCCCTAGGGAACGCGCTTCGCGCGCTCTTTAAGTGATTCGCACGCTTCGCGTGCTCACTACCGCCCCCCTAAAATGAAATCCTGGCTACGCGCTTGAGCTCAAGCTCGAAGGACTAATAAAAGAGAGAAATATACTGGTTCGTAAGGGTCCAAAGGGAAAGGGGAGAGATCATAGAGAAGCCGGGAAAGATGACATAATTTCCAATCAGATTATAATGCATGACAGAAAATACATCGCCATATGTAGAGAAAGAAAATGCACCAAAAAAAAAAAAAAAAGCATTCTGCATGCATAGGCTCTGAAATAACTCAAATTATATGTTTCTTAATTGGGAAAAGGACGCTGGCGTACTAGAAGGGGAGGGGCGCAGAGGGCACATGCCAAAAAACCTTGGTAAAAGAGCGATCGATGCGCAAGAAGAAAAAAAGGAAAGCGCAAATGATTTTGAAACAGGGCAGTAAGGAATTGTATAAAGAATTGTCATTTTCCAACAAACGCATCAAAAAGTATAATTTACAAACAAGGGAGAAAAAAAACCCGGAAATAATGTCATTTTAGCAAAGTTTGCAAATCACTGGTATCGAATTAAAAAATAAACCACGTTTGAATTTTATGGGGGGGGGGGGGGGAGGTGTGTAACTTCATTTGGTGTATTATTGTGATTTTTTTTTTTTTTTTACTTGTCATAAACTCCCAGTTTTACTTTGTGCAGAGGAATGATGATTTTACATTTCATGAGATAATAGTAAAGCATCACAATGAAAGAAACTAATTCAAATCGTCCGTTCAGAACCAAAATGATAAATATTTGAGCTAACTGCATTTTAGATGGCAGATGATCATGCAGACAAGCCTGCGTGCACTATGTTCAGTGGCGTGACGATCCCGGGGGACACGGGCCCCTCAATTTGTTTAAGGGGGATCGTCCCCCCCCCCCGGAAAATTTAAAAAAAGTGCACACAAACAAAATGTATAGCAAATACTGACTAAATCGGACTGCAATACACTTGGAGGGCCCAAGCTTCCTACTTACTGAAATTTGCCTACTAAACTGATATTTACAACCCTTCAGTCTGCACACTATAATTACCGGCAGAGTAAAAGTGAAGTGTGAAAAAAGGTATATTGCTTGGTTTTATATTATAGTTTTGCTAAGGAATGTAATTTTTTAACACAACAAGACTTCATAAACCTGTGAGGGGGTAGTTATTCCCGTCACCTTTGCCCTCTCGCTCACTATGCTCCCTCTTCCCTCGCACTATACTGATGGGGGGGGGGGGGGGCTTGGGGCAAATAGAAAGAAAGAAAGAATAGTGACCTGCCGGTGTCACAAATGAGGTATCAAAATATGCTCATCTGACCGTAATTAAACGCCTAAAACCCCTGAGCTTCCGGTGCTTCGCCACAAAGGGCCCTAAGATGGCCCCTGGATGCCCATTTTCCCGTAATTTAATGCCTAAAACCCCTGAGCTTTAGGGCGCTCTGCCCCCTGGACCCTACGCCAATTAGTGAACTGCCAATATCACAAAAAAGGTCAAAATATGCTCATCTGACCGAACATATTGCTCAGATTGTCTCATTTTCGCTCGCGTGAACATTGTCAGCACAAACCACTGACCTCTACCTCCTACACGGATCATCGCACATTCCCATTCACTATACGTTACGTACTAAAAGGCTGTATTGTCTGACCGTTCATGAATATTCATGTTTTTTTGCTAAACTCGGCAAAATGTTTGCTTTTACTAAATGGAAAAATTACGGTGGGGGGTTGGATGAAATGGACAAAACGAAATAGGCAGAAGTGATCTTTGATAATTCATGCTTTTTATGTTTCGTGTGCTCGACCTATAATCTTCAAATCGCTTGGTAAACTGAGTCCAAAGTTTAATAGACTTGCTTCACATGTGTATTATATAGGCAATGACGAGCTTGCAACCTATTTTGAAAAATGACGGTGGGTGAACTTTCAAAAGTCAATGAGACATGAGGGCTCCAATGAAAGAGCTATAGTGATAACGTACGTCGGGGTGGATGTGCTTTTCGTTTAAACAAAAAATGAATTTTTAACGATTTTTAAAAAAAAACGTCCATAGGCTAACATGTTAGGCTGCTGAATCTGACCATGCTCTGACGATAGGGAGCGTTGTGAAATGAGACTAAACGGAGCCATATGATTAAATGCCTATACCTAGCACCCCCCCCCCAAGGCCATTGAATATAATTTTGCATGCTCTTAGTAATTGTCAAAGGCCATATTTTATGAGATTTAAAGGGAAATTCATCCCAAATAGACAACTACTAAGAAAGCGGAAAAATCAGAGAAGCAAACTAGTTAAAATTTCAAATAAATCTGACTAAATATAAGAGAGTTATGATTTTTTGAAAGTTGTAATCACCATTGTATGGGAACTTCAAGTTGGCTGAAGCGATAATGTCAATGTGATGTAGTGTCGGACAACTTTCCTATCTGTTCCAACATATAAAATGACTAAAATTTAAATTTTTCAAAAATTCATGGCTCAGGAGGGCTTATTCTTTTTAGAGGACCTTTAATAATATGCTATCTACAATATATTTTGAGTAGTGCCCCATGGGAGAAGGAACTTACGAGAAAAACAGAAATTAATGATATTTGTGTACACGGTCTTACGTCACAAATTCACTGACCAACTTAAAGTTCTACCAATTTGAGATTCACATAGACTTAGTGTTGTCATATTTCAAAAATTCGTAACTTCCTTACTATTGGTCCGATTCATTTCAAACTTGTACAATTCTGTTTCTGTTATTTTTCTGCTTTCATACAAATCAACTTAATACAAGGGTTGGATTGCCCTTTAAAGACTTGATAAACTGGAAAGAATTTGAAGGATCTGTAACAAATATATATACAATAGAAAAGAGGAGGACAAAATGCCCAGAATAAGAAGAAGAAGAAGAAGAAGAAGAAGAAGAAGAAGAAGAAGAAGTAATTCGTTGTTTGGGAAATTGTAATTTAACAATGAAATTTTTCAAATTCATCCAAATATAGAGTAGTTTGTTTCGACGATGAAAGTCGTCCAAACGTTTGTGCAACTTCTTAACCATTACCATGCAGAAAAGTTGACGTAGATCCACTCCTCCCCCTCTTGAAAAAAAAGTTTGCTTCCTAGAGAACTTCGACATTTTATTTGTTTTGAAAGCGTCAAACATCCTTATATACCTTTCTCTCCATTTGATATTTTGTGAAACAGTTCTTAAAACGTTGTGCCTTGTGCCCGAACGTCTCTTCTAGGTCGGTCACTATTATTTTTTAGACGAGTCATATGAGGCCGAAATGTCTAACACTCTCCTGCTGTGTTTACGCAAGGTGACTTTGATTCGATCAGGGACGCAGGCGCTCAAAACTTTCCGACCTGCAACTTTCGTGAAAAGTGCGTGTAATATCCTGTAAATACTAATTTTTCGAATATGCATCGAATTAGGATATTCAAGGAATGCATCTCTAAGCCTCTAAAAACTATAGGATGCATCGAAACGGGCTCTAAATGGCAATTTTCCCTGCTCGGAGGGAAATCGGCATTCAGAAGAATACACAGGAGTGAATGTCTGGGACAACAATTGTTGCAAAGGAGTGATGCAAGACTCTGTAGAGCAGCCACAACAAACTGTTTACTCCTTCATAGCAAAAGGAGCATGAGCACTGATGAAAATGGAGGATCTGAAGGAAAAATCAAACCAGTATTCGTTGCTATTCCCAATCCTATCAAAGTCATCAGAAACAATATATTTTATTGGTTAATTCGTTCATATTTCGATCCAGATTTTTCAATTGACGAGTTCACACAAGGAGCAAAACAGGTAGAAAAGTAGACCCTATTCTAAAAATCATGAAATACGTCATTATAAATGTAGACTAGAACCTACATATAAATTTACATAATATTTACAAGCTTGAATGAAAAAAAAACCTGCTAGAAGTTACATGTAAAAGAGATTTAAACAAATTTGAACATGGTTTGAAATTGAATTTGAAGTCGGATTAAAAATCGGATTCCATGAATTTGCCTTTTTGTTGTTGATGATTGAAGGAATGGATCTTTTTCACAGATGCTTTTCTGTCGGAAGAAAATTGTTCATTTTATGTGTACTCTGATAAACCAAAACCGTCCAATATATCTAGAGCACAGATCTAAAATGATGGATCTATTCTACTGAATAAGGTAAAAATTAAAATGGAAAATGTTCTTCAAAAAAATAATCTAAATTTATTATTTAGACCTATTCACAAATAGGAGAAGCTGAGAAGTGCTCAAAATGTACAAAGCTACCAATTGCATTTTATGAATTGCAATTTTGAAATTCTTATCTTTGTTATCCTTAAGTTCAAACTTTCACTGACTAGTTTCTTTTATGTCTAAAATGCTCTTGGGCAATAAAGCCTTGACAAGATTAAATCTGAGATACACGGCCCTACGTGTTATCAGTGTCTGTGATATGGTGTAATATTGAATCCCTAAAAAAATTGCGCTTCACAATGATCAAGAAGTGCCTCAAAAAAGTAAAAGTCTTTGAGTGACCGGTTTTACCATACTCGTTTTCCCCAATAGACTGTAGTGTTATGAAAACCGTTTGGCAAACGGTTTTCAAAATTTGTAATTCCAATCATAAATATCTTGATAATTAGACGGGCTTGTAAAAGTCATGGAGTTTCTGACTGACCTAAAGGTTTATAATTATCATTGCAGCATGAGCTAAATCCAGGATTTTGTTTCAGAATCTGAGACTAAGTTACCGACTTACCGGATCCCTTTAATGCCAGACCGAATGTTCCCTTATAATAATTTAGATCTCACCTCGGTCAATTTATCAATTTGAAATTCTCAAGTTTGTGTTCTCACTTCTCCCAGAGAGCTTTTACAATATTTTGTAATATTAATTTGATTTTGTTTGTTTAATAGCTCATTGCTACCACGGCATGGATGGATTGCCCTATACAGCCTTTTTACAGGCTCTTGTTATTACAATCCAAATCTTTATGAACTTGAATCATCATCTTGATTAGAAGCCATCATATTCTTATTTGGAAATATTTCTTAATTTGATGATAAGACATTAACCATATTTTGTCTTTTCTTTTTTATGTTTCCCAGGCTTTAGTCACAATTTCAGAGGAGATAGCAGAAGGAACATTGGAAAACCTTGAAGATCTTCTCTCTCCCAAGGTAAAAAGAAAAGCTTGAGAGAAGGTTTCAGTGCACCAAGAGTTTCAGAGATGTGGTGTTAAACTGCCTAAAAATAAACTAAAGTAGTAAAACTATATGAGATAATACTAGAGGTGGAAAACCGGGAAAGTCATCGAAAATGTAAACAAAAATCTCCAAAAGTCATGGAAATTTATTATGCAGGTGGCCATGACAGCCTCCTAGTTTGAACTGACAACCCATTTCAATATGGCACTTGTCTTCCATGGAAAAAGGCCAAAAAAAAAAGGGTCAAGGAAAGTCATGGAATTTTGTTCTCAAATTTCTGTGGGAGCCCTGTAGTAGTAACTGATCATAGATATATAATACCCAATGTGAATAAAAATAATTTCACACTTAATAAACAAAGGATAGAATGATATATGTGCTCATGTCTGCATATTTGTGTTACTCTAATTCCAACTACCGGGTATGTTATAATAATTTCATATTGTTTTTCTTTGCATTTTTTCAGTTTCAGTCCTCATATTTTCATTTGTATTAAAAGTGTTAGAATGAAGCATATATAACACTTAGATTTTATGCATATACTTTGCACCCTTTAAAGCTTATGTATTATATGTTACTGTACCCCCCAGCTTCTACAAGAAATCAAGAACACATGCCGAGGCTTCAGTCTGAAGGAGATCAGTTCTCTGTCGATTTCAGGAAAGGACATTCTACATACCTTCCCCCATGACATCGCTATACACTACGATGATAAAGGTATTTATGATATAACTCCTATGTTATGGTCTTTTCAACCCATCACTGTGTCTTGAGATGCAATTTTTACATTTTTTTAAAATCTGAAGACCAGCCTAAAATTTCATGTTAGCTTTCATCTTCTTCTTCTTCCTTCGCTCTATCGGAGATCAACAGCTACCAGAGTACTGCAATTTGTCATGGCAAGTAGGTCCATGGTCATAGCAGGCAGGAATGTCATGTCAGGTAGAATGTATATTGGAGATTGCATTAGCATAAGCAGAGTGGATATTGTATAGAAATGACAGTGATGCATTAAGAAGAAGGTTCTTTTGGTTAGGGCTGACATTTTCTTGTTCTTTTGAAGGCAGGTGTTCAGATTTAACTTACTAAAATACTTATGAAAAAATACTATTCACCATCTACTGTAAGCTAGCATCATTTAATGCGATAAATCATGTGACAGTGAGTTTTACATCTTCATGGCAAATGCTGATATATTTATTATTGTTTATCTTATTTGATTTTTCTCTGTTTATTTTTCAGGAGGGAAGTTCCTCTTTATCTTGATGAAGTTCTGGTGTCACTCGACACAGTCCGGAAGCAGTGATCCAGAAGTCAAGGGCTTCCGAATTGGAAAACCGCCCCCAGGTGTCTCGCAGGAACAGTTTGACAGTCTTGGAAGTGTCTACAGTTGTACATATGAGTAAGAAAATGTTGTGGATTCAGATCTCTGAGTATGGATATAATGTCTAAGCTATGAATAGGTGACTCAAAGTCCTACAGGGTTACGTTTGTGTAGACCTGTGGATTATTTATTGGGGATTTTGTGAATAGACTGTTAACAAGCGTACAGGTGCATCTGAGAGTACAAATTGTACTACGTTATGTTCTGTTTAATGGAATTCATGGAAAACAGAAAATTTTGCAAACTGAAAGGGCAATCCAACCCTTGTAATAAGTTAATTGGTATTAAAGCAAAAAAATAAGATTTACAGAACATGGAAACTTTGAAAAATAAATTAAAACGATAATAAGAAAGGTAGGAATGTTTGAAATACTAATTTTATGTGAATCTCAAATTGGCAGTTTGGTCAATGAATTATGAGGTAGTTGTGGATAACTCCTGTTTATTATTGTGTACAAAAATATTACTAATTCCTATTTTTCTCCTACGTGCCTTCTCCCTTGGGGCAGGGGCACTTCTCAAAAGTTATTATGGATAGCATATTATTATACATGTAGGTCCTCTAAAGAAAATAGACCCTCCTGAGTCAGGAATTAAAATTGAATTGTTTTGCGTGTTGGAACCAGGAACAAATGGGGGAAAGTTTTACGCCGCTACATCACAGAGACAATACCGATTCAGCCAGTTTGAAGACCCCATACCAGTGGAGATTACAACTTTCAAAAATTCATAACTTTCTAGTTGTTTTTTTTTCTCGATATCATTCAAATTTTCACCAGTTTACTTCTATGATTTTTCTGCTTTCCTCTAGAGTAGAAAGTCCCTTCACATAAATTTTCCTGCCTTTCTCCTTTCCTCAAAATCTAAAGAACTTTTTTTTCCCCCCTTCTTTTTAGGTTTCATCGTAATATCTCAGCCGGTGCCAACCCACAATGGATGATCACACATATGCAACATGGCCAACTGATCAATACTGAAACAAGAGGGCTACCTGAAGATGAATAAGTGTCTCGCTCAATTCATACTTTTAAGATCAACATGTTTAATGCTCTGTTCATACATGGAATATGGACGTCTTGTAGATGACTGGCATGCTCTGTTCATACATGTATGCAACATGGCCAGTTGATAAACCTTGCTACCAGCAGACTAATGGAAGGGGAATACATGTAACTGTCATACTCTGTTCATACATACAACATTGAGGTCTTATAAAATGTCTGTCATGCTCCTTTCATACTTGCAATGTGGCTATCTGATAAGTACTGATGGCAAAGAAATACCGGTCGATGAATGACTGTCATGCTCTGTTCATATATGCAACATGGACATGATATAAATGACTGACATCTTGCTGCTTTCATACTTGCGATGTGGCTAGCCGATCATTGTTGATGGCATGAGTACTATTTGAGGATGAATGACTGTCATGCTCTGTTCATACCTGCGAGCTGACCAGACCAGTTATAGAAATCATATCACACTATTTGAATTTGAGAGGAAATCAATTTTTTTTATGAAACAGTATCATTAAAGAAAGTGGGTGAAGATGATAAGTAATTGAGATCCAAACATGATGTACATAGTGATTCCAGCCTTTTTTGCAAGCTTTGATCTGAATACACTTATTGTTGCATAGAGATACTTCATACAGCACAGGATCCCTTACTTTATTTAATATTCATTCAAAAAAGAAGAAAAAAGGTTTCTTTAGGGGGAAACAATAGGGAACACTGAGGTGATGGTATAAAGTTCACCTCAAAAGCAGAGTTAGTAGTGTCGGAAATTCTTAATTGATTGATTTAAATTGATGGCTATTGGGACAAGATCTTTCACTTTTAGCGCTTAGAGACTTCGGTGGTAAGCGCTTTATAAGTAACGTTTTTATTATTATTATTATTATTGCTTCTGCTGGTTATCCATAGTGTAGCCAATAGAGGGCGACATATCCATGTGCATATGGACAGTAACAAGTGTATAGTTGCAGACTTTGATTGCTAATATTAATGTATTAAACCTGCTGGATAACTAAAATCATTTTGAAAATGCACAGACGAACTGCATTATAATGTCCAGATTGCTACCTACTGGTAGTCCCTACTCTAAAAGACGAAAGAACTCCTTTGAAAATAAAAAATTATTCCACTTTCCTATCACTTGCTATGGATTTTGAGATCACTATGAAATTCTATATTTTGTTTTCATTCTTGGTTTGCAGTTTATATTTTAGTTTCCGATTGTTGTTCTGTATGTATTTGGAAAAAAGAATAGCCTGAGTTGCCTAGTAATGGTCCAATGGAGGATTTCTGTTAATTGAGTTAATGATCGATAAAAAAAATGTTATAATGAAATAATGATACAGGCTAGTATTCCCAATATCCTTCACGTTTACAATGTACAATGTATATGGAGGAGTGTCATTCATTATTATAATAAAGTCTACTAGTTGTAACATGACTATTTCCTCTAAAATGTCAAGTTTCTTAACCACTAGAAAATACTGATACAATGTTCATCCTGTAGCATCTGCTGTTGCCATACTTGTATATGTACTGTTGATGACCAATTGAATATCTTTAACTCAACATGATCCAAGTCATCAGTCCTACTACATGTACAATTAAGCATTGAGGACTCTTAAAATGTTCACATTGTGAATATATTACTTCTAGCTGATATGGCACCAGTTTTGTCTTCCTGAATGAAATGTGCCATAAAGAGGCAAACTACATTCAAACCTGTTGATTTTTTTGGGGGAAGAAACATTGATTGTTTATTTTAATAAAGATTTTCATGTACAGCAATTGTTCTTGTTGAGTGACAAATCTTTTGAAGCAGTATCAAAACTCACACTAACAATTATTTTATTGTGTTGAGAGATAATGAGTAGCTATTGACTGAAATTAAGAGCTGAGCTTGATAGCAATTTAGTGAGATTGTGAGAGAACGACCTTTATTATGCATATTTTGCTAGGATTATAATAATCTACACTGTACTATACACATTTAATTTCCACTCATCAGTCATCATACATTCAAGTCAAAGCAGAAACATTTAAAAAAAGGTACCCCTAAAATTCAGAATATCTTCAGTTTATCCACTTTAACCACCCCCCCCCCCCCTCCATAAAATTAATCAGGGGCGGATCTAGCTTTTTGCCAAGGGAGGGGGGGGGGGGGGGGGGTAGTCTGCAGGCACAGACCCTAATTTAACACTTTATCAACAAATCATTGTGCCTTGAGAGAAGTCTAGCCCAGCTTCCTACTGGTTGTGTCAGGAGCAGCTACAGTACATGGCCTATGGTAGTCTTATAGTGCAGACTCACTTTTACGACTGACCAGGGTTTGTGCCTGTGTCAGGAGCAGCTACAGTTGTTGTTGTGTTTTGGTTTATTGGCGATTAGTCAGTAATTTGACTATTGTCACCAAAATACTTTACGGCACATGTTATATCTCTCATTTTTGTATTTTTGAAAAATATATTTATTTCGTTTTATATTTATCTATCTTTTAAGATAGTATCGAAAAAATAATATCGTAAGCAGTACATGGCCTATGGTAGTCTAATAGTGCGGACGCACTTTTACGACTGACCAGGGTTTGTGCTTGCAGACTAGGGGGAGGGGGGGGGGGTTGACAAAGAATAATCGTGCAGTTTTACTGTTTTACTTTTGGCTGCCCAAGGGGGGGGGGGGGCATAAACCGCCGAAACACCTCCCCCCCCCCCCCCCCCCATAGATCCGCCCCTGGTATTCAAAACAAATTGTGAAAGTTAAATGAATGGAAGTGAGCATCTTAAATACGGGTCTTGAAGGCTAGACTATCCTTCTAAATATTATTGTTATGGATGATCACACATTATATCATACCTTTTCATAAAATGCGCGGATATACCGTACACACACATAGAGTATACGTGAATCAGCAATTTTTAATCAGTTCACGTATAGCCTCTTGTCGATGCCCTCGCGCTGTTGGAGTCTCTAAATTCTGACTCGCTTCGCTCGTCAGAGAAACCGAGGCGCTTGCGCGGAGGGCCTCTTGACAAGTGATCTGAATTATATATTCATGAGACCCGATTTCCTACTGAATAATGCATGTCTAGACCGCAGCGATTGTGTGTGTGTGTACGTGTGTGTTCGGGATTGCCCAACTAGGCTAGTCTGCAAGCACAGACCCTAATTTGACACTTTATCAAAAAATCATTGTCATTGATTTAATGTTGAGAGACTATTCAGTAATTTGTCTTCTTGAAACTAAAACTGAAAGGCCTGATTTTTCTCATTCTTACTTCAACAATTATCAAAGTTATATTTTGGAAAAGAATGGCGTGGGTAGACATGGTGGTATTCATGGCATTTGTATTAGAATCTATTATGTGGATTCATTTTAATTCATTTTGTTTAGGCTTTGAGTTTATATTAGGAGCAGTATATTTGCCTTGTGAAGGGTCAGTTTATCATAGTAATGATGTTTTTGATCACCTTTATCAGGACCTATTAAAAGCAAATATAATGTGCCCTTCAGCCTAGTAGGGGACTTTAATTCAAGGACTGGCTTACTTGACGACTTTATGGTAATTGATAATGTTATTTCTGAATTTTCAGGTTATTGTTCTTCAAATGATAATGTTGATTTTAAGAGCTCGCTTACTGATGATGGATATGATACTAGGAGGCATAATATGGATTCTTCTATTAATAATAATGGTAGACAGCTTATTGGCATTTGTCAGAGTTTTGACTTGAAGATAGTGAATGGGAGATTTGGTAGTGATAAGGGTGTTGGTAGCTTTACATGTTACAATAAAAATGGAGGGAAAAGTGTGGTTGATTATGTCATTGCATCTGTTAGTTTATTTCAATATATTACTCATTTTGAGGTTGACATTTTTGATAAGTGTGTTTCAGATGTACATTGTCCATTGAATCTGATGTTTTCAAATAAATTGATTCCTATAAATGAAGATGTTGAATTGAGAAAAATTGAAAATAGGGTTGATGCTCCCGAAAAAGTGAAATACACTTCATTTAAGTGTTCTAAAGAGAAGGCATCTGAATTTAAGTTGAAACTTGATCAAAGTATTCCAGTACTGATGAATGCATTGGAAATGATTGAGAAGTCATCGACACAAGGTAATATGGATAATTTTAGTACTGTATTGGCAAATTCATTTTTGAAGACGGCAAAGGAAGTCGGTATATGTGAGGATAAAGTCTGTAAGAAAATTCATTCTAGGAAACTTATCGTGGAGAAGAAACCATGGTTTGACACAGAGTGTCAGCATGCCAGATCAAGATATTTTAATCTAAAAAATAGAATTAAACGACAGTGCAAAGGTCTAACTTTGAGTGATAAAGAACAAAAAATGGCTGAAATTAATGCTGTTGCAAAAGATTATAGGAAATTGCTACGTAGAAAGGAAAAAGCGTACACTAGGCTCTTACACAACAATCTTCATATACTTAAGAAGGATAGTCCTCAAGAGTATTGGAAAATTTTGGATGGACCGAAGCGTAGCTCTTGTCCAGCCAAGGTCTCTTTAGATGATTTTGTGCATCATTTTAGTAGTTTGAATAATGTGCAATGTGCAGCATCTGAAACACATTATGTGGATTTTGACCAGTCAATGGGCAATGATGAACTGAATGCCCCTATCTCGGTTGATGAAGTTATTAAGATTATCCAGAAACTAAAGAATAATAAGGCATGTGGTGTAGATTTGGTTAGAAATGAGTTTTTGACAAATTGTTCAGCAGCTGTAATTGGTTGTATTACTGCTTTTTTTAATGTAATACTGGAGAGTGGTCTAGTACCAAAAGACTGGTGTCTAGGTAGTATAGTCCCTATTTTCAAAAATAGAGGAAAGGATACAGATCCAGATAACTATCGTGGGATAACACTTTTAAGCTGTTTGGGAAAATTGTTTACTTCCATCTTGAATTATAGGATAACAATTTATTTCGAAAATGAATGCAAGCTTGGAGAAGAACAGGCTGGCTTTCGTGCTGGCTATTCTACAACAGACCATATTTTTGTTTTGAAATCCCTGCTTGACATTTACTTGTCTAAACGGAAGAGAATTTACTGCGCTTTTATAGACTATAGAAAAGCTTTTGATATGGTTGATAGGGTTTCACTTTGGCACAAATTATTGAGGTCAGGGGTGGATGGTAAGGTGTTCACAGTTATTAAGAATATGTATTCTCAAGCAAAATCGTGCGTGATAGTAGATGGTCAAATGTCTGAGGCTTTTCAATGCGATGTTGGTGTTAGGCAGGGTGAAAACTTATCACCACTGCTCTTTGCAATATATCTTAATGATTTCGAGGATTTTCTCAGTAAACACTTTAAAGGTCTCAAATTTTTAGTTGAAAATGTATGTGCTGACATTTTAGATAAAGAAGTAAACAAAGATCTTTTCTTACAATTATACACATTGTTGTACGCAGATGACACCCTAATATTGGCTGACACAGCAGAGGAATTGCAAGTGGCTTTGAATGCCTTGTCTCAATATTGTAAAATTTGGAAGTTAAGTGTTAATGCTATGAAAACTAAAGTACTTATATTTTCAAGAGGCAATGTACGTAAATTTCCAGTTTTCAGATTTGGAGAAGATGAAATTGATGTTGTGGATGATTTTGTATATCTTGGGGTTCAGGTTAATTATAATGGAAGTTTTAAAAAGGCTATTTCAAAACAGGTATCACAGGCCAGGAAAGCCCTCTTCTCTATGTCATTAAAGGTTCAAAGACTCAAACTGCCACTGGATATTCAATGTGAATTGTTTGACCAACTTGTATTACCAATACTCATTTATGGATGCGAAGTGTGGGGATATGAAGATCTGAGTCAAATTGAAATATTCCATAGAAAATTTCTCAGGTCAGCGTTATGTGTAAATAAATTTACACCAGATTGTATGATACAGGGGCGTAGACAACGGGGGGGGGATGAGGGGGATGCATCCCCCCACCTCACAAGGTGGGGGGGATGGCATGTACAATCATCCCCCCCAGGTTTTGGGGAATGATATTTGCTTACTTAATAAGTCATAATGATGATAATAATAGTAATAATAATAATGATAACAATTATAATATTAATAATAATAATAATTATGATGATGATAATAATAATCCTCATCATTATTGTAATTGTGTTTATTGTTATTAGCCGCATTCACAAGGTGAAAGCCAATTCAGACGGTAAGAAAAAGAAAATCTTACAAGTATTTTGTGGTTATCTTGTGGTTTGGAAACCACAAGATAACCACAAGATTAAACAGGCGCGGATCTACGGGGGAGGTTTAGGGGGTTTAAACCCCCCCTTGGGCGGCCCAAAAAACAAACAAACAAAAAAGGGAAAAAAAAGAAAGAAAAAAAAAAAAAAGAAAGAAAAAAGAACGCACGCTGGAGAGAAACCCTTTCAAGTGCAAATATTGTGAGAAGATATTCAACTCATCTGGTAACTTAACCAAACACATGATAACTCTGGATATAACTGTGTATTTAACTGTTACTTGATTTAAAAAGACGTTATCATGCACTGCTTTTTATGGTCTCCATTGTGTTAATAGATGCCAGGAAAACATCACTTACGGGGTTCAAATAAACACCAAAAAAAAAATCGGCTCGCCGCTTCGCGGCTCGTGGACGATGCTCTGCATCGTCATTATTTTGGTCAACCCCCCCCCCCTTAGCAAAAAGCTAGATCCGTCCCTGAGTCATCCCCCCCAGGTGTACAAACCTGTCTACGCCACTGGTATGATATATGGAGAAACTGGGAGGGCATGGCTAGCTAACAGTATCAAACATCGAATGGTTAGTTTCTGGTTAAGAATAGTAAAAGGTTCTCCCTCTAAATATTCAGTCAAATTTTATTTTTTGCAAAGGTTAATTAGTCAGAATGTAGATATGTCTACTTCTTTCAAGTGGTTATCTTGTATTGAAAAAATATTGAACCATGCTGGTCTTGGTATTGTTTGGCTAAAGCAAGGGGAAGGATTTAGCAATAGTTGGATACTGAGCACTCTGAAGTTGAGATTAAACGATATTTCAAAACAAGATGTGATGGCAACAATTTGGACAAACAGTGTGTGCCTAAATTATAGGATCTTTAAAGAGGATTGTCTCTTTGAAAGGTATTTAGTTTTGCTGAGTAAAAAAGATAGAATAACACTGAGCCGTTTTAGATGTAGGTCACACCGTTTACCAATTAATAATAACAGATTCAAAGAAGCTGTTAATGAAATTAGTATTGAATGCCCATGTTGTGATATGCATGAGTCTGGTGATGAATTCCATTATGTTTTTGTATGCCCTTTTTTCAGAAAGGAAAGAGAGTTATATTTAGGTCGCAAAGTAATAGTTAAACGCCCTTGCACATCACACATGTTGAATTTATTTTCATGTTCCGGTATAGGACAGCTGAAGAAATTAGTACTCTTCTTAAGGATAATAATGTCATATTTTGCTCGTCTATATACATGTAAATCTGAACAATCCAATCATATGTCGCCCATAAAAAGAAATGTTACAACCCGAAGTGGTAGGTTAATTAAGCAACCAACAATTCTTGATCTGTAGTACAGTCTTTCTTTAGGTCAAGTATAGTTTTGATGGTTTGTTTGTTCTTTTGTTCATTTTTTTGTTTTTTTTGTTAGTATACTTTTTTTTTTGTTTGTCTTATTACATTATATTCCATTATGTTTTTGTTTGTCCAATGGACGATTATAGCGTATTTTGTTAGTCTGCATATATCTTAACAATCCAATCACAACTCACTTACATGTACAAAAATGAAACTTATAATTTCTTTTTTAGTTAAGACAATAATGTATTTAAAAAAAAAAAAGATTGTAAAATTATTTTTTGTTTTTATCTTTCTTTTTCTTTGTGTTTGTATTTAGATTGTTCATGTGGTATTTTCCACTTTTCATGTATGCTTGCCATATTGTATAATATTGTATTTATGTTTAGCATAGGCTAGGTTTAGATCATTCCTATTTATCGTTATACTTTTATATTGTTGTTTTGTTGTATTCTGTATTTTTTCTATTATTAAGCTATGTTTGTATTCTTTATTATGTATCATTATCATGACATGTACATGTGTTGTACTCTCATACCCCAGAAGGGGGTCGAATGAGTCAATAAATTCTATTCTATTCTATTCTATTCTTGAGAGAAGCCTAGCCCAGCTATCTACTGGTACCTACTGGTTGTACCAATATAGGTCAGGAGCAGCTATAGTACGTGGCATATGGTAGTCTTATAGTGCACACTCTCTTTTACGACTGACCAGGGTTTGTGCTTGCAGACTACAACTAGGCGGCCAGACTCGCTCTCACGGAGGGAATTCGCACAGAGCGGTAGATATTACGTCATAGTAGCTCTCTCTGATTGGATGACTTTCACCGAACTCTGCTGGGTCGGATCATTCGCCAAACAATGTAAAACATAAGAAATTCAGATCACTTGTCAAGAGGCCCTCCGCGCAAGCGCCTCGGTTTCTCCATACGTCTATGGTTTCTCTGACTCGCTTCGCTCGTCAGAATTTAGAGACTCCAACAGCGCGAGGGCATCGACAAGAGGCTAGTTCACGTAGGCGTGGTGCATGGTATCAGACACTTTCTAAAAATCGCCTGAAGCTTTAGCTAGCTCTCTGCAATCATGTTCGCTTTGAGGGGAATGTTAAGGCCAAGTCGTGCCGCTGCCCTGGCGAAGACCTTGAGGAGCACCGGTCTGTACTCTACTGCAGCTGCACCACAACCTATTGTGACGCCCGACATCCATTTCAACAAGGTTTGTTAATTCAATTCATTCTTCTTCAATTAATTTTATTTGTACATATGATTATGAGTAAAAAGAGCAATCAGTCATTCGTTCTAATTAAATGAGGACATGTAGTCTAGTGATGAAGAGAGAAGAAAAGATGTGAGTGTAATCAATAAGGAGAGAGATGGATCGAGATAGATAGATGAGAGAAAGTGAGGAGAATAAAAACAGAAAAAGGGAAGGAAAAATCAAAGTTGGAGTTAAAGGAGTGACATGAATATACAACAGATGGTAAACAAGATGCAAGAAATAATATAATCTTTGATCATGTTGATATCAAGATAAAAGTGTAATCTTAAAATTTGTACTGCTAAACAGAAGGTTCATGCCTTCTTTCTTTTCATATATTTTCATTTAGGGTCTAAAACTCTAGTCTGATGACAGTGCTCTCGCCCATGGCTGTGTATTAAAAGCTGTGCTATTGATTCTCAACATTTCAAACACTACTGTACAAAACTCAACTAATATCACTCAAAATCGGTACTTTAGACGTTTAGTGACGATTGATGACACCTAAATAGCAGTAAAATAGAATTTTTTCAACTTTCTGATGTTAGAAAGAATTATTAAAAAATTATAATTTTAAGTTTACTGTCATACTTGCCGATCAGCATCGACATGATTGAGTGTATTGACTATTCATGTACTCAAATGCTGCTTATTAAAGATAAAGACCAGTTATGGTCATGCGATTGCATTGTGAAAGAAACGTTGCGGAATAGATCGGAAAAGGTTGATCATCTAGCATACAAGTATTGGTGTGTACTGCAAGGTTCTGGAATCATCAAAATGATAAGAAATTTGACCCAGTCTTGGTAAAGTTACAAGCACTGTACACAGAAAGATGTATATGGGATTACGCGACACGTGCGCGATATATCTATCCGGTCCAAATAGATATAATGATTTACCAAATATATCAATTAGTAGGCGGTTTCTCGGCAAAATTTGTATCATCACGTATTAGTAAAAACATTCTTTCACATGATTGGTAATAAGAGCTTCCATTTCATTTTTGAGAGGGGGGCGTTTCCAAAACTAGTCTTTACCTTTAACATGTAGTGCAGTGCTAGAGGTCAATACGCATTAGCATTGACTCTATATGCTTTGCTGGAGTGCTCTCGCCAGGGGTCTGGAGGTGGATCCCATAGCTGTCTTGAGCGATAAAAACTCACTATGGTACATTTTAGGCAGGCAATATAATAACCTGGGGTGGGATTTGAGGTCCATCCTATCCAATTCATGTTACTCAGAGTAGTGAATTTTAATTTAATTTTTCATATTTTTCCTTCTCTCTATCTCTTTCTCCTCCTCTCTTCTTCTCTTTAACCTACATTACTCTTTTGTTTATCCTTATTCTTCCATCGCTCCATAAAAAATCTAATGACAATTTACGATTGTTTGTTTGTCCAGCTGTTCATCAACAACGAGTGGGTGGATGCTCAGAGTGGGAAGACGTTCCCAACCATCAACCCAGCTACAGAGGATGTCATCACTCACGTAGCTGAAGCTGACAAGGTACGTATCCTTGTTTTTTAGGGTTGAATGACCAAATCTAAAGATTGGAAGAAGGGTTGGGGGGGGGGGGGGGGAGGGGCAGATGTCGATATCCCAAGTATCAGATTTATATTTTCTTAAATTTTCAAGTAATCAAATTAAGGGAGCGAGCACAAAATTGTACACTAACACCTGTAATTATGGTGGATTTTTATGCCGGAGGCATGGTGAGGCATTGTTTCGGGTTATATCTGTCAGTCCATCTGTCCCAGTAGAAGAAAGGTCAAAGGTCATAGAGGTCAATTTTTTTTAAATTAGAGGTTTTTTCCTTGTGATCACAATAAGTATGTCAAGAACTTATTGAGGAACATGTATAAACTTTAAACAGAATTATTGATCCAATTACATTTTGGGGCTTGTACAGTGTAGGTCAAGATCATAGTGGTCAGTTGACAATTGAGTTTAGGATTTTTGTTTTCAGCGTGATATATCACAAATAATTTCATCCATTTCCTTTACTAAATTTATGGCCTAGGCTTATAGGAGTCACAGTCGCATTTTACTTGTTTTCCCTTTCTTTTTGTATGCAAGGCATTGCGTGCTCAGAAGATAATGGAAACAAGGGAAAACAATCAAATCAACCCAACCACTCCATTATCATAGACCACCTCATTGCACAAATTCAAGGTGGTGGGTGCCCCAATATGAGGCGGTCATTGTTTGAATATTTACTGGAGTATTTTATTGCATTCCAGGAATGAATGAATACACTGAATTTCTGGATTTAGGGTGGGGAAAGGGGAGGGGGGTGCATTCAGCCTGTGCCCCCCTTATGAAACCCATGTTTGTTTGTTTTATTTATTCACCATGTAACATAACTGTTTACAGATAATAAAATACAGTGGGTTACATTGATATATAATACATAGTAGGAACAATGCATAAACAAAAAATGTTTGAAGCACCTTAAGTACACAACTCTGAGTTTGCTCCCCCCCCCCCCCCCCAGCCTTTGTTAGAAGTAATGACCTTGTCCTTTTCAATTTTCTTTTCAATTCTGGTGCTATTGATTTCTAAATCACATGTTTCACTGGTGTAAGGAACTGGCACGCGATCTATTATTCTAAATTAAAAGCTAGCTTGGACTAGATAATGGGTTTAATAAGAAAAAAAAATGAGATTTGAGTGAGTTTCGTAAAGTTCACAACGAAAGCTTTTTTTATTTTGAAATATTTATTTTAAAAACGCTAAAATTGTAGAACACAAAATCAGAAAATGATTAATGGAATTTGAACCCGATGTGCACCTTTGACCTTTAGTTACATGAACATGTACATGTATGTACATGTATCTTCTCTTCACTTTAAATTGCCTGTGAATGCAAAGACGAGTCAACTCACAAGTTGCTTTAACCCCATTTTGAGTTAAATATGGGTATTAAGATTTGCAATATCTTCAAAGTATAATGGAGAACAGATCGATGGTCCACCAAACCAAAAAAAATTAATAAAGACATAAAATATAAAACAAAAAATAGTACCGGTGATTGCTCTGTCATTGAAAGCTGTTGTTTCACTTTGCACTTGTGAGTATAATGATAGTGAAAATTGTATCTTTTGATGTTTAATTATGTTTTTAAGTTATAATTAAAACCAAACCTTGTTTTGATATGTTATCAAACTTTATATTACAACTGTGTGTTTTGTTTTGGGTTAGGCCGATGTGGACATTGCCTACCATGCTGCGAATGAGGCCTTCCGTCTTGGCTCACCTTGGCGTACCATGGATGCCTCCGATAGGGGGCGCTGTCTCAATAAGCTAGCCGATCTGATCGAGAGAGATCAAGTCTACCTCGCTGTAAGTATCAACAAAATCTTGAAATCTTGATCCAGTACTTTTGCTTGAAATCTTGAGCTTATTGGGTGGTATTCTCGAAAGCAGACTAACTTTAGTCCATGGTTTAATCCACCGACTAAGTATGGAATGCCAAGTGTCCATATAAATATGTAATTTTGAATGATTTGATATGTCCCTATTATGATAAAATAATTATCATAGTTATATTGTTGTTTATTTATTATGTTATTACATTTGATTTTAATCTAGTGACATATTAAATTATTAAAAAACATATTCATATGGACTTTTGGCATTCCATACTTAGTCGGTGGATTAAACCATGGACTAAAGTTAGTTCCAAAGTACCAAAGTACCATTTGCAATTTTGTTCTTATTGATACTCCCTCATGCCACTCGTTTTTTGTAGATGTAAATCTACTGCCTTTTTTTAAGTCTTTGACAAATAAGAAATCTGATGGCTCATAATGATTGTGTAAAAACTACTGAATATAGAATTGTCTTAAGTTTATCAGTGAATTTTTTATTGGTTTCTTTGACTAATAAGAATTCTGATGGCTTGTATGCATTGTGTAAAAACTACTGAAAATAGAATTGTCCTAAGTTTATCAGTGAATGAACATCATTAATGCATAGCAAAAGTTTGAAACTGAGGTATGGCTTATTTCACAGAGCTTGGAGACCCTGGACAATGGCAAGCCCTTCCAAGTGGCCATGGCGGGAGATGTTGCGCTCACTATGAAATGCTACAGGTATGACATCAGACTCAATTTACTCAATGATACTTTGTTTGCTCATTTATTCATTCATTCATTCGTTCAGTTAGTCAGTCACTCATCCATTCATTCATTTCTTCATCAATTAGATTTACTGGGGTCAGTGAGAAAAATCACAGCAAAATTATGCCTCTTTGCCCCGGGAATTTTGATGCCTGAACTAAGTATGTCTAAAGAGAGAGAGAGAGGGAGAGAAAATAGAAAGAAAAAGAAAAAGTAGGAGGGGGAGGAGGAGGAGGAGGAGGAGGAGGAGGAGGAGGAGGAGGAGGAGGAGGAGGAGGAGGAGGAATAATAATATTTATTTTGGTGTTTCGTGGGTAAAGCCAATATCAGGAAAAAAAATATAAGTGTTTATTCTAGAGTCTAAATAATTCAAGGATGCCTCTCCACTTTAGAAGGTTTGTATTTAACAACACAAAACAGTATAATCATATATGTAATTTTATCTGTGAATTGAAATAAGGATCTCATCTGTGGGATTGATTTGCTATAAAATCCGGGGGGGGGGGGGGGTGTTTCATAAAGCTGTTCGTAAAGTTACGCATGACTTTACGAAAACTTGAATATGAAGTGTCAGAGAGGATGCCCAAAGTTTTTCCTGATATTTCCAATAACTTCAATTAAATTATGGCAAAAAATATACTTTGCATTTAAAATGATTGTTATAATAAGAATGTTAATCTACATCTGCACAGTTCAACTTTAGTTGATGCAGTTACAAATGATTGAGCATCCCATTTGGGTTTTCATATTCAAGTCGTTCGTAAAGTCATGTGTAACTTTACGAACAGCTTTATGAAACACCCCCCCAGATATTTATTACCGATACATGCATCTTTTTGTGGTATGCCAAAGTTTTATGCATATTCTAAAAATTCTATTTTTAAGATACTATGCTGGCTGGACAGACAAAATTGAAGGGAAGACAATCCCAATTGGTAAGTCCAATTTCTCTTCCATTATTATTATTATATCGTATAAATACCGTTAGTTATTCTGAGAGGTTTATTGCATTCTTGCCCATTAATCTACATGGTTTGCACCAGAGTGTATGAGAGAGGTATGAAGCAAGATGTTCTTAGCATTTAATTTACAGCGTTCTCAGTACATGGACAACAACATTTTCCTGATAACGTGACATAATAAGTTGTTTATCAAGTTCATGAACATGTAAATGTAATGTATTCAAATTTGTGGAAGCTTTCTTCCCACGTCTTTGTGGTGATGAAGTATTTCATTCACCTGCTATTATCTTTTTTACTATAAATGCTAGAACGGAAATTGTATAAATAAATTTTTGCTATTCTTGGGTGAAGGTATCACATAAATGACCTTGTGATCGACAGTCCGGCGACTTAACCACTCAACCACGGCACCTCTATATATGTAAGAGTTACAATGCAAATTATTATAATGTTATTGAATATTGGGAAAGCAGTATCCAGATTGAGATGCTTGAGTGACTGCTTCTTTTAACTCATAAAGGTATTGTATTTGTTCTTGTGGGTTGATTTTATTGTTCATCAAATTTATTCATCATTAAATGCACCCAGTTATGAAATTCATGGGTCATGGCCATGTTCTTGCCACCATTGTGCTATTCAAAGACATTCATCTCTGTGTTGAAAAGGCAGGCACCTATTTCACCACAGCACTATAATAGCATTTCAGAGTATTACATGTACATGTATATGTTTCCAGTTGCAGTGCAGCTAATGATTCTCTACATCAAACCTACATGTATATGCCTATAAGTATTATAAAAATATATATATGTGGCTTAATTTTTTGTTTGTATTTATAAAGAATCATTTTAACAGACTATTGGATTTTAGGATTCCCCACTTCTCTTTTATATAAAATAATATCTTGTAACTTGTAAGTACTGGCCTAGTATGTACATGTATTTTTTATGCTTTTTTGATTTTTAAGAGAGAGTGAAGTTAAAGAATATAAGACGTTTAGAAATGGAATAATACCTGGCAACGAGATGCCCGAATATCCTTATATTAATGTATATTTGGCGGCAGGGAGCCCACATACATGTACATTATTTGATAACTTGTCAAGTGTGTTGATTACAAATAATTTTGTAACGTATAAAAGTGTAATTTTTTTGCTTGCTTGCTTCACTTGCTCACAAAATTTAAGAACATATGTGCCTGTGGGTGTGTACATGGCACTAGATGAGTTTCAGAGTGATGCACAATCAATATTCTGTGATCAATTCGGGATTGGGGTACGTGACACTAAATTTTTCATTTCTGAAAAGTGTGCCATGACTGAAGAAAGGTTGAAAAACGCTGGTATAGATCTTCTGCATTCATTTTAATTGTTAAACAATCTGATGTGCAGGGTGCCATCACTTCAAATTGTTTGCTATTAAAAGAGTTTCGTCTTCATATGACAGGAAGGGCTATATTTTTCTTGCTGGTATTGGTTCCAAGTGGACCACCCCCCCCCCCCCCCCATTAGTGTTCAGCCTCCGTTGTGTGGTTTTTTTAGTCATTTTCACTTAATTCATTTGCCTGAGATCAGTGGAGGACATCAGTTGATCCATTCATATTAGACAAATATTTGTTTTTTTTCTGTTGAGTGGTGACCCTGCATAAAATTTGACACGCTGTACATGTAGTGGGGATGGGGGATGGGGGGGGGGGGGTATAATAATACCTCACCTATATTCTCGCTTTAAGTGACAATCCCAGATGCAAACAATTAATTGAAGTCATTTTTCTTCTTCATATAACTGGGTATAGTTTTTCTTTCATATGGATATACGGTTTTGGTAGATCCAGTCACACACCCCTGTCTTTAAAACTTGAGTATACAGTGCGTCCCAGAAAAAACAAAACCGAGAATTATCGATGTTTTATCATAACTTATTCACAATTATAATTAATAAATGACACATATTTAGAACGCTTAGATCCTCCTCTTTTATTTGATGCAACTTATATGATTCGTATCTCACGCATGAGTGATTGCACAAGCAATTTGAAGAGAGGAAACCAAAGGCATTTGGCAGGAGATAGAGAAAATCACATTTCTAGAAAGTTCAATTTCTGTCTTCATATGACACCTCAATTAAGAAAAATGAGACAGGAATAACAAAGTTCTGTTTGTTTAAAGTAATGCTTGCATTTCCATAATTTGATCAAACAAGTTCGTTTTCACTGGTTTTTCCTGGGACGCACTGTATACATGTAGATTATGTTACTACCGGTATTTACATTGATCCTGTATTAATGAAAAAAAATATTGTTTTCTTTTAAAATTTTTTGGCTGTGTTTCTTGAATAGATGGAAATTTCTTTGCGTACACCAGGCATGAACCAATCGGAGTATGTGGGCAAATTATTCCAGTAAGTATGTTTTAGATATGCTATTTACATGTAGGTCTTTTTCTTTTTTGTTTTTATCATCCATGAATCTAGGCATGTACCTGTAAATATTTTGTAACGGTACTAGTATAAGGAGAAATCTGAACATATACTTTTTAAAGTAAATATGATGTTGCATTTCGCATAAACCTTGCAAACATTAAACTGGCACTGGTTTGAGTGGTACAGTTAATTGGCAACCTACATTGCATGTACATACTTATTCAGATGCTTTAGTGACCTCTTTAAAATATAAAATGGCATAAACATCTGAGAATGAACACAATTATGTATATTGAGAATTTTCTTGATGAATGTGAATTTACAAATATCTGTTATTGTTGTGTCTAGATCAAATAATGCTTTCTGTTTGTTCCAACCTGCTAAGTGTGTGTTAATGCACAATTAAGTAGACTTGTGCATGAGCAGCTATTTATAAATATTGCATGTTCCATGTTTACAAGATATTTTGTCATGGAATTCTTTCTTATCTTAATTCAGTTATGTATGCAGGAGAAGCTGGAGTGATAACCTTCTCCACTGTACAAAAGTTGCATGCTTAGAAAGTTAGAATACACTTTCGTCAGATTACAGTATCATGGCACAATACAAATTGTTTTGCATAACAGACAAATGTAGGCCCCAAGACGCAATCCCCCATGCCTTGAATAGCCTTCCAGTATAATTCTTCCCTGTACTGAATAAGCTTTGGCAAAGGGATTTTTGTTCTGCATTCTAGTGCTTCTCGTCCTTTGTTATGTAATTGTTGTGCGGTCAGCTGCGTTTCCATTGTCGGCATAAGCAGGCAGGAGTTGGTGACAAGAGAAAGAAAAGGGGAAAATTGGTTGGCGGGTCCTTTGTCGTATTTCCTCCAGGTCGTGCATTCACAACTTGCCTAAGCTAGTTATGTCCAGTCACTATGAACATAACTGACAAAGAAAGCGGACAAAATATACAGTTCCTCAGGTGGACAAAGGAACATTCCTTCACTGCTATTATGTAAAAATGTATAGAACAGGTGTCACATGCATATTCAACTTTTTACATAATAGCAGTGAAGGGATGTTTCTTTGTCTACCTGAGGAACTGTATATTTTGTCCGCTTTCTTTGTCGGTCATGTTCATAGTGAGTATGAAAATCAAGACAAAATGCACATGCATGAGCATGGCTAGTGTACACATCAACGATAACAATAAAGCTCATCTCTGTAGAGAATGTTTTGGATCCTAGAAAAGTGATGATAATTAAAAGCTATTTAGCATAAATCGATGATTATACATTTTCTTCATAGACCACTGTTATTGTTATTGTTGATATGTCTCAATAAGCCCTACAACTCAAGAAAAAACGTTGGAACTTCACCAATTCTACTAATTTAACCTGTTGAATACTTTGGATGCATTGCGTCTAAGGAGAATATGGTTATACCAAAATGATATGTTTTGCAATATTAAAGTGAAATCAATTACAAAAAGCATGATCTTAATATCTAAACAGTAAAAATCTGTCTGCTAATTAAGAGGTTGAAAAAAAACACCATATTATATTGTCTTTTGTTGCTCAATCTCCTTTTGTGGGAGAGGGATTAGATGAAGCCAGACATACAGTTTAGTCTCATCGTTACCTATCGCCAATCAAAATAGATGGATTTTTCATTCTAGATCTTATCCACAAGGTTTTAACCAAAGTATTCTAATCAGAATCTCCAACCAGTTGATTAATTCATTCATGATACATATTAAACTTGTTTTCACTTACAGTGGAACTTCCCTCTGCTGATGCAAGCCTGGAAGCTGGCCCCAGCCCTGGCCAGTGGGTGCACCGTGGTCATGAAGGTTGCTGAGCAGACCCCACTGACGGCCCTCTATATAGCTAGCCTCATTAAAGAGGTACGGACCTTATCACATTACAATGCGAAGTAAAGGAAAAATGAAGTTTTTTAGTAACAATGACAGCTCTTTAAGTAGCTAATCTCATCAAAGAGCTGTCCAGTCTAATACGAAGTAAAGGAAAATGAAGTTTCTGAACCTTATTAAATCCATTTGACAGGGTAATTTTGGAATGTAGGTTATTCTTGTTCTTAAATATAAGCAATGATACTATCTGGGAATTCTATACATGTTTATTTTGTTCCTTAGGGTTCTTAGTTTCCATCTAGTGTACACATTATTCTCAAAGTATAGAAATATATGTCCTCTTAGAAGAAAGAAAAAAGGCAAACAAGAACAAATCATGCTTCATCTGCATTTTTATTCTGATTCATGCAGGATACTTCATATTTCATCTGTCGAGAGTTAGAGAGCATTTATATAATATTGACTGGCCTTGAGGGGTATATCAGGAATATTGACCAAGCTCAGATCATATTGCCCCGAGTCAAAAGACGAGGGCAATATGGTCTTAGCGCGGTCAATATTTCTGATATCCCCAGAAAGTAAAGCCAGTCAATATTTGTATTGTTATCCAAATCAGACATCTAGAGCAAATACAGATATCCACCATGACAATTTCAAGAACTGAACAAACTTTATCAAACCAACACTGTGCATCCCGCGGCTTGACACAATTTTCGTTTCACTGCAAACAGTGTGCATTTGGTGTGATTATTACGTCACAATAGAGTGCGCGCAAAGTGCACAGGTTCTCGTACGCATAATAGATGCGCAATGAAAATGACAAAATACGGCGCGGTCAATACAAGATGCCCGGATGCGAGACCGTGGAAAATACCAAGGTATATTTTCACTCGTCTCTACACTCAAAGTCAATACGCGCAGGGAGACCAAGGAAAATACAAAGAATATACCCCTCCGTTCCCACTGCTAGTGAAAACTAGGGCAATACGGTTTTGTAAATGACCAGCTCAGATGTCTGATACGGGTAATAATAACAATACAAATATTGACGGGCTTTACTTTCGGGAGGATATCAGAAATATTGACCGCGCTAAGACCATATTGCCCTCGTCTTTCGACTCGGGGCAATATGATCTGAGCTTGGTCAATATTTCTGATATACCCCTCAAGGCCAGTCAATATTATATAAATATTTTTCTACACATAGTTAAAGGGGAAGTCCACCATGATATTAAGTAGGTTTGATAGGTAATTTGAGCAAAATACAATTTAGAATAAGAAAGTTGTGAATTTTTGAAGGTGCCATCAATCAAACACAATTTTTCCTCATATCCAAGATTTGATCCATTCACCCCTATTTGTCCATCTAGGCTGGCTTCCCAGAAGGCGTGGTTAACATTCTACCGGGATACGGTCCCACAGCTGGGGCTGCCGTGGCAAGCCATCCAGGCATGGAGAAGGTTGCCTTCACAGGATCCACAGAGGTGAGATAATAATAGACCAGTTCATGGTTAGCACATGTCCCAAATGACCCCGAATATCTACAGATTTTCAAAACATGAAGAGGTCCTACTTTGTACATTATGAAATAATCATTCTTACAGCGATTGAAGTGCTACATAAATAGCCTTTGTTTCCCCTTTTCAAAGAATACTTCCACCTGTGTATCATGGACTGCACTGCTTGTGCATAAATGAATAATGATTACATAACTTTCATGTGCACTTATCCAGTATTTTGTCTCATTGTATTTCAAAATTTGGTCTGCAATGACCTTTATTTGCTAATGCTCAGACTGCAACTATGAACTGGCTTATTATGTTTTGTTTGACACATTGTACAGATAAACTCCATCCTGTGTTATTGTATTTTAAATTACAACAAAATTCAGTTTATGACATGAGACAGAATATGAAACCGTTTATTTTTTATACAAGTCGGAAAATGTATGCCCATATTCAATAAATCTCATTCAAGTCAATTCTTTGCAACCAGAACTTAACATTATCGGTAAAAACGACATCCTAAAACTCCATGAAGAAAAGAATGGATTGATCTGACCATTTGCTAGGATGTGCAGCAGAATTTTCAATTAAATCTGTTGAATTGGCCATCTTTTGTAAACATCATTGTAAATAGCAGCCACTTATTACATCAGTAAAAGAGAAAGGTTGTGCCGTTTAGCATTAGTCATACTCAGATACTTGATCTAGTATTTCTTGACAAAGAACAGCTTTTTTGTCATCTTTAAATTCAACTCTGAGTCCCGATATGAAGTTGATGGGCATTCAAGGGAAAAATTCAATTTTATTCAATTCAATTAATTTTTATTCATCCAAATTCACAGGAATACATGGAAATTTGTTTTGGTCACACATTGTAAAAATACCAAAGATATATATGAAAAACTATATCGTTGTGTTTATAATCACAGAAGAACCATCAAAATAAAAGATAGACAACATAGCAGTATATTCTTATTATTACACATGGAAAATGATGAAAAGGATAGAACATCAGTGTGGTTGTATTAAACAGTTTGGTCTTATTAATTTAGGGAAACCTGACCCTGGGTCTAAAATCACATTTAACAAAATGAAAACTTTGACCTTGGACTAATTTCTCTTGTTACCTGTAAACCCAATGTTGGACAAAAGCTTAAATACAGCGTTTGGTTTAAATTTTGGTGGAATACGGGTATTTGTATCTAGATTAACAATGAAAAAGCAAACCATGGTTGTCTCAAATTAAATCGTACGATACTTGGTTGTAAAATGGATGTAATCATAAGGTAGAGAGTGGATAAAGTACATGTAGCTTGATGAAATGAAGCGGTATGAAAAGACCCATCAGACCGGGCTCTGTTGCATAAAACTTACCATTGATGGCAAAGTTTACCATAAATGGTAAGTTTTGTGGAATACAAAATGGATAATTGTTAAAAAAGGTATTGTTATGGCATTGAGAACCACATCATTGGGACACAGAGATTATTAATACATGTATATCTATCAGCAAAAATAAAAATTAGATGTCATTACACCTTTGTATTCACTATGCCTTTTGTGTTTTGGACACGTCTATTTGTGCTGCTACATTTTACTAAGCTACCTGCATGTTAAACACCATCTTTCTTGATTTGATTTTGTGTTGGTGTAGGTTGGTAAGATCATCCAGACTGCTGCAGCTGACAACCTCAAGAAGGTCACACTCGAGCTGGGAGGCAAGAGTCCAAACATTGTCATGGCCGACTGCGACTGTAAGTAATAATAATTATAATAATGATACAGTCGAACCTGCTTTAGTGACCACCTGTCTACACAAGCACATTTTTTGTATCCCTTGAAAATGGTTTCTCATTGAAACATGTAGTAAAGGAACCTGTCTACAAAGACCACTTTTTGTGTTTCCCTTGGGTGGCCGCTGTAGACAGGTTAGACTGTATTGTTTACCAAGGGTAGCTTCATCTGCATCAATGCTGTTGTTCCTGAGAGCCCTGCAATTATTATTAACTCAGGAATTACCATGTACCGGTACTCATTTACACCTGACTGGAGAGTACCTTGCAAATGTGGATTAAAGCATTGCCATAAGACGTTAGTACTGGGCTGGGATTCAAACGTTTAACTCGGGGATTGAGAGTCGATGAATGAACCACTCTACCACGAGTCATCCACTTTAGAATTTGTGCAGTCCTGGCCTTTGTGAGCCTGAAAAATGGAATTATTCTATTATTAAATAGAAAAGACAGAGAATACTTATTTTGTTTTGATAGAGACTCTATGAAGGGAAGCAAGTTTCTGTTTGTAGATCAGCAACAACAGGACCTATGATTGGAAGTTCTATCCAAGGGATTTAGCAATGTAGGATGTATGTGTTACCTAAAGGCTCTGGTGCACTTATGTAATACCTAGCGCAGTATCTTCAAAATTCATGATCAATGGTTCAACTTCTGGGCTATAGTTGCCTTGGCATGAATTGTTTCCAATCAGAATTTTGCTCTGGTGACTATTGCTCTGGGATTTATTTTGTCAAGTATATAGGGTTTGGGGTAGAATTGCAATTGGGTTTTTAGGATAGGTTTAGGTTTAGGGTTAGGGTTAGGGTTAAGTATAGTATTGCATCCAGTGTTAAAATTAAGAATTTAGTTAGCGTAGGAAACTGACCGTAGTGCTATTGTCACAGGAGCAGTGTCTTTAATACAGCCAATTTCCTTTTTTCTTTGGATACATGTTACTTTTGTTTATTACTATTGATTGTAAGATACTCTCAGACTTGGTTAAAAAACTATAATTTATTATTTTTCAGTGGAATATGCTGTTGAGCAGAGTCACTTTGCTCTCTTCTTCAACATGGGCCAGTGCTGCTGCGCTGGATCAAGGACGTTTGTCGAAGACAGCATCTACGACCAGTTCGTGGAGATGGCAGCAGCACGTGCCAAAACACGAACCGTTGGAAATCCATTTGAGGACATCAACGAGCAAGGACCACAGGTATGTCTTTATCTGCTCTCTTCCAAGATATTGAAGTTAAATGTGTCAGAGAATTGTCTTCTTGTATTAAAGATGCTTGCCAGATTATCCTAAACAAAAAAATCTGTCACTTTGTCAAGTATGAAGCATATCCAAAATTGATTGAAGAAATTAGAGGCAGAGCAGTGATACAAGGCAACCTTGAGCACTGATAACAAGACTGGATGTTGTGATTTCTTGATCAAAGTTTTAATTGTGAAGATTTTAGAACTTTATTTCACATTAAATGTAAGGATAAATCTTATTTATTTAATTGATTAGATATTAACTTTAAAACTCATGTTTGAGAAGTACCTGCATCCATATTGTACAAATCATGCGAATGTAATCACCCAAAGGATGAATAACTTTTCAACCCTTTTTGTCTATGTGCATACAATGACTTAATCATGTCCTGTATACATTGCTTTTCTGTTCTGTTTTGTTGTGTAGGTAAAATGAGTGGTTCAGTAAGTTCTCTAGAATACACTTTGAAAATAAAAGTTTCAAGAATTATTAACAATCGGTCTTCGTTTTATTTTGTTTTGTCACAACTAGGTGGACCGAGAGCAGATGGATAAGGTTCTTGGCTACATTGACAGCGGGAAGTCTGAGGGCGCCAAACTACTCTCCGGAGGTCAGAGGGTGGGAGACAAGGGATTCTTCATCGAGCCTACCGTCTTCGGGGACGTCACTGATAACATGAAGATCGCAAAGGAAGAGGTGAGAAGTCGGTGGGTGGATGGGTACAGAGACCACTCATAAGAACTGTACCTTCACTCGCAAAGCGAGGATGTCCTTGGCTCGAGAACCCTGCAAATTGTTTCTAATTTGTAGCCCTTTTCATTAAGGGGTATGTTTATTTAGGTGCTCTATTTACACAGGAAAAGGAGGTTCTTGGTTATGCAGTAAATTTCCAGTTGTATTCCTACAACCACGTGTGTCCTTGAACATGTAATACAGAGCTGCCAACCATCCGTTTGTGCCGGAATTACTCCGTTTTTTCCTCCAAATTACGGTACTATGTTTTTTCTTCATAAAATATGTTTTTTAATAATTTGTTTAAATATTTTTTTTTTTTTTTTTTTTTTTTTTACATACCACACGTCAAACAACTGCCCTTAAATGGTGATTTGATCACAAATTCAATAGAAAACTAATTTTAAAACATACTTGAAGAGGAAAATATTCTCTAAAGAAATGAAATGCCGATAATACGAAAAATAACCACCAAAAAAATTACCTGCTTGTATGGAAAAAACAGCATGATGAATGAACATTTCTGCATTGGAAGTGTGTCACGCGTGGTTGTAAGTTTCTTTTTAAGAATTCCTTTTTTTGGCTTGAAATTCCTTTTTTTGCCATCATGATTCCTTTGTTTGGTCGCACAAGGTTGGCAGCTCTGGTAATAACATACCAATGTGAACATAGGATTCCTTGATTTATACCAGAAACATGTATGTGTGTGTGTGTGAGGTATGTGTTAATTGGGCTCAGTTTTGCCAAAGTGTATCAATCAGAAATCTGGGACCTACCTCTAACGCCACCATCTTAAAGATGTTACTTACGGTTTGAACCTGGGTCAAATCATAGTCAGTTTGTAGGAAAAGACAGAGAGCTGACCGTACCACGGACATTACCGCTGGACTAACTCACATCTCGAAAGATGAAGAAGTGGAAAGAAATGTCTGATATTTCATGGTTATGAGCGAGATGGAACAAACTTTTACATCAGGTGAAAGATGGAGTGATCCCAATACTACTTCGTCACTGATATCATGAATATTATTACAGTAGACAAGCGGGTCAGAGACCTCATGCAGGTCTGCGGCTAAATGTTTGGCATGGGTCAAGATATTGAGGGGGCAGTGGGATCATGTAGGGGGGGGGGGCGGCGGGTGGCATTGGTCTTACACTGTGGATGAAATTCGTATATGACCATTGAGTAGAGGTTGATGGGATGGGTTATAGTGTCTCCCTTCTTTCTTTTCACATTTTTTCTTGACCAGCATTGTTACCATTGTTGCTTGAAATACAAGGAATTTGTTGGCTCTTTACTCTATATGGAGTGAAGCTATAGACTACTACATTAATTGTTAGGTACAGTCAAACCTGCTCTAGTGAACACCTGTCTACAACAAGCACATTTTTTGTTTCCCTTGAAAATGGTTTCTCATTGGAACATGTACTAAAGGAACCTGTCTACAAAGACCACCTGTCTACAAAGACCACTTTTTGTGTTTCCCTTTGGCGGTCGCTGTAGACAGGTTTGACTGTATAGTAGACCAAATCCTGTAAAGAGTTAGAGGAGGATGTATTTATTTGCCAACTACAGTACAGTATACTTCTGTAGCAAAAGAAAATCACTCATTTGATATGTACGGTGCTGTCTTTATGTGTTGAATGATCCATCTTCTGGGGAGTGTTTCACAAAGACTAAGATCGACTTGGCAGGCCATTCATGCCACTGGTTGCTCTCACTATTGGTCTCTCACTATTGGTCTCTCAATTATGATCTTTAGGTAATATCTTTTCCTTCAATAATGAACTATCAAAATAAGTAAATTATGTAGATTTGTGACCACAATTTATACGTTCCTTGGGAGACCAATGCCAGGAAAGGTGAGAGGAACTAGTGGCATGAATGGCCTGCCATAGTTAAGTCCAACTTAAAGTCGATCTTAGTCTTTGTGAAACACTCTCCAGGTCCCATATGAAGTAGAATCTGAAATGGTAACCGTTTCAATCATGCTTTGCCCCTTGTAGATCTTTGGACCCGTACAGCAGATCCTGAAGTTTAGTCAGATGGACGAAGTGATCGAACGAGCCAATAGCAGCATCTATGGTCTAGCTGCTTCCGTCTTCACCAAAGACATTGACAAGGCTCTCTACATCTCAAACAGTGTGAGAGCTGGAACTGTTTAGTAAGTAGACCTGAAACTAATTAACCAGTACATTTGCACTGGGAAAGACCATGCTCAAATTACAATTATATGAGAGCATAAAAAACTAATCGGGTAAAGAAACTTGATATAATTTTTTGTTAATGAAAAATATTTCTGATTGCTACATATTTGGTGGGTTTGTAGGAGAAGGTGGTATGTATGCAGTTTCTTCAAATACTTGAAAGTCACATGGTTGAGAAATGTGACAGCGCAGTAGTACAAGCAAATATAGGCTTCAAAAATACAAATTGTTAAAAGTGCCAGGAGTACATATTTTGTGTATTGTATAAATTTGGTGTACGTAATCATTTCCTTCCCCTTTTGCACTAGGTTTCTAGGGCTGGGCACAGTGAAAATTATTTATGATTCGGGATATGGGATTCTTTGAGACATGACATATTTATTGTGAGAAATAATGAATTTGAGAATGGTAATATTCCTAATGATCAGCCGTTTTGAGATTTTCGGCGCATATTTGTGATAGGGCAATCCCCCCCCCCCCCCAACAAAAAAAAAAAACAAAAAAAATTGATAAAAATTCTCTCTAAAATAGTAAAGAAACCTTTTGAATTCTGAGTCTTACATACATGTACATGTTAATGGATTACAAGAAAATCAAACAGTCTCAAACTTTTAAACAATTGTTTTCGAGGGAAACTCTATTCATGATTGAAGTTATGAAGGTGTCAGAGATTTACATGTTCAACCATTATTAGGAGAACCAAATTTCATGACTGAAACTAGTGTTCAAATCATAGGCATACAGGCTACTGCTTTATCTTTCAATGAAGCATTTCTTTGACCTTTGACCTTTTGCTGACCTCATCCTCACAGTGTCAACTGCTATGACGTCTTCGCAGCCCAGGCTCCATTCGGAGGTTACAAAGCATCGGGCAGCGGCAGGGAGCTGGGAGAGTATGGACTTGACAACTACACAGAGGTCAAAACGGTAAGTCTCAATGGAACATTATATGTCAAGAACAATAACTAATGCTAAATATGTTACTCATTGCGGATGTTGCATCGAAAATAATATCGCTAGTGATATTCGTTTGTCCAGCAATTTATGGTCAACAAGGGATCTTAGAGATTACGACATTTGTGCGCCGCTGCAACACTTTGTCAGGGGATAAAATCTTATGGGCGGATCCAGCGGTCAATTAATTTGAACAATAACTAAACATGCATGCTATCAGGTGTTTCTTTATGCTAAAATTTTGTCAAGAAATATAATTTTAGAAAAAAAGTCTTGTTATTCTCTCATTCAGCCATACTAAACATGGATGGATGGATATGCCTTTGATCATAGGTAGTTCAGAGGGATAGTTACATTACAGGAAGTTGATTCTGATTGGCCTGTGATTTCAAGGAGCTCGTAATAGTTCCCTCTCATAGAGATTGCATCGGGCAGGGAACTATTTGGGGCTCCACGATTGAACCTACTCTCTATGGCTGCGCACCTTTTTTGCATTTGATCATAGGTAGATGAGACATAGTCACGTCACAGAAAGTTGATTGTTCATGGAGCTTGGAATAATTCCCTCCCATTTCCCTTTCTCTCTACATATATGCTTTGCCTTAGATCTGTCATTTTTTCTTCAGCTGCTTCTCTCAACCCATGTGTAGTAATAATAAGATAGCAGTTACAAAGAAATCACCGTGAATGCTTCAAATCTGTTTAACTGCTGAAGTCATATGGAGCTACATTTATTCTTTTTTTATTTTTTTAAATGATATTTTGTACTGAAATGGAAGTAAAGGTTACTTGATTATTTTGATTGATCAAAGTAATAGCTGCATGAAAATTCTGTTTAACCCACAATGTGCAATGATTCATGATATTTCATTAAAATCAAAATTCATATGTAAATTGAATTTCATCTCTCTCCATTATCTTGCAGGTTATTGTCAAGATTCCACAGAAGAACACATAGGTTATCCTACAGACATCCACCTTATATTCTGCAAAATATCTTATGATTTATCCCCAGATAATTTTCAGTTCCCCCCTCCCAAAAAAAAAACAACACACCAACACCCAGTTACATGTATAATATCTGTCTCCTAGGTTCAAAGTAACTATTTTATACAAGGTATGTTCACTATTTGTAAGAGGTTCTTTGGTTTTTCCAAATCCATTAGTGACCTGTAGGTCTTCTTTGGATTATTTGTGTATTCTGTGCTATCTTTATATTTTACACTCTCAGGGATTTTGAGGCTTGATTTTTTAGTAAAAATATGTATATTGTTTGTCTTTCATTTTGAATTCTGTAACTGCTTTTTTCTTCTTATGTCCTTTGATTTTGTAACCATAGTGATTCACCAATTAATCAAGACCATTTTCATAATGTAATCAATTTTATAAATAAATAATAAATCTGTAAGTGCCTCGTTAAAAATTACTTCATTCACCTGTTACGAATAAATGAATTTCGATAGTCTGAATGCGAATTGTATACATTATTTTTTGTTAGGTAGGGTGAGCCATAATGTTTGTCCTACCTAGCAACAAGTAATGTATGCAGTTCGCATTCTGACTATTGAAATACAATTATTCGTAACATGAGTGAAATAATTTGTAACAAGGCACCAAATAAAGACTTATGAATTAAATTTGATAACATTATGAAAAAAGCCTATTATTTTGACTTTCCGTTATATGTGCTGAACTTCGAAACTGATCTGTCATTGTCTTCAAAGAAATATGCCAACTGAAATCCTGCAGTAGCTAGAAAACTTTAACCTGGAAATTGTGAGACGAGTGTTGGCCACTTTGTTATAGTGTTTTAACATTTCAGTTTATTTTAATCAGAGTGTCTTAAAAAGACTTTGTTTATATTACAGTGTGACTTTAATTGGGAGTTGTTTTTTTCCTCTTTTGTACAAATCAAATTTGATAAACACAAATTATGTACCGGTACGCAGAATTTGAAATTCAAAGATTTGTGTAGAATAGATAAAAATCATGTTTTCAAATTGAGTTTCTGCTTCGTTACTCAATGATTAAGATAAATCTCAAACAGTTACTCTTGCTTTGTATAATTGTTACTTGACTTGTTCATGCCTTGAATTTAAACATTGGAATAATTACATACATTGTACCTGTTTTATGAATATTGACCATTAGAATATGATATGCAATGCCACCCATGTTATATGACAAGAAAGTAATGTTGCATATCGTATAACACTCACCACCATATTAGAAAAGAACCCTGAAAAAGAATTGTCTTCTTTTGAAGAAAAATAGTTTTGCTTTTGAAATTTATAGATTACATGTTTATGGATGTAACAACAATCTTGTTCCAAAACTTTAATACTTTTGGTCAGAAAAATAAGTCACATTTAGGCAGTTGAATGTTTCTTGCATGCAATGCTCACAAGATTTATGTTCGTATCCATCCTCCTGAAAACTAAAACTTGAATATAGTTAATGTGGCCACTAAAAGTTAAACCTTTACATTTACACCGACATGCCTTTCAGGTTTCACATATATGTGGACCAAAATTTTCTGAAATGTTCTAACTGTGCATTAATGTTATTTTCTATCATGTAAGTTAACTTTCAACATACCTGTATCAGATTTTATTTAGAATTTCGGCTCCATGATTTATAAAATTGTGGAATTGTTATCATATTATGGTTCAAGTGTATAGTATAGGAGTCTTTAGAGTGTGAATAAATGTTGCCATCCTTTCCCTATTGCAAAGAAAATGCTGCTTGGAGGCATTATGTAAGGAAGTTTTACCCGCTCTTGCTTTATTTGTTGGCTGAACATGTGCTGATTATGTAACAGGGTAGTTTTGTTTTTAAAAAAAGACAAAGAATAAACAAGTATTTCTAGATATTTATTTTTACATTCTATTGATGGTTCAACACCTTTTCATAGTGCATAGTGTCTGTTTGTACAAGTCATACTTGCCCCCCTTGATTTGAATTGAAATAATCAGAGCTATATTTATGTGTTTTCTACAGGGCTTATTTACAAAACAAAATTACACAGAAAGAATTATAATCTAAAATCATGCTTTGGATGAATGAATGCAAGATTTCTTAGAATTGAATTTGTTGCTAAAAAATATATATATCATGTGGTGTATGATAACATCATAATATCAGGGTAAAAAGCATGACAAATGTACATTGCGGTGTAAGAGGAAAATTAAACTAATTTTACATCAACTTTAATACATAACATGTATTTTCTTTTTGTCAGTGAGTCATGGAGTACTGGGTTTTTGTTGGTTAAAATGGAAGATTGAAAAACAATCAAGCAAGAGGAGGAGAAAGAAAAATGGAGACAGAGGGAGGGGGACTATGGGAGAGAGAGAGAGAGAGAGAGAGAGAGAGAGAGATAGAGAGAGAGATGGAAAAAGAGGAGAAGGGGACTATGGGAGAGAGAGATGGGGATGGAGACTAAAATAAAATCTAACTCAGAAGATGGATGGATAGTCTAAAGGCGGCAAGCAGACTAGATGAGGTATGCTGCATCTCTCAGCGTCACTCGTGTAGCTACAGGGGGAACCAGGAGCACAATTAAACAGAGCCCCCTTCCCGGCCAGAATGAAAGAGAGAGAGACAGAGAGGGGTGGGGGGGGGGTGCATCTTTTAATTCAATCCAAGGAGTAAAATTATACCTGTCCTTCGACCCCCCCCCCCCACACACACACACACAATGATGCTAGTGCCCCCTAAATGGCTCGAATCACGCTACGCCACTTGTAGAGCATTCAAATATTGTCTTGTACAGTGAACTTCTAAAAATAACTTGTATGGTTATGGAGGTCTCTACAAATATTGTACAATGATCTGGATCTGACGTATTAGCTATAATTATTATACGTCAGATCCAGGGCATTGTACAATATTTGCATAGACCTGCATTAACCATATGTATAATCCATTTTATGTTTCTTATATAGAAGGATCGAGACAATGGCTGTATAATCCATTTTATGTTTCTTATATAGAGAGAGACAATTAATGGCTGTGTAGAACTTTTTTGAAATATCATCGACCGGATTGGAAGAAAAAAAAACCGGTATGTACAAACATACCTCCCCTAGTAAAAAATAAATAGGAAAAAAATAGAAAAAAAATAGGGAAAAAATAAATGCAAAAATATATTTTTTTCCTATTTTTCTCATCCCCAAAAAAGCTATTTAATTGCTATAGTTTTGGAACAAAAAATAGGAAAAAAATAAAGCCACAAATAGTTTTGAAATATATTTTTTTCCTATTTTTCTCGTCCCCTAAAAATAGGAAAAAAATAAAGCCACAAATAGTTTTGAAATATATTTTTTTCCTATTTTTCTCATCCCCCAAAAAAGCTATTTAATTGCTATAGTTTTGGAACAAAAAATAGGAAAAAAATAAAGCCACAAATAGTTTTGAAATATATTTTTTTCCTATTTTTCTCGTCCCCTAAAAATACCCAAAAAAGCTATTTCAAATAGCATAGTTTTGGAACAAAAATAGGAAAAAAATAGGAGACTTAAATAGCGTTGAAATAAAAATAGTTTATAAATATATTTCAGACATATTTTTTTCTAAAATATATTTCTAACATATTTTTTTTACAAACCAAATATATTTAAAATCTATTTAAAAAAAAATGGAATATTAATTGAATGATTGGTGTACTGTATAATTGTTTGGTAGCAATTAAATCTCTGTCAAGCTCTACTTTGTAGCACCTTGTTGTACAATATATGCATGTAGGTGCATGTCATGCGCACATGTACAAAATAATTGGATTAGTCGAATCCCCGTCCACATATTACCCGAGTAAAAACTAAAATAGGAATAAAATAGGGGGAAAATAAATACACTAAAATATTTCTATCCTATTTTTCTGCTGCCAGATGTACAAGATAAATAAAATGCAAACACATTTTTATTTCAGTTTGAAACGTTAGAACACTTTATTACATAAAATATCACATGCAATGTACACCCATATGGTGAATGAGAATACTAAACAAACAGTCCACAAACTATTAAAACATATTTACAAAAGTCACACTTACAAAACTTGAGCAGCATTTCATATAGAAAATTTTGGATTTAGAGGTAAGAACGGCCGGTAAATATTATGTATCTTTGGCAAACCGATTGGCATATACCCGTCTTATAAATGATACAAATATTACGCAAAGGTAGTACTAGGTCTTTGTAAACATAAACGCAAGAAAGAAAAAAAATATATCTTTTTCTTCTTCATTAAATTGTTCCCTATATAATCACTGGTAAAAATTGCAGATATTGGGTTCACATATATATATGTATTAGTTGTGTAAACGAAACTATTATAATGTAAATCTAATCTGAATGTAAGATATTAGAATTTAAAAAAAAAAATGAATTTTCACATTTTTGGCTCATAAAATACTAGCATATATACAGGATGTGAACCAGTATTGAACAGCTTATACATGACTATAAAGTGTTACATGATAACAGTAGCAAGGCTATCTGGCAAGTTTCAACAGTCTAAACAAAATCTTTAAAAATGTCTATAAATGAAAACATGTGAAGGCAAAGGTATAGTTCACATCTATAACAATGTAAAAAGTGTTAATAGCACTGGCAACTTGGTCTATCTGTCAAGTGTCATAAGGATGTGACAAACATGAATAGTCTTTAGATGTCTTTAAAACTTTAAATGAATACTAAGACAAAGCTTTATTACTGTTACATGAATACACATCTATAAAGTGATACATAATACTGGCATCAACTACATAGTACACGTGAGCTGACATGGCAAAGAGTATAGTGAAACAAAATTATACAAAAATATTCATACGCAGATATAGAATATATATATATATATATACATCAATACATGTATATATTTAATTACGCCGTGAGGTAATTCAATTTGTGTTTGTTAAGATTGCCTTGGTAAAAATTAAGCTGTGTATTGAAGATTTATGTCTCAGATTCATTCCGACCGCGAACACATGTTTGATTGTGGCAGGGCGAGGCAACCTGGAAGTACTTGCTGAATGTTTGTTGGACGGCATTATTGGCATCATTTTGAAATGCTTTCCATTAATTACAGATGAACAATAAGTCATTAACCATGTATGATTCTAATACTTTCACCCATGTCTTGCATTTCCTTGATGTGTGTTGGACAGTTCAGTCTAACAAATTAAGACTGTATGTACATGTACTCTAGAAGACAAGGGTGCCAGTGCCACACAGTCCAAGTTGATGACTTTCCAGCAGCCGAAGCTAAGATACCCTGAAGAAGAAAAAATAATAAGTAAAAAAAAAAATAAGCAGGTTGTAGTATTCTATTATGCTTTCAAATCAAATCTAGGAAAATTTAAGAGTTGAACGTGGAATGTACACTGTACAAATGAAATTCATGTAAGAACTACAGTTACTTGCATCCTTCACAAATTCATGACATGATAGATGCTTGACTACTTACATGTATGAATTATGATGATTGAATGATGAGCTATACTTTGCAACTATATGGTCATGCATGATGCAATACACCTACATGTGCATGCAGGATCTGCACAGCCAATTGAATGCGGGATTGTGATGGAAAAACAAATCATAACACACATAATATATACAGTGTATGTGACATACAAATGTACGGCTTCTAAGAATCAACTTTGCCATTCAATTTCTGTTAAAAATATGCAAGAAAATCTTGTATGATTTAGGATGATTTAGGATGATTTATTGGCATATGAAATTTCTACCTGGCTGTAAAAAGTGTAAAGAATTGCAATTCATTCAAAACGAGTGCAGATCCTGTGCCATGTGTTCAATGGAGATGCTATATATCCACATGCGTTCACATGTCTTACCAACTACCATGCAGCCAGCACGCGCATGTGGCGGAATCTAGCCTAAATTTGCTCAAATATATTTGTGAATGAGTAGACCTACTATAGACCTAATACGCTAATTCCATTCTTTAATGAGATTCGTCATGTTTGATTGTTCACTTCCAATGAAAAGCCTTACGTAAACACAGATATATAGGTGACTATGTAAATTATGTAGACATACTACTAGGGAATATAATCTACGATCTTCGTCAACTCTGATCAGTTTGATGATGGTTTGGATTTTTTCATGAACCAAATAAATTTACAAAATCAAGATTTACTTAACCAATTTCCTAATTTAATTGTACAGAAAGCAAACTCAATTTCGTATTGAATTGTGTGTAATTTTATTACTCACCTTCAAAATGAAGATCTTTAAAGTAGCTCCAGCAGCTAGCAGTAGCAGTCCAGTGCATGTAGTGCAAAGCAAGTTGATCGTATTTCTCCAACACAAGAGTGCTAGTGTGGGACTGTAGGCCTAATCTTGGTAATAAATTCGATCCTTTCATTTTGTTCTTTCAATTCTTGCCCTGGAATTACTCTTGAAATTGTCCTTTCCTGGTGTAAATCTACCCCTTATTACCCATACTGTGGGTTTTACAGGAAGACAAGTCTGGCGAAATGGCAAAGTAATGATTGAAATATGCGCCGTTGAGCTGATCATCACAGAGTCTGAGTGAAGATTTGAATTTGAAAATAAACTACCGGTTGGCCTATTCGCTTTCTACCACTAGATGGCAGCACACATTTAGTTGTGTTTCATTATGATTCAACATTTTTGAAGAGTACCCTTTCACCTTTGTATTTATTATGGGGAAAATTGTTACAATTACATCCAATTGGATAAGTTCTAGTCACTATAACACTATAGTAGTAAGCTAATTCTTTTGCTAATTACATACTTTTTTACTTGAAATATTCAAAATCGATAGTCATTTCATTTAAAGATAAAATTAAAACATTCTTAATTCTTGATTAAATGTTCACAGGCCTATACGATATATTTATGCTCCCTTAAAATGTTCACAGGCCTACGAAATAATTATGCTCCCTTAAAGGAAGAGTTGAGTTCTAAGGAGGGCCAGTAATTTGTCCAAATCTTCTTTGAATTTTTTTTTTTTTTCATTTTAAAAGACGAAATATCGCAATTTTTGTTAACATTATAGTTATATTGTGAAATATGTTTTGAATTGTGCAAATATATATTTATAAAGTGTAAAAAAGTTTCAACAACCTTAAAAATCAAATATCGGCGTATATTAAAAGCAAAAAGGTGACAAAATCCATTAAGTCTGTGAACATAGTAAACAAAATATAGGGAAAAAA